CTTCAGGCTTCGCGTCTTCCAGGTGGGGCTACAGGCTGGTCCCCCCCTCGGGGTTAAAGCCAGGCTGAAACGGAGTGATGGAGGTCCAACGTCTTGCACGTTCAGAATCCGCCCCGGAAACTGGAAGCGGACCCCACGCCCAGCAGCAGGAGGGGCGGCTCACGCCGTGGAAGACTCCCTGCAGTGACAGTGAGCGGACTCCAGGGGACGCCACGATCCCGAGGAATCTCACAAACGTGGAGGAGAGTGACAGGGGCCGGACACCATGGCAGAGTGCACCCGTACGAACCCATGAACATGAAGCCCCCAAACACGCAACACTCATGTGTGGGAAGAGAAGTCGGGTAGCAGTCACGCTTCGAGGGCACGGACCGGAAGGGGTGGGGGCGTTGTCCGGGGACGAGTGACCGGTTGGTTCTTGACCCAGGGGCTGGCCGTGCAGGTGTATTTAGGGTGTGAAATTCACTGAGCTACCCTTTACACGTGGCCAAAACATTCAGAAAAGTCGTGCACAGTGCCTGGCACAGAGGAGGCAATTATTACTATTTTAACAAATAGCAATACCAGCAAAGCACGGTTGAGGGCGGCAGTGCGCGGACTTTTCTGTGGGGGCAGAGGGTGAGTACGTGGGACTTTGCGAGTCACACGGCCTCTGCAGCAACCACTCAGCTCTGCTGGCGTATCTCAGGCGAGTGAGCGTGGCTGGGTTCCACTGCCGAATCCACAAAAACTAGCGGCGGGCCGGATCTGTCTCACCCAGGGGAAGACGGGCTGGACTCTGGAGCCTCGCTCGCCGAGTCCCTGCGGGACCCTGTGCCGTCACTGCCGGCCCTGGTCTCTCTTGTCTGTGCCATAAACATGGATCCCAGCTCGACACAACCCTTCAGGGCCAGGCCGCACGAAGTCGGATGAGCTCATCGCCGAGGGAGCCCTCAGGGAGGAAAGAGCAGGAGTTAAGAGCCTCTTGAGATTCTTCAGCACGAAGCAAATGGTTATTTCTGCCAGAGCCTGGGAGAGAAAGGCGTGGAGCCCACGTCACCCAGTGCGGCCATGGGCACCAGTGCCCCGGGGGGTATCCCAGAGAGAGAGGCAGGGCCCCCAGGCCTGGCCCCATATCCTGACCCTTGCCTCCCAGCGGTCTGTCCTCTGAGAGCCTGGGGAGGGACGGCAAAGTGAAGGAGAGACTGGAAAAATGCACCCCCAGTGGGCCGTTCCCCTGAGCTCCTGCCTAGGCCTGGTCTGTCAGGCAGCCAGCGCCTGCAGCAGCCATGTGCTAGCGGCAGCGACGTGGGGCTGTCTCACCTGATCTCCAGCCCTTTGCTCACACCCTTGGCTCGGCCAGATTTCCAGAAACTGCCCGTTTCCTGGTGGGCTTCCACTTGAACCCCAAAGCACGACGCTGGCGTGGGTCGCCTGGGGTGTGCTGGGTGGGTCAGTCCAGCCTCGATCAGTTGGAGAAGAGGTGGGTCTGAAGAGAGCAGGGCGTAAGGGGGGTGCAAGCCCAGAGCACGGGGGGGATGGGCGACCCTTGCCTTTCCTTGTGCTGCATTTTCTAGGAGCTGGACTTCCGGAGTCTAAACATGCTTGAGGACGATGACTGTAACGGTAGTAACAATAGCAGCTAACATTTATTGAGATTCACTATGTGTCAGGGCTTGTCCCAAGCATTTGGCGTGCTATTAATTCATTCGATCCTCACAACATCCTGACTGGCCCTGTTATTCTCCCCACTTTCCAGATGAGGGAACCGGGGCCCAGAGTGGTGGAGATACTTACCTGAGGCCACACAGCGCTCAAGTGCTGGAACTCTGAGGATTATAGAAAAGGCTGTCTCAGAAGTCCCAAATGGGTCCGTGTTATCGTCTGTTTATTTCTTGTCCTAGCTGTGAAATTTCCAAGTCCTTGCCCCATGGGTGCACTGAAAGGGGAGCAGTTTGGAGGGGGGGAGGGACACCCCCAGTTAGGAGGCAGAGCTGCCATGTTGGTGACCACTCCTGCTGGATATCCCTGGGAGACACTCCGCGCCCTGGGTTGGGCTCACGTGGGAAAGGCCAGCGACAGCGGACCTGAGCTATCGAGGGCATGTACTGGCTCACAGAACGGAAAGTTCCGGAGAAGAGCCAGCTTCAGGGCCAGCTGGGGCCAGGTACTCGGATGCTGCGCTCAGGAAGCTCGCAGCCACCATCTTGCAACTCGCTCCTGTGTTGGCTCCAGCCTCAGGCAGGCTTCTCCCCACCTTGGAGCAAAGGTGGCGCTGGCAGCTCAGCTCCGTTAAGCAACGCCAGCCAGCCCTCCGCCAGAACTCTTTCTCCAGGTTCCCACAAAAAACCGCCGGGGCTGACTCCCGCTGGGCCACTTTGGGTCATGTGACCACCCCTGAACCAATTGCTGTTGCCAGGGGGCGGGGCCTGGGCCTGGGTCCCACGGCCACCTTTGGGACTGAGAGTGGGTGAGGGGGGCCCCTACTGGAAGAAGAAGGGAATGCAACTGGCAAAGGAGCTGGTGTGTCTCAGCCCCTGGAGGAAAATATGCATCCTCACCCAGGCGGCGAAGGCAGACTCAGTGTTTAGGGGTTGCAGTTCCCCGGGACCAACCAGTGACCCGCATGTCACTTGCTGAGCCAGTCAAGGCGCTGACCTGGGCAAGAACCTTCTCTAACTACCTCCCCTCGCCCACCTGTCCCCGCCCTACCTGTCTGTGGTACCCCTTGGCCCACATCGCCTGGGGGTACACAGCCCTCCTGTTTGGCCTACTGTCCCAGTTCCCTCGTCGCCCCGTCCCCACCTCCTGTCTGGCCATTTCCAATCCATGCCACCCGGCAACCCTGTCCTCCGTCCAGCACAGCCCCGGCTCACAAACCTCCGGCCACTCCTTATCGACGAGGAGAAAAATGAGCTTCTTAGCTGCACACCGGGCTCCTTCCACCACCCCAAGAGCCTCCCTGACCACACCATCAAAATGCATCTCTTCCCAGCGCACCCGGACGGCTCCCTTCTCTGCCCAGAGGGCCAGGGTCAAGTCTGAGTCACTGCTGACCAGGGCTCAGCACTCCTGTGGTGCACAGGGGGCGCCTGGAAGGCCTTGTGTGTGACTGCCACCCCCCCCAACCCTGGCAGGGAGGTGGGGAAGCTGTGAACAGGAAAGGCAGAAAGGGGTGGGGGTGGGGGGAGAGGACACCAGCCAGAGCCATTCTCGGTCTCATTAAGCAAACAGGCCCCTAGGATCTGTTTTCTGTCAAATTGAACTTTCCATTTCAGGCGCTTATTTTGCTGAGCAACCAGTCCTGGTAAAAACACTGGATCACGGTGAAAAGGAGACAGGTGCGGGGGACAGAGGCACACACACAGGGAGAGAGAGATCTGCCTCCAGGTGGTCAGTGGCGTGAGACGGGAGCCAGCTCAGCAATATTCCTCCCCGTTCCTTATCAGCTCTCCCCCTCCCGGGGGCGGGTGGGCGGGTGTCAGGTGCAAGAGGAAGTGAGACAGACAGAGGGAGAAAAAAGGGAACACAAGGACACCTCCCAGAGGGCATCTGAGCCGAGGGGAGGGGCAAGGGCCCTGGGGGAAGGTCTGGCCCTGGCCTGAACCCAAGTCACCAGATGAGGAATTAAGATAAGTCAAGACAAATTTGCAATCAGCCTATCCTTGTCCCTGCCTCAGGCCACAGACCCAGCCAGGCTGGGGACCAGGCCCGGTTTTTAGACCGGAGTTCTGATTGGCTACGTGACTTTCGCACCAGGCAGTCCCAAAGTTGCCTCACGGGCATGAGGTGGCCCATGACACCCGCCCACAGCACCCACTGGTGCCTGATCATGGCAGTGAGCAAGCGTGGCTGTGGAGCAGGGTTTCCTGTGGAAAGCCAGGGCCTTGCAGCAGAGCTGGGGGCCGGGGCAGCTGCTGACGGGCATGCTCCGCACCCTTGGGGTCTGACTCTTTGTTCTGCTGCTACAGACTCACAGGGCGGTGTTCATGATCGGAAAGTTTTTTATTTTCTGAAATGGAACCATTGTACATTGTACAAACCATATCTACTGATGGAATAAATAAGTGAAAAATTATACTGCTGTACAACACACCAAAAAAAAAAACCATAAGAGGAAAAAAAATTAGATAATGTGAAAAAGTCTTTATACCTCTAACCAGGTCCTTGGCCATAACGAACATTCCAAACCATGACGTCGTTTTTAACAGGAGGTCACCACCCTATGCGTCCGTCAACTGCCTTCCGGGTTATGGGTGTTAAGTGCCAGCACTTCGTGGAATGTGTAGCCGCAGCGTCCCCAACTTCAAGTTCCTTGGGGAGTGAGTTTGCCCTGGGAGCCCTTAAGGCCGTGGGGCCTGGTGTCCGCGGAAGGCATTCGCGTGGGACCCCCACCCTGTCTCGGCCGGCTGCAAGGTCTTGGCTCCTGCGGTGGGAGAGGGCGCGGGCGGGCGCGGGGAGGCTGGGGGACAGCGGCTCCGAGGAGCGGGCTGCGGGGAAGGAAGCACATCTGGATTTTTGCAGTGTCATTGTTCGCCGTGGAAGGCCTTCCCGGCCAGTGTCAAGTGCGGGCCGCGGGCGCTTTGCCTGGCGTGGCCTTGGCGGGGCCCAGTCTGTCCGACCGCCGGGCCCGTCCCTACCTTCAGGCACTTCAGAGAAAAACCAACGACAGCCTCAGCGTCGTGGATGGCGTCGACTCCCCTTGCCCGTCTGGACAGGCCAGCAGAAGGGGCGCAGGGGACCCCGGCCGACTCACTGGTTCCGTGGACGCATGCGCACGGGTGTGCGCGTGCGCGCGCGCTGCGCTCTCAGCTGTCCTGGTTGTCACCTCTCGCTTCCCAAAAAAGAGCAGGAAATAAACATCCAAATTCATCTTTCCTCAGAATGGAGTTTTGCTGCAAAGAAAAACGTGACTCAAACCCTACAGGATCTGGAGGTAACGCCGCCTGGGGAGCCGCTGAGAGGTAAGGCGCAGCCCAGTTCTCGAGAGCTGACTGCCCGAGGGGCCAAACTGACAAGGATTTTAAGACAGAAACCTTTCGGCCACCGCTCACTTCAACGTTGAGATTTCCAAAGTTTGTTTGTTTGTTTTCCCTTATTTCAGGAGACATTTTTGCATGAGGTATTTGAAATTCAGGAACATTTTGATTCTTCTTGAAGTGCAGGAAATAGATTGGCTCTCTTAAAAGAAAAATAAAGCGAGAGCCTCACCCTCAGAAACTCGTAGAAAGTGGAACCTGGCAGACACTTCCGTGGTGGTCAGGGAGAGAGCGCCCCCACATCAAAGGTGGCACCTGAATATGCACCGATTAGCAAAAAACAAACAAACAAAAAAGAAACGAACAGAAAACAACCAACAAAACCCCGCGGACGCCCCCTCCCCCCAGCCACACACAACTCGAAGGGAGCTGGAACTCCAGTGCAGTAAAGAAAGCTCAGGGGGAGGGCTCAGGTCTGGCAAGTCATAGCAACTAAGGGCCACCAGGCCTCAGAACCAAACACTCAGGCCGCTGGTCCAAGGGCGCGGCTCCGCTTCGGCGAGAGGGAGCTGCCCCGGGCAAGCGGGGATGGGGACCGGGTCCGACCGCCCCTTCCTGGAGGCGGGCAAAGCCGTCCAACTCCTCCCTCTGGCCTCCAAGGCTGAACCACCAAGGCCTGCTCCTGGCTGGGGACCCATGATGGGGTGTCCTGGGAATGAGACGGGATCCAGCTGTTGGCTCCATGGGGTCAGGACCGTGACGCAGAAGCAGGTGGATTTCCTGGACTGCAATCTTGCACCTGCCCTCCCCACCCCCAGGGTGGGGGTCGGGGGACCTGGAGAGGCAGAGGGCGGCAGGTTCCTTGTGGAGTTGAAATCCAAGCAACGTCCTGTCCTGGGAGAGGAAGTTCAGCACCGGCTACTCCTGCCGTCTGCTGGCTGCCTCCTCAACCCTTTGATCGCCGTGAGCCCACCCTGCCGTCGGCCATGGGAGCCATTCCGTCTTCAGTGGTGTTGGGGAAAGCTGGGTGGTAGGGGCAGAGGGTGGAAGCGCCAGAAGTCTAAGGGTTCTGCACGTCCATTTGGGACGCTTGGAAATACCAGGCTCAGATGCCCCGAGGAGGTGAGCATATCAAGTGGCTGGCGCTTGGGGACACGGTGCCCTGACATCTGAGACTCCTCGAACCCCGCAGGCTGGGCAGGTGGCCAAGGAGGTCCTACTCACCAGCAGCCTCAGGCTCTCCTCCTCCCTGCCTGCTCTGTTCCCACTTAAGTCCCAGGGCAGGGAGGAGTGAGATGTGAGGGCTGGGGCAGTGGCAGCCTCAACAAAACCGAGAGGGCACTTTGCAAAGGGAGATGCAAAACAACCAGGAAAACATGCCAGAGGTCACCTCAAGGGCACAAGGCACAAAAAAGAAAGCGGGAGGAATCAGTGAACAGTGACAAGCCCCGACGAAACGCGAATTCCTGATGGGTACCACCCTCAAATAGCTTATATCGTTAGAGAGAGAAGTGGGCAGGGGGGGAAGGGGGGACAATACAGCAGCAACGCAAATGTAATCTTGGCTTCAGAGACAGTGTCTGACACTCCTGAGCTGTCAACCCGCCTCCACAAGGACAGTCACTTCAAGATTCGAGTGTTTTGCTTCACAGCAGAAAGTTCTTCAGTGTCTGAGAAGTCGCGCCGTTCTAGGTTTTCTTGGATTTGCACTTGGTAAACTTGGAAAGTTAGTAGTTCCGACCCGAGGGCTCGCTCGGGGAAGCTGGAGAAGTAGGCCGGCTGACGGGTCTCCCATGAAACTCGGACCGGAGTCTGAGGCGCATGTCTACATCTCTTCGGAGTTTTGTTGCGAAGCCTCCAGTTTCATCTTTTTGGAGGGGGGCCCTCCTTCCAAATCCTTGGGGGAGGAGAGAGAGAAGAGAACGGCAGGTTACCAGGCCAGGAGATTGATGAGGGCAGCCGTGAGGTTCAAGGTCAGTCCAGGAGGGAACCGAGGGCAGGACCCTTGGCCAGCCCAGAGAGCGTGGGCTTTCGGAGGCTCACGGAGCAGCGGGGAGCCTCCGGCCCACACTCCCCCCGTGTCTCCCAGGCCTCCAGTCACCCCGGCCCTGCCTGTCCCCATCGCCTCCCTCCAGGTGCCCCCCCACCTCCACCTCTAAGCTCTCCCTCCCTGCAACCCGCCTGGAGCGGATGTCCCCATCGACCACCTCCCAACCTGTAATTCACGGCCACGGCAATCATTTACACACGAGTTTCAAGTTCACTTCTCTGAGTGCCCTAGGCCGGCCTGGCCGGCGTGCAGCTGCTGCCCAAGGCCCAGCACAGGCCTGGCCCTGGCGGACGCCCAGCCTTGGTCACAAGTGCACAGGGATGTCGCTCTGGGGAGAGGCACCGGGAACCGCTCAGCACAGTGGACACAGTTTGTCGTCAATGCTGGGACACCGCTGAGTCCCTGCTCCTCTTCCGGGAGCACAGAGGGTGACAGTGGGGGCAGGGCGGTGGCTGAGGCCGCACTGAGGCACGTCCCGTGGGCAGCTTCATCGCGCGTCGCCCATATTCTGTCACCGCATTGCACCCTGTCCCCAGGGCGGCTCTGGGTTCTCATTCTGGCAGCCGGAGACTGAGGCTCAGGGTGTGCTATGCGGCAGAGCTGGGATTCGAACCCAGGACATCTGCTCCTGTCCACCGGGCCACCGGCTTCTGCACTGTCTGCCTCAGACCAGATTCGGACAGTGAGGACCCAGAAAGTGGTCCAGGCAGGAGGCAGTGTGGTCTGTTGCAAAATGTTTCCAAAGAATGCTTTCTCCAGCCTTTGAGGATTCTGAAGATATAGCTCCCCCATGCTGAAGGCAGTTGGCTTTGGGTCACTGAGAGCAGGCAGGGCCTTTGTGGGTGCAAATAAAGGGACCCTCTTCTGGCTACACCCTCCCGGGTCCCACCCTGCACTGCAGCCCCAGCACCCAGGGGGCGACACAGGATGCTCACGCGTCCTGCTCGGTGAGTACACGGAACTTCCGGTCGTCCGACGAGACAGCAACACAGCAAAATAACAAAACACCTTTCAACGTACCCCCGGCGCCCCAGCAGGCGCCCGGCCGCCCTGGCTGCCCCTCTGAGGTCTCGATCAAGGTACCTGAGAGATTGAGGACGTCTCTGCAGCCAGACCCGCCTCGGCCGACGGCTGCCTCTCCACCTTCTCTGAGCTGTTCATCGAGTTTTCTGCTGAAGACTGGGAGTTCGGCTCGTCAGAAGCATCTGCAGGAAAAAGCAAGATGACAGAAGCTGTTTCCAGGCACGTGATTCGGGCGGCCAGATGGACCAGTTACTAAAAATACCGGGAAACTGGGCGTCCTGGCAGTCTGTCAGGCCTACAGTAAGCTGGGGTGGGGTGGGGTGGGGGGGAGGAAGCTGGGAAGCCTCTTGCTTATTTTTTAGAGGTATTGTTTTAAGCAGCGAGGCCACGTGCTGGCCCCTGCGGCCTCTGACCCTTTCCTGCACATGCAGGACCAGCTGCCAGGTGGCCCTGGAGGAGGCCTAAATGATGCACCAGACTCATGCCACGTGCACGTGGTGCCCTCTGGTGGACACAGCGCGCTCCAACCACGAAGCAGAAAACAAAAAAAATCTAGTTAAAAATCTCCGATCATCTCACACCAACCACAGCCCCCACCCCAGTCACATTTTAGAAGATTTAGTCCCATTTTTCCGGATGTCGTCCCCTACCTGTGCCTAAGTCTCCTCTCTCCCCACGTGGGGATTGTGGAGTATTCTGGGAGAATGTTTCATGTCTTTAAAAATCCTCTAAACACAAGATGGCTGCACAGCATTCTCACCAATCCTTTATTTAACAAGCCCTGTGCTGTCTGTCAGTTACTGGGGCTCTGTCTCATGCACTGGTCTCCCTGCCCCCCCCAACCCCCCCCCCTTGCCCAGGGCCCCGTTCTGCAGGCCCCCAGGACCCCAGGAACACAGGTCACCCTGATTTTTTTTTAAGTCCACTGCAATACTCAAGAATGCCTCACTTTCTAGGGTTTCCGAGACGCCCCGCCAGGGCCTGGGCTGCGGCTTCCTGCTGCTGCGGGTCAGGTCAGGGGTCAGCCCTCTCCGGGGCTGGCCTCCGCCTACGAGCTGGTGTCTGTTTATAGACGCGCCTGGGTTCCGGCGCTGCCTCTGCCACCTGTGTCCTGTGGGGGCCCGGCCTCTCCGCCTCCGGTTCCCCTCCCCCCACCCTGGTGCAACCACGGCGGGCAGCAGCCACCCTGGTGAGTCACTGAGGATTAACTGGAAGGACAGGAAAAGTACCCACGCGGCGGAATGACCCCCCCGGTGGGAGTGGCTCAGGGGTGATCCAGGGCACAGAACCCAACTCCCCTCGAACCAGACATTTCTTTGGTATTTTCAGTTCTACCTTTCAGGTTACACACAGCGTTACCGTACGACCCAGCAACGCCCCTCCTGGGCGTAGACGTAAAGGAACGGAAGACGGGGGCCCCCGCACGCACGCACGCACGCACGCCGCCACGCAAGCGTCCGCAGCAGCCCTGTGCGCAGCGGCCGGGAGAAGGGAACAGCCCAAATGCAGACCAACCGCGGCGGGGGTGAGCGACGTGGGGTCCGTCCGTACGGCGGCACGTGACTCGCCATGAAAAGGAATGGAGCACCCACGCGCGCTCCCGTGTGAGTGAGCCTGGAACACGGGATGCCGCGTTTCGACGGCAGAGGGCAAACGCCACGTGCGTGCGACTCCGAGGACAGGACCTGCCCGGAACAGGTAAGTCCTCGGGGACGGAGAGTGGGGCGCTGGGTGCCAGGCCCGGGGGGAGGGGAGATGGGCGTGACTGCCCACGGGGACGGGTTTCCACGTGGGGAGGGGAAAAAGCCTTCGAGCTAGAGGCGACGGCTGCTCCACACGGTGGACGTGCTGGATGCCGCTGACGTGCGCGCCTCCCCGTGGTTCTGTGAAGTTCATCTCCATTAGAAAAATCCACATTAATATTATACTCTGCTTCGTAAAATGTGTTTGATTTCACTAACACTTTCCATTGTAACTGTCCTGCCTCTGACCATAGTTCCCTTTCTACCTACCGAGTGGGCCTCACGGAGCAGGGGGTGGGACCCCCGATGCAGGCGCCGGAATCAGGAAGGCGGCTGGCGGGCGGAGAGTCTCGCTGAGCCCCCACCCGGCCGGCCGAGCGCCCGGTGGGAACCGGCCCTGGAGCTCGCGGAGGGTGCGGGGCTCAGCGCAGCGGCCTGACTCTTCTCAGAACGGTACTGGAACTCGCCCAGGGGAAATTATTTTCCTGGGGCCTAAATTTAGTCCAGGGAGTTTGAACATTATGTCATTCCCTGAACTCAGTCAGCAGTAAACAAGTTCAAAGCAAGGTCAACAGCTGGTGACCAACACACTCTGTCCCACAGGTGGCGTGCGCCCACCTGGGAAGTGGGGAGCTCAGGCAGCCCCTGGCAGGGGGCAGGGGGCCCGCCTGGGCAACGCTGGGCAGGAGTGCAGGACCAGAGGCCCGGCGTGGCCCGGAGGGGACCCTGCTGTGGCTCCCACCTGGACCTGGAAGGTTCGTGGGGTGGGAGTTACCAAAACGTGGCAGTTATTATAGAAAGAAGCCCTAACCTAGGACATGATTCCTGTAACTGGCCCTTTAAAAGGAAACACAGCCCTCAAACATGGACGAGACAAGGCCATGGCCAGAGGGGAAGCAGGACAGGAAAGCAGCCAGGATGTGTCTCACACCTGGTCCTGCACAGCCCCACCCCTGGAGCCCCGGGTCACCCCTCGAGCCCCGGGTCACCCCTCCCTGCAGCTCACCAGGCCCTTCCTAGCGCCGGGCTCAGCGGAGCATTTCACACTCTCGCACAGTTTCCTGCAGCGGCCTGGCCAGAGAGACAACTTTTATTTGCCTCTTGTTTCATAAACAAGGACACAGGAAAGTGTGCAGGAGGAGTCACGGCCAGGCCAAGGCCACACAGCTGGCAGGTGTCGCCCAGATGTGACAGGTCTGTCCTATGTCCGCGGCGCCCTGGCTCATGATCGCGTGGCGGCCTGGGCGCTGTGACTCACAGCCCAGCCTCATGAGAGAGGAGGGACCGCACATGCTGGCCTGGGGAAGTTCAAGTTCAAACAAGTGCGGTTTCTACCGAATGTGTGCAGCTTTCCTATCCCCCTAAAGTCAAACCATTGTAAGTCAGGGACCCTTGAAATGGAAAGTTTCATTTACAGGGGTCCAGAGACCTCAAAATAAACATGCACACACCCATACACACACTCATGCAGCCAGACCCACACCACTTCCTCCTGCCTCCTCCTCCCCCCTGCCCTCTCCTCCCACCCGGCCGAGGGCAGCAGCCCAGCCACTGGGCCCCTCGCCCGCCCAGTCTCCCCGGGGACACACTGAGTGTGCTCCGGCCGCAGGGCCTTTGCACGGCGGCGCCCTCTACTCCCGGCATTCCCCCAGTCAGCCGGGGGCTTGCATCCTCCCCTCATTTGCTCGGCGAGGCTTTCCCTGACCCCCCGGCTTAAAATTGCCACACGCTCCCATACTGGGGCAAGACACCTCATTCCCCCTTCTTATTTTATACTTCTCCAGAGCACTTATTTTCCACATACTAGATTTGTGCGGTTTTTAAATTGCACCCCTAGGAACACGAACCCAGGCATTGCCTTTCTGCTGGTGGCCGCCTGGGGCCGGCGCATGGTCAGGCCTCCTTAGAGACCCGTTGGCACCTGTCTGAACGGAAGGCTGGACAGAGACCCCTGATGCCCACCCCCAGCGCACGTACCTTCTGTCCCAGGGAGCTCCTTCCCCTCGGCCTGGGCCTCGTCGGCCTTGGCACCGGTGCCCTCACCGGGCGCGGACGAGTTGGGCTCCGGCGCGGGGCTGGAGTTGCTGCTGTTCTCCTGCTTGATGGGCGAGGCGTCAGCGATGGAGCTCTGGTTGCTGTTGTCGTCTGTGGGGGGAGCAGAGCCCCAGTGAGACCCCGCAGCAGCGGAGGGGAGGCAGGTTGGGGGGTTCAGCCTCCCCACAACACCTCGCTGCCTGCAGCAGGACACGGCCCGCTGCCTGGGGGGGTGGGAGGGGCCCCTCTGAGCTGGCGCACCCAGGGCCACAGGCTCCCTGAGAACCCCGGGGTTGGAGGCGGCCAGCCGCACACAGTGGGGGCACGTGGTTAAGTCTTTGGGGGACCCCTGAGGCCTTGCGCCGGGTGTCCCGGGTGAGGAAACCAGACATCCTCCAGCGCACCTGGCTCTGAGGCCGGGGGCGGCGGAGCCAGAACACGTCCGGCGACCTGATCGGGCCTCCGGACCGGCTTCCACTGCAGCCGAAACAAAAGGGAGAGAAGGACAAGCTAACCACCAGGAGGACATTCCGCAGGACAGCTGGCCCAGGCTCTGCAGGTCAAGGCTCAGAAAGAACCAGAATCAGGGAAGACTATCACAGATGAAAGGAGTTTAAAAGATCTAACAGCTAACCACGTTGTGAGGAAATTATTTGGGTCCTGTGTGTTAAACATGGCCAGGTCACGTTTTGGGACATTTCGGGAACATGAATAGTCTGGACTTGAAAGATATTACGGAATTGTTGTTTCTTCGGCCAGGGTGACCACGGCACAGAGTACGAGATGTCACTCATTAGGGACGCGTGCTCACGTGTCTCAGTGCAGGCTGACACCTCGCGGCAAGGGGACACTCACTCTGAGATGCTCGAACACGGGCCACACGGGCCCCTGTCAGAATTCCCTGAACTTTACGCCCAAGAGCTGTGCGTCTTGTCTACCTACGTGGTGTTCCCATCAGAAAAAAGTTACACTAGTCTCTCTATGATGAAATTACTTTTTTTTTTAAGATTTTATTTATTTATTTCTTAGAGAGAGGGGAAGGGAAGGAGAGAGGGAGAGAAACATCCATGTGTGGTTTCTCCTCACGTGCCCCCAACTGGGGACCTGGCCTGCAACCCAGGCATGTGCCCTGACTAGGAATCGAACCGGCGACCCTTTGGTTTACAGGCCCACACTCAATCCACTGAGCTATACCAGCCAGGGCTATGATGAAATCTTTCACAATAAAAGTAAAAGCTGGAGGCAAGTCCATCCGGCCATGACGTTGGTAGGGGAGTTGATGGTGGGGCTGGGGGTCCCGGGGCACACATACCCTTGCTCTGGACCCCTTGTCTTGGGCACAGAGAGGCATCTTAAACTGTAGATATCCAAGTATCGACTTTATTTTATTTTTTAATAATTTTTTAAAATTTATTTTTAGAGATGGTAAGGGAGGGAGAAAGAGAGAGAAACATCAGTGTGTGGTTGCCCCTCCTGTGGCCCCCACTGTGGACCTGGCCTGTAACCCAGGCATGTGCCCCGACTGAGAACCGAACCTGCGACGCTTTGGTTCGCAGCCCGCGCTCAATCCACTGAGCTACGCCAGCCAGGGCCAGGTATGGACTTTAAATACTACTACAATCCGATGCCGCTTTTCTGGGCCATGGCACACACCTGGGCCCAAGGCCACTTTTGTAAAGATGGGGGGAGCGGAGGACAGGCAGATCACGGTCGGGGCACCTAGTACATGTCGGGCAACGGGCAGGAGCCACCTTGTTTAATCTGCTAGACAACCTGCCAGGTAGGCGCCGTCACCGCCCTCACTTTACAGAGAGGGAAACCGAGGCCCCGAGAGCGGCAGAGCCCCTGGCTCAGGCCAGTCCGCCCGCCCCCTGCCCCGTCTTTCTTCTGCCGCCGGCGCCGTGGAGCCGGCGGGTGCCAGGCAGTCCCGCAGCCCTCACCCGGGAAACTGCGTCTGACTTTAAGTGGCCTGTGCAGCGCCCGAAACACAGAACATTCTCTTGTGCATTCTGGGGCTTAAAAAGGGGGGGGGGGGGAAGATGTACGCTCCTCCGATTTACCTTTTGAGAAAATCTAAACTTCCTTCCTACGCCCAGATCCGTGCGCACGCGAGTGAAAGGCACAGAAGCCCGGTGGGCGCGCGCGCGGTGGGCAAGTGCGCGACACCAGCTCTCACGTTTAGCGGGTTCGCTGCCCGAGTCTGGCCTGGTCTCCTGGTAACAGCGGGACCCTCCCTCGCCGCTTACTGCGGTTAAGCGGAAGGAGCGGGATGGAGGTGCCCCCTCCCTTCACTCCTGCTACCCCATCCCCCCACCCGGAGCCTGCGGGGAAACCCACCCAGGCCCGCGTCTTTCCCGGCACCTTCCCACTCGTGCGCTCTCCCCGCACATGCGCTGAAAGGGACACGTGCCCCGGCCGGTGGCTCAGTCGGTGGGAGCGTCGCCCCAATGCGCCGAGCGGGCGGGTTCCATCCCCGGTCAGGGCACACACAGGCAGCAACCAGTGGATACAACAACAACCCGACGTGTCTGTGTGTGTCTCTCTCTCAAATCAATTTAAAATTTTTTAAAAATAAAATAAAATGGAAATGATACCAGGAAGGTGCGCATGGCTCCTGGTCTGTTCGCCATTCTAGCGTTTTTCTGGAGCGTTACTCTAGATGTTTCTAGTGGCCGCACGCTTGGATCCAAAGGACCGCGCATGCGAGCACCGGCATTCAGGAACTTCCCGCTGCCTGGCCAGTGGCGGCACCTTCCGCGGGGCCTCTCTTTGCTCATCTGTGTAGTGGGCTTGTTTTCAGGGTGAAATGAGGCGATGAAATGGGCTTGCTAGCAGACACTTGGCACCTTATAGCGGCTTCTTAAATGTTAGTTACTAACATGCCAAGGCTTTAAGAAATTATCTACTTAGCCCTGGCTGGTGTGGCTCAGCCGACTGAGTGCCAGCCTGCAAACCAAAGAATCCCTGGTTCGATTCCCAGTCAGGGCACGTGCCCGGGGTGTGGGCTAGGTCCCCGGTTGGGGGGCATGCAAGAGGTAACGGATCGATGTTGCTTCTCCCTGTCTTCTCCCTCCCTTCCCCTCTTTCTAAAAAAATAAATAAAATCTAAAGAAAAGAAAAGAAAGAAAGAGAAAAGAACAAACAGTGGTGTCAACACAACCGCAGACTGGCTAAAGCACGTCCCCAGCCTGGACTTGCTCCGTAGGACACTGGTGACAGCTTTTGAAACAAGACAACAAAGGAAGGCAGGCTGTCGATGTGCTTTGACGTGAAGTCAGAAACCCAGGTGGGAGCTTCCTAGCAGCCAAAGCAAAACAGTAAATGGGACCTACAGTCATCCGTACGGTATGTCAGGACCAGGAGGGAAAAAGAACAGGGTTATGTCCCAGAACACGGCCAGCGATAGATGTTTTTTGTAGTCCTCACCTGAGGACACTTTGCTATGGCCTTCAGAAAGAGAAGAAGGGAGGGACAGAAACATCAACTGGCTGCCTACTGCGCACACCCGAACCGAGGATTGTACACACTCAGATTGGGGGTTAAAGAGGCAACCTAGGCACGTGCCCTGACCGGGAATCGAACCTGCAATATTTTGGGTATGAGACGATGCTCCAACCAACTGAGCCACACCAGCCAGGGCTCCTGTTTGTGACCCTGGGTGAGAAGAGGCTCTTACTTTACGTTTCCCGGCGTGTGGGGCTGGGGAAGGAACTTTCTTCCCGGTCCCTGAGCCTTCTCCTTGGCACCCAGGCCCAGTCCTGCCCGGCCCTCCTACCCCTGGCCTGGAATGTGGACGGACCTGCCGGGGAGACAACACGGCCGGCCGAGGGCAGCGCCTGAGCCGGGGAGCTCACCGTGCATGTCCATCATCCCCGGGGAGGAGCTGTTCTCCGGCGTGGTCACCTCGGAGCCGCACTTCTCATCTTTGCCCTTCTTCTTGTTCTTGTTTTTCTGGAGGAGAGAACGGACCGGAAGCCGAGTCACCCCCCCCCCCCCGGCTTGCCCCCAGGAGCGGGACCCAGGAGGGTGGCGTAAATACTGTATTCCGCTGACTCATCTCAGAGCCTGCAGGTCCCCGGAGGGCTCTCGGTGGCCTGTGCCGGACGTGTCCCTTTAGGGGGCCCCACCTGCTTTGGCATCGGGGCCCCGCAGAGGTGGGGGCCGCTGGGGCTAGGGGACGCGGCTAAACCGGAGGGTGGTGGGAGGCCCCTCCTCCTTCAGGGAGAGGATCCGGGGAAACGGCCACCATGGCCACCGGCCCAGGGCAGGCACGGCAAAGCCGGGGGAGCCAAGGAGAAGTGCGGAGTCCGCCTGTCCCCGCTGGACCCCAGGGCAAGACCAGGGGAGGCGGCGGGGGGGGCGCGTGCTTTCTACCCGAGGTTCCGTGTCTTACAACTGGAACAGAACCACGTGAGGAGCAACCTGGGTCTACGGGTGAGAGACTCGTCAGACAAGTCACGGAGCATTCATCCAGCACAGGGTGATGTCACAATCACAGAGGATAAGGCAGCGCTTCGTGTAATGACGGGGAGCGATGTGCAAAAATGTCAACGCTAAACACATCTCCAGCGTCTCCGAGACGTCTGCATAACAGGCGTGGAGGCGAGCGCCGCCGTTCCTGGGCCAGGAGGGAACTGGCGAACGCGTGTGTTTGTGTGTCTGTGGGCCGCCGGGAAGGGTGAACCCTGGGCGCCTCCTCCCAGGAAGGAGCTGACGGGGAGTGGGGGGATGGGGAACGAGTTATAGAAAGATACACAGCATAAAAAGGCACGTCTGAAGACTACCCCAACCTACAAAGACAGAAAGGAGACGGTGGTTTCCAGGCTCTTGGGTCAGGGGGACAGCGGTGGCCAAGGTCTTTTTGGGGCGACGACCCTGTTCCACAGGGACCCCGAACCACAGCGGTGACAGAGACGCAGCTGCGTCTCGGAGCCCTAGCACTTGACGAGAGTGACTCGTCTGGCAGATGAATGGGCTCGGGTGATAAAACGTTCTTTTTCAGGGTGACGACTGAATTTTGTGAGGCTGTTTGTCTATTTAAAAGAAAGTTCTCATGGTCTGAAGAAAAGGAGGGTGTGGCCACGTTGCAGCCGGGTGTCCTCACAAGGCAGACTCCAGGCCGCAGCGGTCAGAGACGCGGGGTCAGCCGACTGGGGCGGGGCCCGGGAACCTGCATTTCTCCAAGATTCCCCAGGGGATCCATGCTCAGCCAGGCGTGGGGCCCACCGCCCTCCAGGGAGTGGGGGTGGGGAGATGGCAGGCTGTTCGTCCTGGCTCCCCGATGGCAGCGAATGAGCCTTTGTCGAGTGCCGCCCGCGTAGCCACGCTGGGGTGAGGCCTCTCGTGCGACATGTCACCTCGGCTCCCCTGCAGACCCCCCAGGAGCTGGGGGTCACTGCTCCGTCGCACGAAAGAGGAAACTAAGGCCCAGCATCACAGGGTCTCCGGGGACAGGTCCGTCCAACCCCAAGCCCCGCTCTCTGCGCGCTCTGCCCAGCCCGGGGCGGCCCGGTCCCTCCCGACAACGACGGCCCATATATTATGTTTCCTCCTGGATCACAATCCATTTGGCGCTCGCTCCCCTGCTGTCTGTTTCGTGCTATTCTATAATTATCTTCCCCCAACGAGATTATAAATTCCTTGAGAGCAGGGACCACGTCTTCTCCAACGCAGCGGCGCTCACCCAGCACCTGATGGTGTGCGCGGCACAGGCGGCGGCCGCGCCGCAGCTGCCCGCGAGGAGCCTGGCGGCACGCTGCTCCTGTCCACTGCGGCTGGCAGCAAAGGCCGTGGCGGCCCGGGTCTCGGGGCCTCTGGGGCAGGCGGCTCTGGGGGCTCCATGGGCCCAGGCCAGAACCAGAAGGGGCAACAGAAGACGGTGGGTGGGAGGGGCTTCAACCCTGCCTTTCAAGCCCCCTGGAAACCTGCCAATCAAGACTGTGTGAGCCCTGGGGCAGATGAGACCGCGTGGCTTGGCGTGAGCCGTCCCCCCGAAGGAGAGGGCTGTCCGCGTGCACAGGACCGGCACCCCAAGTGGGAGGAGGAGCCCGGGCAAAGGCCTGGAGGTGGGCTGGCCATGACGGTAGCTGGCCTGGGCGCCACTAAGGGGCCCAGAGGGACTGCCACGGATCCCTCCCTGAGATGGAGCGCAGCCGCCAGGGCTCCCTCCAGTGGTCACAGCCGCCGCCGCCCCTCCCTGAGCCGCCCAGGCCTCCCTGCACAGGACTCGCTCTGGGGTGAGGGGGAAGCGCAGGCTCTCTGGGAGCCCAGAGAGAGCCCGTGCTCTGAGCCAGACACGCCGACACCTGCTGGGCGGCCCTGGGGATGTGGCTCTGCCTCTCTGAGCCTGCGCCCTCACTTGTGCAAGGGGACAGTGGTCAGCTCCGCAGGCTCAGTGTGAGGAGGGAAGGAGGTGGAGGTGACCCCTGGCGTGCGCGCACACAGCCCGCTGCTGTGACGACGGCAGGGCGCGCCTGCCTGTCCTCTGGTGCCACCACGGCCGCCCCCTGACCATGGCGCCCAGGGCCCCAGGGAGGGACACGTCTGCCTGCAGGCCAACCAGGGGGCACTCAGCCCGAGAGAGGACACGCAGGGGGCACTCCGGGGGACGGGCCCCTCGTACTCACGTCGTCAACCTTTGGCTCCGTCACAGGGACCCACTTGTAGATTCGCAGGGACGTGTCGCCCACGGTCACCCACTTCTTCTCCCTGTGGGGGAGGAGGAAGAGCCTGTCACCGGGGCCTCGTCAGCAGTGCCCCACCCCGCCCCTCTGAGGGGGCCCTGGCCGCACTCCCTCGGGGCAGCTGTGATACAATGACCCCTCGGGGTTAAGAGAACAAGTTTTAGGTCCCGGTTCGAATCCCAGCTCTGCCGCTCACTGGACCCCTGGGCAAGTCCCTGCCACCGGAGCCTCTGTGTCCCCATCTGCAGGACCCCGTGTGGCTGTTGGTCCTTCCAGGCTGCCGTGAGGCTCCCCTAAGACAATGCCTGGTCAAGTCTCCCTGGTGCCTGGCGGGGGGATGGGGGAGGCTGCCATTGGGATGGCTCCTCTGGATGAGGGGGGCCGGGCCCCTCGGAGGCAGCAAACGGGCGCCCCCAAGCCCTCAGGGCGGCAGAGAGGGCTTCAGGCCAGCCAGGTGTTTCCTCCTGGGGGCGGGGCGGGGGGCTGGGGTCAGGGGGAGGGAAGCAGGGCCACACAGCTGGGCTAACCACCCCGCCCCTGCCGCCGCCATCAGGAGGGGCGGAGCAGGCAGCAGCGCCGGGGCGACCCTGCGTGCCCGGCGGCCCCAGGGCGGCCCCCAAGCGCTGACACCGAGGAGCTGGGGCTGCGGGCCTGTGCTTCAGGGTCTGAAGGCCCAGGTCGGTGCAGCTGCCTCGCCTCCCTGCTGGCTGCACCCTGAGCTCCTGGGGGCTGTGTGCAGGGTGCCCGCTGCTACCGGCAGGTTTACGGGTGAAGAGGAGGGAACCTCGGACCACGAGGAGGCAGAGGGGTGAGTGTTCTCTTTAAGGTTTTATTTATTTTCAGAGAGAGGAAAAGAGAAAGAGGGAGAGAAACCGTGATGTGAGAGATACACTGATGGGTTGCCTCTTGTTTGCGCCCCAACCCGGGACGGAACCCGCAACCCAGGCCCGTGCCCCAACTGGGATCCGATGACCCTCCGCTTTGCTGGACCACGCCCAACCCACTGAGGCACGGCGGTCTGGGTGTGACTGGTTTTCGTGAAGGACGACAGCGACCACCCTTCTCCTCCCCACCCCTCTGCTCCAAGCCACTGCCATTCTCTACCAGGGGGTCCCACCCGAGGCCCAGGATGGCTGCCAACGCGGCCCAATGCAAAATTGTACATTTACTTAAAACACTGATATTTTTTGGTGATTCCATGTCACGGTGTATTTAACGTGTGGCCCAAAACAGCTTTTCCAGTGTGGCTCAGAAGTGCCAAAAGGTTGGACACCCCACTAGATTATTGTCACAGCCTCTGAACTTCTGTCCTTGACCCCCTGCAGTCCCTAAACCAGGCCATATCACTTCCTGCCCCAAACACAGAGAGGGACACCGAGAGGCCACACACCAGAGGACACCTAGGCTCAGGGAGAACCCGCCAGAGGGGTAACTGGGATTCGAACCCAGGCAGTTCTGCCTCCAGGGTCTGCCATCCCAGGAGAAGCGGGTCATGAAGGACCTGCTGTCTGCTCGATGAGGAAGTCAGCTGACGCGAGGGACCCGCAGTGGGAGGTGGGGGCCAGACACCACCCCCCCCCCGCCCCACACGGGCAGTGCAGCTGCCGGGAGCCCTCAGCAGTTTCAGCGACAGGTTCCACCCGAACCAAGGACCACGCATGGCCTGAGTACCTGTGCAGGTGAGCTGCCCAGCGCCTTCCACAGCTTCCCCGCCCAGATCTCAGCCTTGGGTCCTCCCCTCCATGGTGTGTGTGTGTGTGGGGGGGTGCCTTGTGCACCGCTTATGAGACCTGTTACAGCCGCTGGGCACCCCTTCCCCACAGGGGGCTCCGGGTCCCTGAGCCCGCTCAACCCCAGCCCACCGCACCCTGCACACCTCCACTCCCAGCACCGCCTGCGCGGAGCTCACCTGTTCGCTCCAGGGGAAGCCGGGCCCTCGCTCTGATTATGGTACCAGTGGCTGTTTCAGTGTGTCGGGTGCGCTGAGCGCCGTACACCCCGGCTCTAATCCTCCCACAGTCTCGGGCGGCAGGAACTGTCACAGTCCCCCCTCGACAGATAAGGAGAGGGAGGCCCGGGGAGGGGAAGCCATCCTCCCAGAGCCGGCACTCAGATGCCTCTCCACCCTGTGCCTGCCCCTTGCGGCCCGGACAGGAGGACGGACAGTAAAGGCAGGTCTGTAAGTCACTGCCTCCCCACCTCCCGGGGGCGGGACGGACAACCCTCCATCCCAGTCTTTCCCCACCTCCACTCTGAATGGTCAGGAGGTGCCAGGAAGGGACAGGGGCGTTCCAAGAAACAGTCTCAGTGACAAAGCAACAACCATAACAGCCGCTGTGTGCCGAGGCTTCGTGCCAAGCATTTTATTCGCGCGCCCTCTCTCCCAGAGATGACCCACGGGCCCGTGAAGGGGGGGCGGGGGCTACTATCACACCACTTCACAGATGGAGGCCCAGGGAGGTCATACCACTAGTCCATGCTCACACAGTGAGTCGGGGCAGAATCGGGCCTGGACACAGGCTCTGACTCCAGGGCCCACCCTCTGCCGCTCCGTCTCCCGTGGAAGCTAGGAACCCACTCCCAACGTGCCCACCGCTGGCACCGCACGCAAGCGACCACAGGCGCGCTTAGACTCACGAGCCCTCAACTGGCGTTCTGGGCGGTGCCCCAGGAGCTCAGCAAATCCAGGGCTTCATTGTGGTTTTAAAAAAAAAGTAATTGACTTGCAACACACAAGGCACCTTCCCAGGCAGGAGGAATGCTCCAGTGGGGGGCCTCCTCAGAGAGGTTCCCAGCCTGGCAGGTCAGGAGGGAGTCTTGTTGCTCCAGCTGGCGACCCCTGGCTCGAGTCCCCCACCCACCAAGTTTCAGCTGCGTTTCTGGGTGTGGCCACAGAGGGCTGCGGGACGGAGGGTAGAGAGTTGAGAACCCGACCTGGGCCTGCGGTTAGGCCTGCAGCCACCTGGGCAGAGGGAGCGCCAGAGCTCAGGTGCACGTCACTGAGCAAGCAGCAGGGAGGGCCGGAAGGGGCTTCACAGCTGTGAGCTCCGGGGGGCTCACCAGGCGGGTGGCTTGGCGGTGCGGTGGGACACGCCACATGGGCTCAGAGGAGCAGCTGAGCTCCCACTCCTGCCCCCAGCCCCCCACCGGGGTCACACGGCCCCCACCCGTGAGGGTATTAAGCTGTAGCTATGACCTCACGTCTCGGGTGGCAAACAAGTGGCCAACAGGCGTTGTTTTCTCCGGCCTACCTACTGCTTTTAAAAAATCTGAATCAGCTGACTCTGGTTGGTGTGGCTCAGTGGATTGAGTCCTGGCCTTTGAACCCAATGGTCGCTGGTTCAACTCCCAGCCAGGGCACATGCCTGGGTTGAGAGCCAGATTCCCCAGTAGGGGGCGCTCGAGAGACAACTACACATGTATGTTTCTCTCCGTCTCTTTCTCCCTCCCTTCCCATCTCCATACATAAATAAAACAAAAATAAAATCGTTTAAAAAGTCTAAATCAATTGCTAAACTTTACCGAAAACGTAAATTAGCAACCTTGCATGAAGCCAGCCCTGGACGCACCCTGGGCCCTGCACCCTGGGCCCTCCTGCCCACACGGCCCCCTGCCACCAGCCATGCTTAAGTCTCTCTCTTCCTGTCAGACTGGGCCCCTGGCTGAAAAGACTAAAGGGGGGTCCTGGCTACAGGAACGGAGCCCACAGCGCCCCCCCCAGCACAGGCTCCTATGTAAACTGCAAGCGCCCAGTCTGGATCCCCAGGCCAAGGCCAATCCCCAGTGTCCCCCCAGGCCCAGGCCCAGGTCCAAGGCCGTCTTAGGGTCACCCGGCTCCTTCAAAGAGAGCTCTAACTCCCTCACTCTGTAGTCCCCCCCAGGGCTAGTCCTTGACACCTCGGGAGGCCTTCCCCTCGCCTGACCTGCCCTGTGCCCGGCAGGAAGGGCACCCCCGGGGGGTGGGGGCAGTGAGGCCAGGCCCTAGGCACACACCACCCCTCCCCCAGGGACAGGTGGGAAGCCCTCTCTTTGAATCCGCAAGTCACTGAGGGACCCTTCAGACCAAAGGCCCAGGGGGTCCCCAGCCTAAGCCTAGTTCTCAGCTCAAACCCTTGCTCCCCGCCCAGGGCCTCCCTCCCCGGCCGTCCCCTACCCACCCTGGGCCTCCCAGCCCTGGCCCAGTTTCCCTGAAAAGGGGCCACCATTTTGTCCTCCCTTCAGCCATCTTCCGGCGGCTTCACACTCCGCCACCCTGCCCCGCGGGGACCCCAGACAGAGAGGAGCGGGGGATCTGCGGCCGCCGTGCGCGGGGTGGTCACGGCTGGCTGCTGGCTTCTTCCGGGGGGGCGGGGCGGGCTGGCACAGGGGTTGGTTGGGGGTCACCGGGGCTGGGGCAGAAGTACCGCCCAAGGCTTCCAGGCTGAAGAGTATGCCAGACACCGCCACCGTCCTCTGGGTAAAACAGAGAATGCTGACTTAACTCTGAATTTCACATAAACAGTGAACCTTTTTCCTCTTTTTTTAGTGTAAGCAAGTCCCCTATAGTGCATGAGGCATCCTTAGGATTTTTTAAAAAGTATTTTTAAAAATTATTTTGCTGTTTACCTGAAATTCAAATTTAACTTGGCATCCTGTGTTTTATTTCTTTCTTTCTTGCTAAATGTGGCAGTCCAGCCTCCAGCCAGCGGTGAGGTGCATGGTTGCTGGCCACAGTTAATAAACAACCCAAAGTCTGGAGGGCGGGCTGGGGCACCGTCCTAGAGCCTTCTGGAAGGTGAGATTTGGTTTCTCCGGGCTGGGGAAACCCAAGAAATAAGGCAAAGTTGTTTTGTTTTGTTTTGTTTTTTGCTTGGAAGGGGCAGGGGGAAAAGAAGAAGAAGAAACCATTGGCGAAATGTAGGTTTGTGTTTACAGAGTCAACCTTACAATAAAGACAACATTTAACGGTGCCCCCCGTGTGCCAGGGTCAGGGATCTGGTTCTGGGTTGGGGGCGGGGTAGGAAGCAGCGCAGGACCCCCTGGCGGCCAGGGTTAGAGAAGTTACAGGGTTTGCCCAAGGTCAAGGCAAGGAAGTGACTCGGATGCTCCGCCCTGAGGTCCCAAAGCCCGAGGTCGTTAGAGGACCGGAGAAGTAGTTTCCCAAAACACGGGGAGGGAGGAGATCCATTCTCTCCCCCTCCCCCGCAAACGCTGCCGGGCCCACGGCGGGGCTCGGGGTGGAAACCCCCCTCGCTCCATCGGCCCTCCCTGCAAAGCAGCTGGCAGGCGGGCGCTAGGGAGCAGCTGGCAGGGTGCAGGGCGACCTGGGGCAGAAGGTCCCACCACGCCTCCTGGAGCAGAGAATGGGTGGCAGCTTGCCCCTCGTGCCCTTCTCACCTCCGGGCGGTGACAGAAGGGACTCAGGCCCAGACTCGAGCTCTTTCTTTACACAGGCGGGAGGGGGACAACTCTAGGCTCCCCCTCGAGGGGGGGGGGCCACGGGAGAAGGGGCTGCGGGCTTGTTTTCCTGTGTGTGTTTTGGCCTGCAGCTGTTTCTGCCATTTTTAAATGGCTCCAGTCGGCCGCGGGGTGCCCTGCTCGCGAGGGGCGCTCCCACGGCCCCCGAGGACTTGGATCTCAACTTTGGAAGGCCTCCCCTTCTCACGGTTCTGAAAATTCTTTGTCCCATTGGAGCCAAACCCAGCCCTCCGCCGGGCATCCGGCCATCTGCAGGCAGCCCTTGCCATAGGAGGCCCGGGAGCACGTGGACTTTATTGATTTTCCTCTCGCCTTTTTTGTTGGGTTGGACTCAGAAAGGACAGCTAACTTGCGACCCGGCTAGACCGGATCCTCGCCCCCTGTGGTTTTTAGAGACCAAGGCGTTACTCAAGAAATGACACCCCTAAACATAAACACAGCCCGCCACGGGGGGCCTGACCGGATTTTCAGGCGTTTTAAATAAAGGGTCGGGGCGAGCCCGCTGGCGCTGACACTCCAGAGCGTCGCTCCTCTCCCTCCCTGACCCTGGTGAAGCCGTGGGAAAAAAAATAATAAAGTTGAAACCAGGGAGCTGGGAGTTTCCAACAAGTCCGCCCCAACCTGGCGATCCGCTGCGCCTCGGGCCTGGCCCTCCGGCCGACTCCGAGTCAGACCCCGCGGAGGCCGAGCAAGCGGTCGGTCCTATTAATTACCGTGAGGCCACGCCGGACACTCGAGCGCGAGCTGGAAGCCAACCCCGAGTCCCCTTGTCCCCCCACTCAGAGAACAAAACAACGGCTCCCTCCGCAAAACAAACACGAGCAGCTGGCTTGGGAAAGGCAGACGCGGCCCAGGACCGGTTTCTGGCCAAAAACAGTCGCTCGCCCGAGCCCCGCGCCCGGGTGCCGGGCGGAGACGGCGCAGGGGGTGCCCGGCGCCCCGGGCCCCGCGGCGTCCCCTTCTCGCGCTCGCCCCCATCTTGCTTCCCCGCCTAGAGCCCTCGCTCCAGGCAGCCCAAAGCGCTAAATTTAAACGGCTCGCGCTCTGCAAACTCCGCAGACTCGAGGGCGCCGGGCCTGGGAGGCGGGGAGCGAGCGAGCGAACGAGCGAGGGAGCCAGCCGGGGAGGGAGCGAGGGAGGGAGGCCCGGCGCGGGCAAGGGCGCGGGGGCCGGCACACTGCGCCGCCCGGGGCGCGCGGGGAGGAGACGGAGACGGCGGCGGCCCGCTCGGTGCTGCACAATGGAGCTCGCGCTCTCCCCTCCGCCGCCAGCATCGCGGCCCCGGCGCGCGGGAAGCCGCTTTCATGTGACTTGCACAAAACGAAATGGCTTCTGGGGCCGGCCCCGAGCCCCCCTCCCGGGAGCCGAGCGCCGCGGCGGGGACTGCCCGCCGCTCGGCCACCCGGCCCGGGGCGCCCCCGCCTCCGGGCTGCCGCCGCCACCGCCGCGCCAGGTGGGCGACAGGCGCGAGCGCACCTGGGCAGCGGCCGCGGCCCCCGCCTCGCGCAGGTGACCCGGCTGGCGCGCCGCCCGCCCTCTCCAACTCCCGGGCCCGCGGGCGACCGGGCGCTGCGCCCGCCGGCTTTTTGTATGTGATCCGGGGTCGGGCGGCCGCGGCGCCCAGCGGCGCCTCCGCTTACCATTTGCGCACTTTCTCGATAGCCGCCATGACCCTCTTGATATCATCTTTGGCCCGGCTCCTGGTCTCGGCTCGAACCGACCTGCCCGACATGGTTCTGGCGGGGAGAGAGAGGCTGCGAGCGCGCCGCCGGGTCCTGCTCGCGCTCCGCGGCGGCCACACTCGCGCCCGCCCGCCCGCCGCTCACTCACTCACACACAGACTCACACACACTCACACGCTCACACACATACACACACACAAAGCCGGGGCCGCCGCGCGCCCGGGCCCAGTGCGCAAGCGCCGGGCGGCAGCTGCACCGAGCAGGGGGCGCAGCGCCGCCACGGCCGCCAGCAGTGCGGCCTCCGGGCGCCGCCGCCGCGGGGCCACCGGCTTCCCGCCCACCCTGGGGAGGAGGCGAGGGGCGTCTGGAGACCCGGACCCCAGACCCCGGCACGCGGCGGGGGCGGCGGGCTCGCGGGCGCGCGGAAACTCACCCGGAGGCCGCAGGTGCCGCGGGGTGCCCCGGGGAGGGCGGGCTGGTCGCCGAGGGGACGCCTTCCGCGGGAGCCAGCTCGGCGGCCGGTCCACCGCCCCGGGTTTGCGGCAGCGGGTGCAGTAACGCAAGTTTCCTGCGGGGCTGTTGACTTCGCGGAGTTGAAGGCGGCGATCCAGGACGCGAGGTTCTCTTGGAGAGTTGAGAAACACTCTGCCGCGTGTTAACACGCAAGCTGGGACGTCGCTTCCCGTCCCTGCGTCCTTTTGGAAAACGGGGGTCGGAGGAAAGCTGTCTGGGGCGGGGCAGATCCCGAGAGACACTTGCTTACTAAATGGCTTTCAGCAGGGAAAGTTCAATGGTGACCCCCATTTTGGAGGACTCGGGAGGCTGTTTCTTCCCCACCCCGCCCCAGGACAGGTCTGTGGAGGAATCTCCGGTTATCAGGACAACCCAGGTGCCACACCTTTGGGTTCAGGTGCCGCTAGACCGACTTGACCAGAGCTAATTCACGCCCAGATGGATGCTGGGGAAGGTGGGAGTGACCCTGTCAGCAAGCTCAGGCCTCGGGGAGAGGCTCTTCCGGCACACCGGGGGAAACTGAGTCACGGGGAAGTTCAAGGTCACAGCCATAAGTTAGCGCTTTGACTCCCACTCACTCCAGAACCGAACAGTTTGCCCTGATGTGGGTAGAAAAGCCACCGGGGGAGTGGACTCAGGGGCTGCCCTGCAGGCCTCTTCCTAGGCACCTCTTCCCGCCGCTCTGAGCCCCGAGGTCCTCCTGGGGAGGATGAGGAGAACAGCGCCCCCCAGGCCCATTCTGAGGGGCCGTGCAGAAGCAAGTCCCACTGCAGCAGCCTTAAGCTGTCGGCCCTCTGACCCCGTCAGGCCAGCGGGTATGCGCTTAGGGCCACACAGCACTGCCACCCATGCATTTAAAATAGGACGGTGGCGTGTCAGAAGTCCACACATCAACTGATGCATGCACATGTCTGTCCGGCCGTTAAAAAAAGGGGGTGAAGCGCTGACACGCACCGCAGCATGGGCACATCCTGGAAGCGTGCTCCGTGGAAGAAAGGCAGCCGGCCGCAAGGGGACAGATGTTGTGTGATCCTGCTGACAGGAGATGCGTCCACTAGACGCAGCCACAGGGGCAGACGGCAGACCGGTGGCCGCCAGGGGCCACGGGAGTGGGGAGTGGCTTCCCACGCACTGGGGTTTCCTTTTGGGGTGATGCCGAAGTTCTAGGGGTGACAATGGCCCAGCACTGAGGATGTATTTAATGCCACTAAACTGTACACTTTAAAATGCTTATGGCGGTCACGTTTACGTTTTGTGAATTTTACTGCAATAAAAAGAAATCCAAATATCCGGCCTTGCTAGAAAGAGCAGGACACCTACCCACGGGGTCCCCAGTGGCGCCACATGGCAACCAGCAGCTGGAGCCGAGGGGCCTGGTGCCCCTCAGACAAAGCTCTCTGGGTCCCCAGTCCCTTTGCTCATGTGTCTTACCAGATGGCCCCTGAAGGAATTTGGTTTTGATCTCTGATTAAGCCGTACGGCTTTCTACAAATGTTCTTTATAAATCTAGTATGTCGCTTTTTATAGTTTCCTGCCCCCCCAGAAGATATTTTAAAACATCTTTCTTTCATCAAAGCACAGTTGTTTTATAGGCTGGGTCTGATGATTCTAGAGTTTGAAGTGTCTGAGGGTCTGTTTCTGCTCGTTCTTGCTCATGGTGTCTTATTTCCTTGCGTTCTGCCTGGTTCTCTTTGACTGTGCTTTACAGTGTACTAATAGGGCCCTGGCTGGTGTGGCTCAGTGGATTGAGCACCAGCCTGCAAACCAAAGGGTCGCCAGTTCGGTTCCCAGTCAGGGCACAGGCCTGGGTTGTGGGCCAGGCCCTCAGGGAGGGGTGCTCCAGAGGCAACCACACATTGATGTTTCTCTCCCTTTCTTCTTTCCCCTCTCTAAAATAAATAAATAAATAAACAAATAAAATAAAATAAAATGCATTAATAGGGACAGCCCTGACTGGTGTGGCTCAGTGGGTCGGGCGTCATCCTGCCAACCGAAAGATCGTGGGTTCGGTTCCCGGTCACGGCAAGTGCCTGACTTGCAGACCAGGTCCCCAGTTGGGGACGTGTGAGAGGCAGCCAATCGCTGTTTCTCTCACACATCAGTGTTTCTCTCCCTCTCTTTCCCTCTCCCTCCCCCTCTCTCTAAAAGTAAATGAAAATAAGTTCTTTAAAAAAATAAATAAAGTCTTTTTAAAAATAGGGATAATTTGCGGCCCGGGGTGAAGGTACCTTCCTTGAGAGATGCTTTACATGGGTTCCGCCAGGCTCCCGAGGACACCGCTAGTCCAGGACGACCCGCACCCAAGTTCAGGGCTCGTGGGTCCCTGGACCACCCAGGTGATGCCAGTATAGGCTGCCCCGCTGAGCAAGACCGGTTTGCTTCTCACACCCCGAGGGTGGGGTCAGGGGTGCGGGGTCAGTGGTGCGGGCCAGCTGGCTGACAGGCCCACATTTCCCGATTCTGCGTTCAGTGACCTCCGGTCACGGGTTGTCATTAGCATGGCAGGAGCATGTACACTGTGGGGATCGCCGAATGCTACACGCCTGTCGGCACCCTGTCCCCGCCCCGCCCAGAGCTGGCTGGCGACATTTACCAGCATCCCGCTCACCGGGGGAGGCTGCTGGGCGCCCAAATTACTGTGGGGAAGGTCTGCCCCAAAGCGTGAGCCTCGGGGTGAGTTTCCGATGGACTGGGGAGGCCTTGGGAAAAAAAATAGTTTTTGATAAGCCAAACACTGCAACCCGCCTCTCGGTACCTTTTCTTGCCTCTAACCACAACTATAGAAACCGTCACCAGCTCCGAGACTAGTGGGTTGGCAACTGGCGGCCGCCTGGATGCAGCTGGGCCACCTGTAGTCACGTGGAAACAGGGGGATGGTGGACCCAGAGTGCTTTGTGGGGGCCTCTCGCATGCCAAGTGGGGGCCGGCATCATCGGGACAGTCTTCTAACAATGAATGATTAAATGCAGACCGTTCAATCGAGACCCAGTGACCTGGGGCGAGGCTGGAACACGTCCAGGGACAGACTTGGCGAACTCTCAGCAACCCAGGAGGCCGCCCAGGTGTTGGCTGCTGCCCTCGCGTGGGTGCTGTCGCTTGGGCTGCCCAGCACCCGCGTGCTCCTCTGAGTTCTGGTGGAGCCTTTTGGGGGTGAAGTCAGCCCCCCATGACAGAACCTAGAGGGGGCCTCTCTCTCTCCCCCTTCTCTCTCTCTCTCTGTCTCCCCCAGGGAATTAGGCCCCGGGCACTAGCCAGCTGGTGAATAGTCGCGCCAGTTGATGTTCTTTTTTAATAATAGCTTTGTTAAAATACAATGAACATACCATAAAGTGAACCCCTTTTCAAGTGGTTTTTACTCTGCTCACTGAGTTGTGAAACCGTCACCACGATCCATTTTCGGACATTTTTGTCGGCCGAGAAAGAAACCTTCCCTCCGTCGCCGCCCGTCTTCCTCTCCCCTCCCCCAGCCCCAGCGCGTACTTCCTGTCGCCGCGGACTCGCCTCCTCCGGGCACTTCGCGCAAGAGAAGTCCCGTGTCCCTTTGTGTCTGCCTCCTTTCACTGGACACCAGCACCGCGTCCCTCTTCGGGGCTGCGTGGCATTCCACGGTGCGGGCGTGTCCCGTCCTGCTTCTCCGCTCGTCCGTGCGCGGGCGCTGGGTTGCTGCCGCTCCTCGGCCGTTCCGGACCACGTTGCTAAGGACATTCGTGCGCAGGCTGTTATGCAGACGTGTCTCCCTCCCTCTGACCTGGGTACCTGCTTGTGGGACTGCCGGGCCCCGGGGTGACTCTGGGTTTAACATTTTGAGGACCCGCGCAACTGCTTTTCCACGGTGGCTGCGCCGCCGCGCGTTCCCACCAGCAGTCAAGGGGGCTCCCGGCCTCTCCGCGGCCCCGCCAGCACGTGTTGCTGCCTGTCTTCTGGTCGGCCGTCCTGGTGGAGGTGCGCCTGGTGGAGGTGCAGTGGTGTCGTGCCGCGGCTTGGATTTTGACTTGGATTCCTCGAGGGAGGGAGGAGGGGCAGGGGAGACGGGGCTCACGGCCGAGCGGCCACTGGGGAGCCCACAAGGGGGTTTCCGACCTGTGGGCGTCTCTGGGTTCGGCCGCATTCACGTGATTGGGTGCCCCCGATGGAGACTGGGGGCCTGGGCTCCCAGGGGTGGCCGTGCTGTCGGCATCCCGGCGGCCTTTGGTCCCTGACCATTTCCCGAACGAGCTTCTCCAGCCCCCTCGTGGATTCTGCGAGTTGCCCGTCAGTCTCCCAGTAAAGCCCCGCTCCCCTACGCCAACCAGAGCCAGTTTCTATCGCCGCAAACCTGGGACCCAAACACCGCTCCAGGACAGCCCCGCAGGCACTGCACTGCCCTTCGGCTCCCCCGGACTGCGGCCACCGTCTCCCCACGGCTGCCCCTGTCCCCGGACACCCCTCCCGCCCAGTGCCGCGTCCTGTGCCTCTCGGGCACAAATCACATCCACGTCTCCCCCTTCACTTTCACCGTCAGGTTCGATGTCCTGGACTCGGCACACGAGGCCGTCTGTAACAGGGCCCCTGCCTGGCCGTCGCCCCGGGCCCCCCTGCCCCCGCATGGGCTCGGAGCGCCCCCTTTGTGTACCCTCCCCTCTGCCTTCCCCGACTTCCTCCCCCTCCTCCGCACCCACCCGCTCTGGGTGCCCCCAGACCGCGTCACAAGAGACTGTCACCGCTGGTGTTTCCCTCACGGCAATGTGACCTTCTGAAGGGCCAGAGCCACGCCTCGGGGCTCACGCACCCCGGCTCAGCACTCCATGTTGACACCGAGGTCCCCCCTGCGTTAGAGGATCTGCAGGCCACACGGTCCTGCTGTTTAGAGAAGCAGGAAGGGCAGAGGCGACCCACAGGACCCCGAGGAAGGGGCAGGTGGCCAGCGTTCGCTGAGGCTCTGCTGCCCGGCAGGCTGCCTCCTGGCCATCGCCAGGGACCCTGGCACGTGCGCAGTCGAACGTGATCGTGCGTGAAGGGACGAGAGATGACGGGGAAAACTGTGGTTACATTTTCTAAAAAGCACTGGAATCCCTAATAAAAAAAGAAGAAGGAGAAGAGGAAGGAGAGGAAGAAGGAGAAGAAGGAGGAGGAGGAGAAAGAAGAAGGAGGAGGAGAAAGAAGAAGGAGGAGGAGGAGAAAGAAGGAGGAGGAGGAGGAGAAGACACGCCAAGGTTTACGGGGCTGGAACCCCCTGGGAGCTGTTCCACCTCCGACTGTCGTCTCGAGAAAGAATGCAGCCACTTCAGGGCTGGCTGGCTCCGCGCGGGACTTATGTACGGCTTCTGGCTTTGAGGCACACTGCCCCCTCTTTCTGGAACGTTCTCCCCCTTTCCACAAGTGTCTCTCAGCTTCTCTGCCCTTCAGACCCTTGGGACGCCACCCCGCCCACCGCTGCCTGCCTCCGGACAGACGCGCTGGCCGGTGGACAGGCCGCAGCTCACGCTTCCTTCCGCACCGTCCCCGGGGCCACGGGGAGCAGGGGCGAGCTGTGCCACACTCGCCCCCTCCCAGAGAAAACACCCCACTTGCTTTGAAGAGTGGGAGATACGAACGTAAATACCGCATTCACGGGGCTGTGGGCTGTGACTTCCAGTCAACACAGCCAGGGCGCAGGAGGGGCGTGGGCAGTGCACAGAGGGTCAGTCCCCCTCGGCTGGGTGACTGTGGTGTTGAACTTCCCCACTGCACCATTAGCGACTTCGGCTGTCAGGAGAGGCAGTGCAGCCCTGGCTCGGTCACTCAGTCAGTTAGAGCATTGCCCCGATTCACCAAGGTTGCGGGTTCGGTCCCCGGTAGGGCACATACAAGAAATCAACCAATGAGTGCATGAATAAGTGGGAGAACCAATCGGTGTTCCCCTCTCTCTGCAAAATAAATAAATAGGAGCCAGCAGTGGGCAGCAACCTCTCCCTGGGCCCGATGCCTCTCACGTGGGCACGGGTAAATACCCACGGTTACCTAGAAAGGCAAGAGGCCTTCCAGCAGCTCAGGAAAGCACAAGCTAAAGGGCACAGGGACCCCACCATTCACGGGCCCCGGGGGTCGGTTCCTACCCGCAGTATTGCGCTGCCACGGAAGAATGTTGCATCAGCCTGCGTTGTTTTCAATATTCCCTGAAGCTGTGCTAGCAGGGGGTAGCTACGTGACGGACCAGGCGGGTGGCAACCTGCTGCAGGTCCCCAGGGCCCTGTCCCTATTTATTGCCGTCAGTTCCGAAGCGGCCGCCCATAGGGAAACGTGGGCCGAGTCCCTGAAGGCCACGCTCGGGACGAAAACACCAGCCTCCCGTGGAGCCGCGGCGTAAGGACGCCGATCTTTAAATAGAGACCCGTCGGCCCTGCCTCCGGGTGTCTGCAGAGGGCAGACGGGTGGACAGCAGGTGCGGCGGCCCCGGAGAGCCCGGGCCTGCCCGGCACCCACGGCATTCGCTTGAGAGCAGTCCCGGGGGAACAGGAAAACCCAGGGGTGTCTGAATCTGAAAGGGGGTGCAGATGTCACTGTTTCTCAAATTTTGAAACAGTTTAAGGAGGTGCACAGGACAGTTGCAAAGGCAGAACCGTGAGCTCCTGTAGACCTGACCCCCAGCCTCTCTCTCTCTCTCGTGCGCAGGTCTGATGGAGCCTCGACGCCGCGTCGAAACGGAGGAATCAGCTCCAGTCCAGACTTCAGGGTGACTCCCCCGGCCCCTCCAGGACCCCGGGCTCCTGCTCGCACTCCATCAGTGCGTCTCCTTGGTCTCCTGCCACCTGCGGCCGTGTCTCAGTCTCTTCTAGTCGGTCGTGACCTTGGCAGCTTTGGAGTACCCGTCCGTGTTTCACACCGATTCACCAGATTTGTAAAAATCGGTTGGAAGGAGCCACGGTGGCCCGGGAGGCCCAACAAGCTCCGGCCTGCGGGGCGCGTGAGGGCGCTGTTCCTGCATGGCCCGCATGTGAGCCGAGTGGTGTTCCCGTGGTTTCATGATACGTGGATATTATCGTGAAATGCATATTGCAGGGTCCACAACTGAGTCTGATTGGAAGGAGGCCACTGTCATTCTCTCCTGGACCCCATCGGTGGCCGCCCGGCCCCTGGCCCCGCCCAGGAGCAGAGACAGAGCCCGCCCCCCCACCCCACCCCCGCTCAGTGTTTGCCCTCTGGCCCCTCTGGGGAGAGTCTGCCGCCCGCCCCCAATGGAGAGCCAGTGCGAACTGCCACGCACATACGTTCAGCAGCTAAGTCAGCTACGGAAAGGGCACCGAAGCTGCAAGTTCATTCATTCAATCATCCCACAAATATTTATCGAGGGCCCATTGTCCAAACCAGCGGGGAGTGCTGCCGGGCGGGAACGCCGCGGCGTGAGCACAGGTTCGCTCTCGTCCAACGTCTCCCCAAGTCCCGGGCGCCGCGTCCGCCTGTAGCAATAATAGCTGCTGTCCTATTTTGAGCGCTCCCTCCTGCCAGGAACTAACTCCTCACTCTCGCGGTCTCCTTTCATCCTCACAGCCACCCCAGGAGTCGTTCCAGGAGGAAACTGTGGTTTGCGAAGAGGAGCCACCCCCAAAGGCACCCAGGAGCTATTACAGAGGAGAAGCAGAAAGGCGGCTGCGCCCGGCCGGTGGGCTCGCAGAGCTGACGCACCCGAGGGAGGGGCACGGGGGTCCCTGGAGTGGGGGCAGGGGGAATGGAGGAGGCTCCTGGCGGTTCTGGCTGCTACCGTACAGGCCCCTCAAACCCGCAAGCCACACACCGGGATGGGCCGGCCGGCAGCCCGAGGCCCCATCTGAAATAGTGTTCTTTCTTCAAAGGGGCGACGCCCTGTGCTACTTGGTGGTCAGTGTTTCGTCCCCAAGATGTGATGCATGACCCCCAGGACCCCGGCTCCAGTCTCTGCTGCCTCCCTTTCTGGCGTCACTGCTCGGCTGGAGACCCAGCCTGGGTCCTCTGCTCGCTTGGCAGGAAGGTCGCCCTTGGACGGAAGTCCTTCCTCCCCCGCGACCAGTGTGGCCAGCAGGCTGGGCCTGCCCCAGATGGGAGGCAGAGGCGCCCTCCTGGGGCTGAAAGGGGCACAGAGCGGCTCTCGGTCAAAGTCACCAAGAGACGCCGAGACAAAAGCACCTGCAGGAAGGGGCCCCACGGGCCGGGCAGGGCAGGAGGCGGAGTGGGAGTCATGGACGAGGATGCTGCTGTCCCTTGCTGTGTTGGCCTTCCGGGACAAAGGGCACAACCAGGACCTCACGCTGACACAGAGACCGGGGAAGCCGGCTCAGCGCAGAGGGTGTGTCTCCGCCTGGGTGTGACAGGGTCCGGCCACCGTGGGTGCACCGGGCCCCTGGTCAGCTCTGCTGCGGACAGTTACTCCACTACACGTGGTCGGCCAGCGTGACATCAGAGTGGGCCGGATGCCACGAGAGAAGCTGCTGGTTGCTGTCCAGACTGCATCCAACTCTGAGTTATTTTTTTTTTTTAAGAGAACAAGTCATTGGAGGGTTTCCTGTCCCCTAACATGTCCCCAGGAACTTTTTAACTGGCTTGGAAGCATGTCTCCGAAGCCCTCCGCAGCTGCAGGACTGATTCAGAGAGCTTGTTTTTCTTTGGGGTTTGTTTTTTTTTTTAAAGAACAAAATGTAAACCAGCTCTGGTGACACAGTGTGTTCGGCGGCGCCTGCAGCAGCTCGGCCCACGCCGTCTGCCCCGAGGCCGCAGCGACACAGTCTGGCACAGGGTTGCCAGTCCCGTCCCACGTGTGGGGCGCTCCAGAGCCCCCCTGTGCCGGCGGCAGGGCGCTGGAGGAGGGGAGCAGGTGGGACTCTGCACCCATGAGGCCACTGCTGTCCTCTCTCTCACACACACCTGGCTCCTGAGCACAGTGCGCCCACGTGGGGACCAGAAATGGTCCCGAAAGGCTGGTTCCTCGGGCAGGACCCGGTGCGGGTGGGAGGGGGTGCTGGACTGAGCGCGTGGGGGGCAGAACCTCCGGCACGTTCGCCTGAATAAGGAGACCTCGCAACGGAGGACAGAACTCGAACATCAGACCGAAACTCTCACCCACAGACGCGGTGATGGTACTTTATTTTTAAGGCCAAAGCAGCGCTGAAAACTTAGGGAGGTTCCCTGGACGACCCCGGAGCTGGGGGGCCGGCCGCGTTTCTGCCTACTGCGGGGCTTTCTGAAGCCCAGCGGCATGGGCGGCAGAGGATTGAGCCGGACGGGGTCTGCTGTGTGTGGGGAGCGGGGGTGAGGGCAGGGGCGGAGCGGGGGAGGGGGGGCGGTGGGGGGAGGCTCAGGGACTCTGCCTGGTGAGCCCTGCCCCGTGGCCGGCCCTGCGGTTTCTGGTCCAGGTGCAGCGCCCAGGGCTCCGGGTGCTCGGCGCGTTCTCTGCGACAGCTGCCACCCGGGTCAAGCATGACCGGCGATGCTGCTCATAACGGCCGCACGCAACCGCGCGGGTGTTTTGCTGAGCGGAAGCCGTAAGCAAGGGACGCTCAGGGGCCCAGAGACGCCCGAGAGCAGGCGGGGGCGACCCGGTCTGCACGAGGCCACACTAGGCCAAGGGGCCAGGGTTCACCGCAGGGGAAGGGAATGAGGTCACACGTGTCACTAGCAGGGCCTGCAGCCGGCTGAGGCCCTCCCTGCCCCCAGGGGCCACGCCACCTCTGGGTCCCATCCAAACCCCCTCCTGGCAGCCCGGCCTCGCTCCGCTGGCCTCTGCCCACTCGCCTGTTTTGCAAACAGCGGAACGCCCGACTTTGTGAATTCCACTGCTTTTAATGCCTACATGTTCTGGGTATCGGAGTGGGGGAGGGGAGGTACTGCCTGGCGGAGGGGGGAGGGGGAGGGGAGCAGGAAAGCCACACACAGAGTTCCTTTGTGCCTCAGACACTCCCGGCGGCCTCGCCGGCTGTGGGAAGGTCTGGTCTGAAATCGGGTGACACGGTAAAGCCGAGAATCTCGGTCGCGAATATTTCTGCGGTGATTTCGTCCGGAAGTTCTTCTTCGAAGCGTATGTCCGAACCTGGCCGCACAAGAAAACAGACGTCTTCGTGACCACTAGGTTTTCCACTCGGAAGCACTTTTCAAAAATACAAGGAGATGATACTAATAGGTGGGAGGGGCTCTGGGCTGTGGTTTGGGTTCGACCCCTGGGAACCCCCCCCCCCCCGCCCCGCGTGGGAACCGGTGAACATCCTTCCGTCAGGAGTTCGGACCACTCGCCACCCGGATCTCTGCCAGCCTCCTCGGACAGCCTCCAACGGCGCGGCGTGGCGGGTGTTTTGCTTGGAGACACTTGGGAGCACGGCGTAAGCACGGAACGACTGGGAAAGGTGCGCCCCGAGACCCCACAGGGAACCAGAAATGGGCGGGGCGGGGCGTGCGGGTTGGACACAGCGCATTCGGACACCGCAGTCCAGACTGGACGGTGGAGCTCTGGGTCATTGGAAACTGGGGGCAGACGATGCGAGGGGAGGGAGAGGGCTGCCCGGCGAGCAGACGTGGCTCCTGGCCGCAGCTGCAGTGACCGGGCCGGCGCTGACCACCGCGGGGCCGTCGGCACCGCATCCCGGGCCTGTCCCTGGGTCCCGCCGTGCCCGGGCGGCCCGGGACCGGTCTGCACTGCCTGCTCCAGAGCTCAGGTTGCCGCCCGGGCCTCGGGGCCACTTCCTCCCTCCGGGGGACCAGAGGGAGGTGGGGGGTCCTCGGGAAAGGAGAGACAGGGGGGCGTGGGAAGCTGGAAAGCTGGGAGGACGGGCAGCCGCGGGTCGGCCCCTCTGGACACGCCCCTTCCGCTGCACCCGCTTCCGAGCTGCGTTTGCCGCCCGTGGCCAGCGCGCGCCCACGCGAGCCGGACAGACAAGGACCGGTCAGCGCACGGGAGGCACAAGCAAGGCCAGAGGCACAGAGAAGACACGGGCACGGGCACCGCTCACGTGCCCGTCGGCAGAAATCAACCCGCCGGCCCGGGCTGCGCCGCCCCCGCACCTCTGCTGGAGGCCGCGGGCTCCGAGTTCCAGCCCTCGGGCTGCAGGCCCAGCAGCGCCGCGAAGCAGTCCGACATCTCCTGCTCCGTCATGTGCTCGCCTGCGGGCCGCAAAGGGAAAAGGCGGCCTGTCAGCTCTCGGGACCGCGCAGGGCCTCGAGCGCCCTGCGGTCCGAAAGGGAATGCTTCTTCCACACCCTTCCCACCCCGCCCCCCCGCCCCGAGACACAAAAGCCCCCGAGAGGGGGAGTCCCGAGTCGCAGTCACACACACGTCCCTGCGCGGCGTTAAACGCGGGACTGCCCCTGGGACGTGCTCCGGGGCGGGGAGGGTGGGGGGGGGGAGACGGGCCAGAATTCTGATCCAGGCGGTCACACTGGCTCCCAGTCCCCCACCCCCGCCGTCTGACCACCAACTTGACCGCCTCCCATAACACACTAAGGGCGGCAGCAGGGGAAAAGGCAGCGTGTCACTCTGGTGGGGTGGCGTGCCCCAGCCGCATCTCATCTTTGACAAGCGAGGACGCTGGGTCCCGAGGCCCCGGGGGCTGCGAACATGACCGGCAGGTCCCCGGGGGGCCTCCTTCCCCTTGCCCTCCCCTGCCCCCCCCCAGTCCACCAGCTGGGCGGGTCCCCAGGTGCGTCCCTCGGGCGGAAGTCCTGTCAGACCCAAGACGCCAGGGGTGTGCCCCCCCCCTCCACCCGTGGGAAGGCCCCAGGAGGTTGCCAGACACCCCCGAGTGCGCGCACCTTTGGTGAGGAGCAGCCTCAGGAAGTCCTCTCTCCGGATGACCTTCTGGCCCTCGGAGTTGGTGTGGCCCAGGATGTCGAAGCTCCTCCGCACAGCGTCCATGGTGTTGCCGAAGGGCGGCCGGTGGTTCAGGTAGATTTTGAGGAAGTTCGGCAAGTTGATTTTGTCGATCATCCGTCCGGAGTCGACGTACTCGCTGAATCTGATTTCATTAAAGATGTCTTCGATCTGGGGGGAGGGGTTTTTGAAAAGAAGAAAAGAAAGAAACGCTGTGATAAGCAGAGAGGCGCGTTGGAAGCACTTCTGCGCATGGGGGGGGGTGACAGACGAGTGACCGCAGTCGGCGGGGGGCGCGGGTTGCCCGTCTCCCCCGAGAACGAACACCCCCCCACTGGTTCCTCCGACAGTGAGGTTGTTTAGAAACAGGGTCACGGCAGGGGTCGTTGAGATGGGGTCACACCGGAGCCCAGAGGGCCTCCAACCCACCGTAACTGGTGTCTTTGCAAGAAGAGGAGGGAGACGCAGGGAGAAAAGGGTCCTGGGGTGACGGGCAACAGGGAGCGAGCGACAGTGTCAGTGAAGCAAGGCCGGGGACCGGCTGCAGGTGACCGCCAGAAGCTAGGAAACGTGAGGAAGGGTCTCCCCTGAGGACTTCACTGAATGCACGGCCCGCGGGCCCCTGGACCCCGGACCTGCGCCACAGGGGGAGCTGCTTCTGTGTCAGGCCGCCCAGTCCGCGGGGCTTTTCACCGCGGTCCGGCCCGAAGGCCGTGCCCACCTGTTTGTCCATGGTGTGAGCACCAGCCTTCCGTGGTGAACACGGTTTCACTTTTTCATTTTATCGCTTTTCACCCAAGTGTGCCACACATTGTATCCACTACCGCCTTGCTTCCTGCGTCTGCACGTTTGTTCTATTGAAAAGACAATGAATCCTGGAGAAGTCGGCAATTAGTGTGTATCAACAAGCGGATCACTGAGTGTGGAATGCACATGCAGGACCTGCGGGCCTCGTCGGTTTCTTAGGGCCAGTAACTGCACCACGATTCCCTTTTCCTTTCTTTCCTTTTCACTTTGATTCTGCAGTATTTCATAAAGATAAGAGATCGTACGTAAGGCATGTATCGCTTATGTGGTGCAATTTTTTAAATGAGCACCTGAGAAGCTACCATTCATTGAAAAGACTGATGAAACTCACCAATCTCTAGCCAGACGCACCAAGGAAAAAAAAAAACAAGGGAAAGACTGAATTACTAAAGTCAGGAATGAAAGAGGGGGTACTTGCCAGACCCACCGAACAGAAATAAAAAGGCGGATGCCAGCCAATCAAGTCACTCAGACAAAACGGACAGATGTCCAGAAAGACCCCTCGTGGCCAAAACTGACCCAAGAAGAAACAGAAAACCTGAACAGACCTGTAACACATGAAGAGATCGAACTAGTTGTTCTGAGACTTCTGCCGGTAAATTCTACCAAGTATCTCACGAGCAGTACAACCCTCCACAGGCTCTCCCCAGAGCAGAAGAAAACGGAACATTCTGCGAGGGCTGCTTCCTGCTTTGGAAAAAGTCGTTCTTTTGCGTATTTTTCCAGATTTTCTAGAGCCGAGCCGAGGGTGCTGACGTGCCTGTGGACTCGGATGGGGACGTGTGCTGGTGAGTGCACGTGTCCACTCGGGGCTCTCGATGGGACCGGCAGACGCAAGGAAGAGAAAGGTTTCCAAAACAAACACACACAGCGTCCCTTCTCGCTGCCCTCGGCCCGTGCGGTATTTCTGTGCCGTGCGCGCCGCACTCGGCTGAAATTCGCAAACCTGAATGACCCCGGGGCCAAGGGCTAGGCATGAGGGATCTATTTTAGTGTCTACCTTTTAAACTAATACGTCTCCCAATAAACTGTGGGTGTCGGAAATTCACGGAGAGAGAGGATGAGAGTCACAGAGAAGTGGGAGATGATGTTCCCCCCCAGAACATGAGCTCTACTTTGGCCTGTGGAATGAGTTAGGAAGTGAATCTGTATTTGTACACAAAACTGATCAATTATTTATTGCCAGTTTCTCCCTGCCCCCGCCCCCCCCATAAATGCAGAACAAAAGCTGAAAGAGCACCCATGTGAAGCACTGCCAAACCTCAGCCCGCCCGGGACGCCCCAGAGTCTTGGTCTGGTCCCAGACATCAAGTAAAAAAACAAAAACCTCTTACAATTCAATCCCAAGTTCTGTGACAAATTTGGGGCATCTTCTTTCCCTGTTTTCCACGCATATGAGATATATATGTTGGGTTTTTTTTGCAAAATTTGTATCATACACACACACACACACACACACACTCTCACACATATACTTTTGTATATTTGTGTTTTCCTTTAACACTGTGTCTTAGTCATCACCCAGTATCTTCAAAGAAGCTACATGTTCTCAATGCAACATTCCGGGAACGGTCTTTTGAAATAACATCCTTGGTTAGAATACACATGAACTATCGTTGATAGTATAAAAGCAGCTTTAAATGGAAACACTGTATCATATATAGCATTTATTGAGTTTCTATTATATACAATTGCATGTTAAATTACATACAATTTTATCTATAAATAAAACACTATCCTGGAGCGCATTCTTTACATAGTGCGCTGTGTCATTTGAATAGCGTTAGTATATACATGTGCTACTTGCTCCTCCCTGCGAGCCGGTGGAGGGTGGAGCTAAAAGTACGGTCTTTGACGACAGACCTGGGTTCCAGCCCTGGGTCTGCTGCTGTCTGGTGTGACTTTGGATGAGTAACTTAATATTCCTCTTCCTCAGTTTCCTCATCTTGAAAAAGGGTGTTATATGGTAAAACATATGCATTGGACTATTTTTTTTTAAAGGTTTTAGTTACTTTTAGAGAGAGGCGAAGGGAGGGAGAAAGAGGAGAGAAACATCAATGTGTGGCTGCCTCGTGTGCGCCCCCTACTGGGGGCCTGACCTGGCCCTGCAACCCAGGCACATGCCCTGACTGTGAATTGAACCGGTGACTTCTTGGTTCCTAGGCCAGCACTCAGTCCACTGGGCCACACCAGCCAGGGCTGCACTGGACTATTATTTTGAAGAGAACTGCAACAACGGCTGTCAAGTGCTAAACACAGTGCCTAACACATTCTAAGCACTCCACAGGCAGAAACTACTGGTGCGGTCATACTTCGTATGCCCTTGCCCATTACAAGTAATTATAATATAATATAAACTATGCTCTATAATTGCATAAATTATCATCTCAATGATCATGTGTACACATTATAAATGCGATCCCTGTTTGGCTCCTTCCAGAAATAGCCGGCTGGCCCGAAGACGACAAAGGGGCCCCCGGGGGCCCGGCCTTGCTCGCGCCCAGAGTTGTTATTTCAGAAGACTTCCAGAATTCCCTGTGTGAACCAGCCCGTGTCAAAGGGCAATCAGGGCAGGTGTTCATTCAAGGCTTGTGGCTCCACTTGTAACTTTCACGCATGTGGACATACGACACCTGGACCTTGGCTGGCGCTGCTGCCCAGGCCCGTGACACGAGGGCGGCCCGTCCGCGGGGGGCCAGAGCCCCCTCCCCACGCAGGGTGCCTTCACTTCCGCCCCTGTCGTCCGCCCCAGGGGTTTCGGGCTTGTGACCCCGCTGCCAACTACAGGGAGCCGTGGACGCCCTCAGAAGTCTGCTCTATAACTAAGTTTTACAGCCCCCCTGTTAAAAGGAGGGGAACACGATGCATCTGAACCGAGGCCGCCCCTTGTTTTTGTCAGCGGGCGCCTGGCGCGGGCCGGGGGTGTGTTGTCACACCCCGGCCCCACAGATGTGCGGGCTGGGAGGACCCTCCCTCCTCCCCACACCCACGTCCCGACACACGGAGTCTCTGGAACATGCTCCACGAACGAGGTGACAGTCGCTTGTCACGGCCCCTCGTCTCCCACGGCTCCCTGCACGGGGCGGGGCGGGGGCTCTCTGTGGGGCGGTGGGAGTGTGCTGGGGCTGGACGGTGGGGAGGCGTGGGCAGCTCTGCGGACAAGCCGCCCGCCGCCCGAGTGGGCACTGTCAGCGGAGGAAGGTCGGGCGCCGGCAAAGCCCAACGGGAGTTCTCAGGGAGAGAGGAGGAGCCCGTGGGGGCGGAGCCGGGACAAAGGCGAGCGGCAAAGCGAACAGTATCCGTGTTCTTCAGAGTGTTTTCCCACCGTCGCTGCCATCTGCCCTTTCACTGGTATAAAAGCAGCAAAGACTAACACACGGTTCCTACTGAACACTTCCAACGGGGCGGCAGAACCAGGAGACACAAAGGCCCCGTAACTCCCCATCCCTCGGCAGCGGCCGGCGCCTGCCACAAGGGCGTGTGACTTCCTTGCTTGTCCGCACGAAGGCGCCAGCAGGAACGGGACACAGGGCCTGGGGCCGCCCACGGGGCCGCCCACAGGGCTGCCCACCCTGGCCCTGCCCGGGGGGCGGAGGGACATGCGAGCATCTGCTCTCCCTGAGCCCCACTCTCCCGTCTGTGAGGCGGAGACAGTGAGAGCACCACCGCCGTGCAAGGGGACAGTGACAGTGGGGCCAGCCCGGGACCTGGCTCACGGCGAGAGCTCAGGAGAGAGGGCCCTGGAGCTGCTGCCAGCGGCGGCAGCTCCAGGATCACCGCCCCCCACACCGCTTTCTGGTGGCTGCACGGCCTTGCAGGAGCTCCTTCTCCAAATGCTGTAAGTGCACCCTGACTGCTGTGGCTTAGGGGACTGAGCGCCAGCCTGTGAACCAAAAGGTCACAGGTTCGATTCCCAGTCAGGGCACATGTCTGGGTTGCGGGCCAGGTTCCCCAGTGGGAGGCGTACAAGAGTCAACCACATGTTGATGTTTCCCTCCCTCCCATCCCCTCTTTCTAAAAAGTAAATAAAATGTTTTTTAAAAAATGCTTTAAGTGTGAAAAACAGAAACTGGCCTGTCTTGCCCCGACCTCTGAGCCCGGGTCACGGTGCAGGGACTCTAGGGTGACCGGGAGGGCCTCCTAGAACGGGAGGCCATTCTCTCCCCTTCAGGACGGAAACACCTCCTGACATTTATGTTTCGGAGCAAATACAACGGACGGAGTGCAACTCCCCGGGTGCCCGCTGGGCTCCATTGCAGGGGCAACCGCATGCCCCACCCTCGGCTCAGACCCCTCCTGCTCACCTGGGGGAGGCCGTGCCGCTGGGCCGCCGCCCCGCCACCCCCGCTGGGACCTCGGGGCGGCCACAGAGGGTAGCACGCAGGGCTCGGGGAGGGTTTGCTAGTTTATCTTCCTGGGTTTTGTTCTGAGTATAAAAGCAACGCAAGCTCCATACTTGCCGTTAAGGAAAGCTAAATGTTACAGAAATGCTTGCACGAGCACCCCCCATCCAAAACCACAGCTGGTCCTCATCTGGAGCCAACCCCACCCCCCCCGCCCCACAGCTGGGGGTGTTTTTCAAGGTCACGAGGAGATGACGTCTCCTGAGGCCCACGGCGACGAGCACCCACCTCCCAGAGGCGCCCCACCCACACGGGCCAGGTGAGCGGCAACGAGAAACAACCCTGTGAGCCAGCACTCACTCAGCCCTTCCTGCGGCCCCCCCCTTCTTCGTGGGCGCCACGTCCTTGCCTCCTCACGTGGCGCGGGGCAGCCCTTCTGGTTCCCAAGCCTGTGCCCTTCCCCAGCCCCGGCTTTGGTAAGGAGCCTGCCCTTTAGAGACGTCTTTACGGGGGGGGTGGGGTCTGTTCCTGAGGGGGGCACCGGCTCGCCCCAGAACCTCCCTTCGGATCCATTCGTGCAGCACCAAGGTTCACGTCGCACGCTGACCTGTGCCGACTGCTCTCAGAGGTCGTTTCCGTGCGTGACCTGCGCCGAGGCCGCCCGCGGGTCCGCCCCGCCTACCTTCTCCTCCGACGGGTAGAAGCCGACTGCCCTCATGACGAAGGGGACCTCGGACAGGCGGATGTGCTCCGACACCTCCCTGGTCTCCATCGTGTCGATGCTCTGGCTGCGGAGCTGCGAGTAGTAAAAGTAGTCTTCCAGGTCCTGCATGGAAACAAAGCAGAGACGCCGCGCACAGTCTGGCTTAAGTCTGAAGCCTCCGCTAAGACGTCAAGGGCATCTTTTGCAGCACGCACTTGGGGCCCGGTGGGAAAAAGAGCTTCGGGACGAAGCTGACCCCTGACACGTGGGCTTGGCCCACTTAGCGAGGTGCTACCCAGCAGCTCTGGCTCCGAGGACAGTTACCCTGTAGAACTTCCCTTCCCGGCCTCCGGCCACCAGACTGTAGAACGGGGTCAGGTCTTCTCCGCCGAGGGACACGGCGGCCTCCAGGGCCCTGGAACGGTAGCAGAAACAGGGCCATTAGAAAGCTCTGGGCACCAGCAGCCTCAGCCCTGGGGTGGGGGCCTCGGGGCGCTGCGGCCTCTGAGGTCGAGCCGGCGCAGCCACGACTGGGGCGGGGCGGGGGGGGGGTGTTTTTGGAAACTGGTGAAGAACCTGCTCTCCGAGAGGAAGGTGAAAACGAAAACTTCAACTGCAGGGGCAGCACCCCGCGCAACAGGGCGCCCGCTTAATGATGGGCCAGGCATTTGCTTGCAGACGACAGGGCAGGCCAGGGGCCGTCCGCCTGGGGTCTGGGGCCTTTGGGGAGGGGGCCACTGCTGAGGGAGGGGGCCTGCGTGCCAGAGCCCCAGCCCTCCGCGGCAGAGGACCTCGGCACGTGGCTCGGAGCCGCGCGTGGCCGGGGCCGGAGGCCCGGGGTGCTCCGGGTGAGCTGCCAGCACTAATTGTTCCCGAGAGCATGCGGGAGGCCGCAGGGGACCCACGCCAGTCAGACAAAAATAACCCTCTGCTCTCCGACACGGGCCAGGGTTTCCCAAAATAGGCCCGTAGGTAGGGAAACCTACTTCTCGTGTGAGACCGGCCTCACCTGGCACCAAACGCTAATAATAATATAAACCGTTGTAATAATCCGGGAGCTGGGTGTCTGCTGGTCAGGCCATCAGCCTCCTTGTGGGCGACGAAAGGGCACTTAGGTGTGGGCCGCAGCCGGGCAGGGGCTCGGTCTCCGGACCCGGGCCCCTGGCTCCGCTGCGCGCAAGGGGCGTGGCCACAGGCAAGGAATTACCCTCCCTGAGCCTCGGTTTGCTCCTCGGAAAAGCGCGGATGACGGCAGGGCCTGCCCCACGGGTTGCCTCGAGAATTAAAAAGTGACCACAACACAGGGGTGGGCACGAAGCCCGTCGTTTCTGTCCTGCGATGGATGTTTGCAGAGGTGCGGGCCTGAATCGGGGAACGGCGCGACGCCCCGCCCCGCCCCACCCCACCCCTTACCCCGCCCATCGCGTGGGGAGGCCTGCAGGCCCCGGGCAGAGCGGTTTCCAGGCCTGTGGGGAGGGGCAGAGCCAGGGGGGCAGTGAGGGTGAGACCCGACCGGTCGGCGTGCAGGAAGCACGTGGACAGGGACTGGCCCAGGGGAGACTCGGTGCAGGGTGGCTGCAGCCGTTCCCGCTGCTGACGGGGTGCAGGCACCCCCCCACACCTCTCCGGAGAGGCAACCACAGATGGTGCCTAGTCCCTCTGCCGGCCCTGCCCCGCCCTGCAGGGGGCGCTGCTCTAAGGTCTGGAGTCAGCCCGTTCTCCAGCTGGGCCCAGGGGCCTGCTGGCCAGTCTTCAGCCGGCTCTTGGCTCCGATATTAGCCAGCAAGGCAGGGGTCCAGCTGCGGGGGGTTCCCTCTCCGTGGACCCCCAGGCCAGGCTCAAGCCCAGTCTGAAAGGCTCGACGGGCAGCGAGGCTGCGTTTGGCCATGCGGTTCTGGGGGAGGGCCAGGCAAAGGCCGGAAGGCACAGGGAGGAGTCTGTCCGCCCCAGTGGAACCCAAGGGGACAGGGTCCCGCGAGCCCCGGACTCTCTGGGAACGGCCCTCCGGTGGTCAGAACGGTCCCATGGCCCCTGCGTCCCGGCCACTGTCAGGCGACTCCGGAGGGGTGGGGGCGGGGCCTGTCAGACCGGAGCTGGGCTTGTCACCCTCTCTGGGGAGGGCAGCAGTTGTTTGATATCTGTGGTCAGTCTGTGGCCGTGTTTCAGCCAAGTGACAAAACCAGCCGCCCAGAGGAGGAAGCTGACAGCACCGCTGAGCACAGAGCACACACCACTGAGGGCAGGAGTCCCTGCGCCTCCTGCAGGCCGGCCACCCGAGGCCCCCACGGCCTTCCCGGGGAGCCCCTCTTGCCGCCCGAGCTGGTTTCTAACACGTGCAACAAAAAAAAGGGGTCACTTGGGCACGGAAGAGAAATACATTTACTGAAGACCTACTGTGTACGGGAAGTACACACAGTCGTTCTGGGAAATGAGCTAAAGCTCGAGAACTCTCCACCACCGAACTGGGCGATGACACTCCCGTTCCACAGACAGAGGAACCGAGACTCAGAGAAGTTAAGGGGCTTGCCTGAGGTCACACAGCAAGGAGGTAGGGAAGGTGGGGGTTTGAACCTGGGTCTTTCTGTTCCTGCTTGAGCAGGGCAGCAGGACTGCAGGTGGGTGTGGGGTTGGACGTAAACAAGCGATGAGGAACTCCAAGGCAGGGTCTGGACACAGGGAGGAAAGGGTGGCAGGCTAGCACAGCTGGGGAGGAGGGGGAGGATGCGTGGGAGGAACTCAGGGTGGGGGGGAGAGGGAGGGGGCCTCCAGGGGAAGGTTTGGTGCGCAGCGCGAGGAGGGTATGGGGCCCCGGAGAGCACTGATTAAAACGACTGGAACAGGAGAGGATTTCTCATCTTTATTTCCCCTACCACTCGCCATCGGACCTGGTGGCGGATCTATCTGTGTGTTTACTCTGGGGTTTTTACATTTCTTCCCATTAGCGAGGCGCCGAGCATATTAAGACCCCAGAAGCTGCAATGAAGTACTAATTAGTTTATAATGATCCTTTGTCCCCGCAACAGATTAAATCGAAATTCTCAGAAGCCTGGACTCCGGCCAGGCCCAGGGAAGCCACTGGAAAGCGCCGACACCCCCTGCCCTTCCTCCCCCCCCACCCCCTCACCCCCCCACCCCGATCTCTACCATTCCAGATCCCCGGAGGACTGAGAAGTGGCCGGAAATGAAAAGGGAAGACCCTGGTCTCCCACCAGCCCCAGGTGACAGGCTAGGTGTCAAGGAGCCGCGAGGCTCGCCAGTGGGAGAGCTCACCTCCGGCTTCTGCACCCCCCCCCGCCACCCCGCCCCGGTCCCCAAGCGGGGCTCTCTAGGAGGAAGGTCCGAGCAGCAGCAGCGCGACCTGAAAGCACCCCGGCCCAGAGCAGGCTGGACTGCCGGTGTCCGCTCACGTTCAGGGTAGGAGGACACGCCACCGCGATGTCCGCCGTGAGAGGGGCGAGCACCTGGCAGGGGGCAGGGGGATGCTTTTCCCGGGAGCCACGAATCAGGTCTGTCCTCTCGGGAAGGGCAGGGCCTCTGGGCTGCGTCTCCCTGACGCCTCTACGGGACACGGCCAGGCAGGGGCCGTCCGAGGGGCAGGGCTTGAAGCAGGTGGTCCAGGACAGGCACCCCCTGAATGTAGGGGCTGACGGGATCGCCTGGGGCTTGCCCCTCTCTTGGCAAGAAAGATCCTGAGCTCGGAAGCAAAGGGCTTCACGAGGAAGGAGAAGGGAACCCGTCCGCTCACTGCTGCAGCCTCAATGCTGTGCTGGGTGCTTTCCAGACGTGACCCTGCGGGGCGTTCCGAGGACCCTGTCAAGTCCCTGGGGTCGCCCCCTCGTCACAGACAGGGAACCTCAAAACCAGAGACGATGGGACAGCTGCCCAGGACCCACAGCCGGCAGAGAGGGGGACCCACGGGCCCGGATTTGAACCCGAGTCTCTCTGACCTCGCGGTCACAGCCTCTCTGGCAGCCCACCGTGGAATTCTCCAGACTCATCCCAGGTGGAGGTTCTCGACTCAGGGCAGGGGGGTGAGAGGAGGAGGCTGGAAAATGCGTATTTCCAACCGCCACTCCCTATTTCTGTACCACGCGCTTCGGAGGTCTGGGCTCGGCCCGTCTGGCTGGCGTGAGTTTGCAGACGAGACAGGGAGGGGCCTTCCAGGGGCCACGGGGGAACACGGTGGAGTCACACCAGCTTGACCGCAAACACCGCCGGTCCCCGAGGCAGAGGAGCAGGCTTCCATCCCCTCTCTCGCGGGAGGGGACAGCGGCCTGCATGCAGGGCCCGGGTCACTGCTTTGCGCCCGCAGCCCCGGCCCGGCGCCCGGCACGTGGCCGGGGTTCAGCGCCTGCCTGCCTGCCTGCGGTTGCCGAGCGGAAAGAAGGGGCCTGCCCCCGCCGGACACGGGCGTCCTCACGGGCCGCGCCTCCCGCACCTCCCGCCGCGTCACGCACCTGAGGTTGATCTCCCACTGTGCCACTGATCGGTCCCATCCTCCGGCCGTGAAGGCATGGCGACCGTCGTAGGACAGGGCCAGTCCGGCCACCCCGCTCGGGTGGCAGACAATGGCAAACGTCTTGTGCGGGTTGCCGTCAACAGGCAAAATCTGAAGTCCGACCTGGGGGGGAAGGGGTGACGGGGTGTCAGGCTCGGATGACGGCGCCCTGGGCGTGGTCCCACGTCCCAAGGTGCTCCCAGAGGGCCCCGTGGGTGGGCCGGGAACCTCCTCGGGGTGAGAGCACCGCATTTCGTGTGGTGGGGGGTCGCACACGCTGACCCCTGCGGGGGGGGGGGTCCCGTAGGAGAGAGACGTCAGGTGCCAGCGGGGGCGCAGGAGGGGAGCTCGCCTTTCTCCCTACTCAGTCAGATGCCCACGGTTTCCCGGAACGACCCTGCCACCCTCTGGTTTTACGCTTTCCGACTCGGATCAGTCATTAACCGCACAACCAAGTGTCACTAATGTGTACGTCTTTATTTTTTTCCACGCGAGTCAGTCAGGAACTAAAAGCCCTTTGGTGGGCCGCGTGTCCGCTCGGAAATGCCTTCTAAGAGCCATCCTCGCGCATCGACGGTGGTTTTCACACCGCCGTGGACCCGGATGGAAGGGGCTGGGCCGGGCCAAGAGACTGAGCACCCCCCCTTTTTTTTTAATTTATTCTTTAAGATTCTATTTATTTATTTATTTTTAGCAAGAGGGGAAGGGAGGGAGAGAAACATCAATGTGTGGTTGCCTCTCGCTCGCCCCCTACTGGGGACCTGGCCCGCAACCCAGGGATATGCCCTGACTGGGAATCGAACCGGCGACCCTTTGGTTTGCAGGTCAGCACTCAACCCACTGAGCCACACCAGCCAGGGCCCAAGCATCCTGGGTACAATACTTGGGACCGACTGCCACTCAAAGTGCTCGGAGCCGAGACAGTACCTTGTCTCTGTTGATGAACACCAAGTGGCGCTTTTGCAGCTCGATGGCCCTTCTCACGGGGATGAGCTGTATCTGCTCCATGGGGGAGCCGAAGACCGGCCCCAGCAGCGTCTTCCTGCGGGGGGCGGGGGGGGAAGGAGGGGGAAGAAGCCCGCCTTCAACTCCACTGATCAGGGTGCACACAGGTCTTACAACCGGCTACTTTTCGTGATACCCGAGCACACTGAGAGTCTGCGTCTCCCGTCCTGTCCCTCAGCGGAGCCCGTGCGTCAGAACCTCCCTCGCCCCACCCCCGCGCGCGCTGCCGTCAACTGCGGGCAGCGGCTGCAAGCAGCCAGCGCCCCCAGGAGGCTGCGTGTGAAGAATGCGTGCAGCTTCGGAGACTCCGGCCGGCCCCCTGACGGCTGAGCGGGGCGAACCTCGGGCCTCGGGAACGTGTGCACGGGAGAGGGACAGGAACGCCGCGGCGGCCGGGAAGTGACACGCGCTGGCCGGGCGCCAGCAGTCACCCCTTCCCCGGGGGCAGGCTGGCGGCAGGCTGGGAGCTCAGATTAGAACGAGGCACCCACATGCCCGGACGCGGTCTGTGCCTCCCGGGGCGACGAACCGTACTCCCGCCACGGGCAGACTCCTTGGATCCCGTCTCTCGCGTGAGTTAGGAATCAGGCAGGACCAGGCCCAGGGCCGGGCGTTCCTGGCGCTGGCCGAGCCTGAGCTGCAGGCCCCCTCCCTTGCACCTGCTGAGGCTCTGGAAGAGGCCCTAGCCATTTTCCTTTTTTTTTTTTAAGATTTTATTTATTTATTTTTAGAGAGGGAAGGGAGGGAGAAAGAGAGAAACATCAATGTGTGGTTGCTGGGGGCCATGGCCTGCAACCCACGCATGTGCCCTGACTGGGAATCGAACCTGCGATGCTTTGGTTCGCAGCCCGTGCTCAATCCACTGAGCTACGCCAGCCAAGGCCCCATTTTCCATTCTTAAGTATGTACCTTTAAAAAAAAAAAAAAAGGAGGGCCCACACAGTCGAGCACGCTTCACAACCTGCTACACGTGGAGGCGCCCTGGGTGCAGCCGGCAGCGAGTTCGCCTTATCGGATTCTGAGCGCCTCGCCGACCCGTACGGCTGCGTTTTCTCCCGGGGTCCCTGCCCCTCGCCAGCCGCCAGCCAGTGGGGCCGTGCACGCTCCTGACCTAAGGGCCGAGTACGTGAACGTCAGATCCATCCGAGGGCCCGTTCATGTACGTGTCACTTTAAATCAAAAACAAACAAACAGGGGACACCCAGCCGTGCAGCCTGTGCTTCCAGGCCCCTCGCTGGTACAACAGGGGCCGGGAGGGCACCGACCCCGTGAGGCTGGGGAGCGCTCGCTCGGTGAACACACGTAAGGCTCTCAGAACCGTTGCTGGCGCGCAGCAGAGGCCCTAGAAGGATGCCCCAGCGCTGTCAAGAGATCTAACAGTTGCATAAAATTAACATTTCTCTTCTGGTGGAAAAAGCAGGACGCGCCGATCTCGAAGAATTTCGCACACGTCGTCGGCCTCAGGTAGGAAATCCGGTCGGAGCTCTCTCGCCGTGCCCTTTGCCTCCGGGTCGACCGCGGGAACACTTCGGCCTGTCGGACTCAAGAGTCGTAAATATATACATTCTAACCCACGTGATGATGATTTTATATGAAACAAGTATAAATTACGTAAATGTAATTTTGCATGAAACTATATGCACGCTGATTTGGCGGCTAGCTGTGTTTCACGTTATATCCTGGGGATACGTCCCTGTTTCTCTGCGGACAGCTTTTTTCCTTTTTTTCTTTCTTTTCTAAAAGCGGCACCGTGTCTCCGCACGCAAACGAGCTGCCCTTTAACTAATCCCCTGTTAATGGGCATCTGGGTCGTTTCCATTTTTTAAAATATTTTCCAACGAGACATCCTTTGGCTGACGCTGCCAGCACGTCTGTGGGCTGTGTTCCTAGAAGGCGGAGACACGATCGGACGCACCTGAGGGTGACGAATCACTCTCCCAAAGGTTGCCCCGATTGCCACCCCAGTGGCAGCGGCGGAGCAGCGCTCGCGCCTTGTCTTCGTCCCCGGGCCAGCCCCAGGTGCGATCGATCATGTTCATCTTTGCTAATCTGGTTTGCAGAGATGACCGACTGGCCCTCATTTGCATCTCTGAGCAGCAGCCGGCATCTGCTGGTAGGCTTATTGGCCTTTTCCCGGGAACTGCCTTTTCCTGTTCCTTCAAATATTTTCAGATGCATTTTTCAATGGCTTTGGATTTATCTGAGAGACAATTCCTTTCCAATTAAGGTGTGGTCACGAGGCTTGGTTATTCCTGCAAATCACAAGGTGCCTTCCTCGGAAGGGTGGGGACCCCAGGGAGCCAGAGGTGGTGGCCGCCCAACCCTGCGGACAGACGGACCGACTGAGTGCCACCGGCTCATCCGCTTCAAAATGGCCAGATCTGTGTTATGTGAATTTCTCCTCGATGCATCGTTTCTTAAGAGAGATGCTTTCTGCCAAGTTCAGGTTGACTCCCAAGGGCAGAAACTCCTCGGTGTGCGGCTCCCGGTCCCTGGTCGGCGACGGTCAGCGGCAGCTGCACGGCCGGCGTCCTCCGGCCCCGGCCCCCTGCTCACCAAACCCGGGTTTTCCTCAGGATTGGGCACGTCTATGGGACATTCTTTGTCCAAAAAGTCTGTGTCCATTAACGGCGGTGCATGGAGATTCTGAAACCTTCCTAAAACTCCTTTTCACATATTTCCTTCAACTGTCTCCTTCCTGTGTTTTAATAGGTTTGTTGTTTTTTTTTTAATTTTGCAGGATTTCTCTCCAGCCCCTGCCACAGGGCAGCACACTCCTCAGCCATCTTTCCTGGTATTCTTCCGCAAGGGACTTAAGAAAAAAAAAAAAGACTCTGAGTGATCGTGGCCTTTTGAGGACCTGTCTTACTGAGACACTTTTATAAAACACAACCTTCCTCAAGCCTGGGGCCAGCTACTGTCGGCCAGCTTCGTGAGTCCCCTCTCCGGGAGTGGGTGGGGGTCACCGAAGTGGTCTCACTCCGTCCTGCCCACCTCAGCGCCCTGCCCTTTCCGGCCACAGCCGCGAGGAGGCAGCCACACCACCGGTGGGAAGCGGCTGCCTTTGGGGCTGACGGGCGTGACCTCGGAGCCAGGTGGCACCAGGGCCATCACACCGAGTGGGCGACAGGCAGAGCTGGGTTCAAGGGTTAAGCTCTATGACTTGACATTTGACCTCCTGACACCCCCTCCCCGAACCTCCGTGGGATAACCCCTGCAGGGCCGCGGGAGCTGGGACGAGGAGGCTCGTGCGGGGCCTGGGCACAGGGACGGCGCGGAGGGGTCAGTACTTGGCGTGCCAGGACCGCCGGGCGCAGCCGCACCGAGGCCCACCCCAGACGCCGACCTGTTGCGGGATGCAGGAACCACTGCTCCAAGACACCAAACTTTGCAGACCCTGGGCTCGGTCCTCTGGCCTCTCCTTTCCCTTCTAGAACCCTCTCTTGGCTCGTGTCTTTAAAGTCCCACAGACTCCTGGCCTCCGTGTGGACTTCCAGCCCAGCTGTCCCCATGGACGCCGCTTCCCCGTTATGACGCGAACCCCATGGGTCTGTTTCTGTCCTCGCCGCCGGCGCCTGGAACAGCCCCCGGCTCGTGCAGAGGCTCCGGAAGGGCTGTGTGAGCCGAAGGACTCCTCTCAGAACCAGGAGTAAGAAAAGTCGGACAGCTGGCAGTATCCGAGTGGAAATATCTGTGTTCTGCCCCGAGGGAAGAACAGGGGATTCTAGGGAGCCTCTGTGAAGGTCTGGTTCCTTCACTGAGTCTCAGGCTCCGAGCTCAGAGGCCTGGTCTCAGGGCGGTGCTGGGCTGGGCCTCGACCCCTGCCTCCGGCACCTCCCAGCCTGCCACCAGGAGTGAAAGGGGCTCCGTTCTCTCCTCTGCGCAATCAGGGCTGCTCCCAGGCCCCTGGGCTGGGACTTGGACCGGACCTGGGCGGAGAACCTGACGGGCACGCCCGCCCTGTGTGTGGGAAGCCCCCGGGGCGAACCTGCACATCTTGGTGGTGGCGTTGAAAAGCTTCACTTTGTAGCCGCTGGTGCAGATGAGCAGGAAGCGCTCCTTGGTGAGGGGCGGGTACCAGATCATGCAGGTCGGGTAGTTTTCCTGGTCGGTTTTGTGGATGTCCAGGACTTCCAGGTGGTCTCTGTAGCTCTTGACAAGGTTATACTCGATCTGCAGGGGAGCCCGGAGAGACCCGCGTGAAGACGAAGCTGAACGGAATGAGCCCCCGGTCCCATTCCGACGGGACACCACGGCAGGCCTCCGAGGACAGGACCAGCCGGACCCAGAGCCGAGCAGGCCGCTGGGAGGGAGTATTCACCGTGAGCCGAGGGAGGAGGGAGGCGCTCTGACTCAGGACACCGCACCAGCTCCTGATCCCCCTGCCCCGGGGCACCGCCACGCCCATTTCCCAGACGGGGAAAACTGGTGTTCAGAGAGGTCCCAGGGGCTTGCCCAAGGTCACACAGCAAGGAAGTGGTAGGGTAAGAATTCAAATTTAGGTCCGACTGACTCCAAAACCTGAACTCTCACAGTTAGGTTACGCTGCTTCACTTCCCACGCTCTAGGGGACTCTTGGGGGTGGGAGCTAATTCACATCTAACTCTCAGCACTGGACAGTCACAGACTAGCAGCCTGCTGAAGTTCACCCAGAGGGAGGTTGTGGTTGGCCAGACCAGGATGGAAGGATGATGGATGGATGGATGGATGGATGGATGAGTGGGTGGGTGGGTGGATAGATGGGTACATGGGTGGGTGGGTGAGTGGGTGGGTGGATGGATGAATGAGTGGATGGATGGATGGATGAGTTGGTGGGTGGATGGATGGATGGATGAATGAGTGAGTGGGTGGGTGGGTTGGTGGGTGGATGGGTGAATGGATGGATATAATGAAGGAAGGGGAGGGAAGGAAGGAAGTTAAGACAGATGGACAGATCCACACTGACTGACTGACTGAATGATTTTGAATGCCGCCCGACAACTGCCCCCCAGAAGCCTCTGCACTCAGGACACGAGGCCTCCGTGGCGTCAGAGCCGTGTTAACGCCAAGCGCCAGCTTGGAGAGGGTCACGCTGCTTTGTGGTTCGTTCCTCTTCCCCAACAAACACACACACACTGTGACCCGGCGCTGCGCCAGACGCCGGGGACGTCACAGGGACGGGATGAGTCCTGGCGGCCAGGGCAACGACAACCGAGCCGCTCACCAAGAGCAGGTCCCTGCCGAGGCTCAGCAGCCTGGGCTCGTTGCTGTCCAGATGGACCCCGAACAGGAGGCTCCGGATGCTTTTGCGATGAGAGCGAAGTCTCGCCAGGTACTCCCAGACCCTGTGCCCATTTTTGACCTTGCGCATGTAGATGGCCACAGTGAAATTTGTATCCTGAAGGTGAGCACAAGAACAGAAGTTATTGCTTTGCACCTTTCGCAGCTTAAAAATCATCACGGCTTCCACACCAATTTCGCTGTTAAAATATTTTATCCGAAAAGAGACCTTCATCCGCTGGAGCAAGTGGTGAAATAACGCCCAGTGTACAGAAGGGGAAAACCAAGGTTCGAAGTTGGCAAGTGGCAAAGGCCGTGGGGGGAGAAAGTCCCTCCGACACCACAGTCCCCGCCTCCTTCCCTGGGGAAGCCCTGACCTTTTGCCTTTGTCTCCCACCTCTTCGCCCAGCTCCTCACGTTCAAAGGCATGATTTTTTTTTTAAGTGTGGTGGCTGAGAGTGAAACAGTCAGAGAGTGGGCGGGACCAGCAGGGAGGAGGCCACCTCAGTGTGTGGGTGGGAAGGTGCCGGGCGGCTTTGGCCTCTGTACGTGTGCATAATTCACACCCAGCACAATTCATTTAAAGGGCGCAGTCCAGCCCTGGCTGGTGTGGTGCAGCTGGAACATCACCCCACAGACCGAAACGTTGTAGGTTCGATTCCTAGTCACAGCACATGCCTGGGTTGTGGGTTCGGTCCCCCCGCTCCGTTGGGGCATGTGTAAGAGGCAACCAATCAATGTTTCTCTCCCTCTCTTCCCTGCTCACTCACATAATAATGATAATAACAGTAACAATGACGACAAAGCATGCACTTCCATGGCCTTTAGTATATTCAGAGCTGGACATCCATCATCACAATTATAGAATGTTTTCATCACCCCAGAAAGAAACCCTGAACCCTTTAGCAGCCGTTCCCCACCTCCCAGCTCCCCTTCCTTTTTAAAAAAGTTATGGATTGATCCGAGAGAGAGAGAGAGAGAGAGAGAAACATCGATTGGTTGTTCCACTCATTTATGCATTCATTGCTTGATTCTTGTAAGCGCCCTAACCAGGGACTGAACTCGCAACCCTGGGGCAGAAGGAGGACGCTCTAACCAACTGAGCTACCCGGCCGGGGTCCCTTTGTGGTTTTAAATAAGGCTGCCGAAGCCCAGGACAGCTCCGAGCGGAAACACTTACAGCGGTTGCCATGTACTTGGAGTCGTGGGAGAAGCTTATGTGGGTCACACAGGTTCTGGAGTATTTGAAAGGCTCTGGGGTTTCGTTTTGCAAGGACATCGCGTCAAGGATGTAAACCGTCCCCTCTGTGAAGCCGGCGCCCAGGACGGCCCCTGCAAGCACAAGCCAGAGAACAAGGGTCGGAAAGGACTCCGGCCGTTTGAGAAACACAAGCTCGCCCTGGCTGGCATAGCTCAGTGGATTGAGCACGGGCTGCGAACCAAAGCATCGCAGGTTCGATTCCCAGTCAGGGCACATGCCTGGGTTGCAGGCCACGGCCCCCAGCAACTGCACATTGATGTTTCTCTCTCTCTTTCTCCCTTCCCTCTCTAAAAATAAATAAATAAAATCTAAAAAAAAAAGAAAAAGAAAGAAACACAAGCTCATGCCAGGCCGTGTTCGAGGAGCTGAGGAGACAGCGGTGACTGTGACAGGCAAGGTCCCTCGAAAGAGAAAAAAACGGAGAAGTCTGGCACCCTGGGGTGAGCGCTCAGATGCTACTGAGCTCAGAGAGCTGCAGGCGCCAGAGGGAGCAGGCGTCTCAGCGAGCCCGGTGGCGGGGAGGGGTCAAGGTGAACTTGCAGGGGCAGTGGCAACCAAGGCCACGGCCACGGCCCCTTGGGTCTGTGTCAGCTTGGACCCTGAGACAAGAAATGGAAATACCTTCCGGGTTGTAGGTCAGACTCTGAACCCCGAGCCCCTTCTCAAAGACCCTGCTGAAAAGGTATATCTTCTTCTCGTAGTCCCACACTTTGATCATCCCGCAGAAACTCCCAATGGCGACCAGGGCCTGGTACGGGTGGCAGGCGATGGCGCAGATGGCGCCCTTGGGCTCCGTGAACAGCTTCTCGAGCCTGGTCTCGTCCGCCTTCAAGTGGTACACGGTCGCGTCCGACGTCCCGATGATGAAGTTCCTGTTCGCCAAGCGGAGACCAGGCAGCCTCAGCGGCGGCAGGGGCCAGGCCCGCCGGCTCTGCCGCGGCTCCTAATGGCACACGAGCCGCCTCTGTCGTCTGTAATTTAGTGACATTATTAACCCGACGTCTCCAAAAATACACCGCTAACACCCAGCAGCCTCCGTTGGCAAGTGAAAAAGCCCACATGTCCACATGTAAATTGAGTCGTTAAGCATGCAGATGGACAGTCGGTTGTACAATTAGCTAATCTGCACATGCAAATATTCATTTGTGTATGCAAATATGGAGTTTGGTGCACTCTTCGCGCCGTGCCCGCAGACCCTGCAAGGGTAATTAAGCAGGCTCACGGATAATTCCATCTTGAAACGTTATGGCTATTAATTATCAAATGCCTTTGCCTGTGCTGCTAGGACAAGCCGGGCTCTGAGAAGAGACCCAGGGACTCCGGCCGGAGCAGAGATTACAGCTCAGGGACGAGCCCTTTCCAGCTTCCAGCCACCAAAGAGTCTTAATATGAGAATGGCGTTTCATTGTAAAAAAATGATTAGTGATGACAAGCAGCCAAAGGGACCCATCTCCAAGCCAGGGACAGGGGTGCCGAGGACGTCCAGGCCCCCCCATGCCGCATCCCCGGCACCGGGAGAACATTCCGGGGCGGCGTGCACACCGAGAGGAGACAGCAACTGTGTTCCGACCACTCAGATGACCGGACTCATCGGTTCGTGAACAACCTACCTGATGACGAAGAGGTCGCTTTTCAACGTGCAGTTGGTAGGGTAGTTGGACTTTTCGGTGGGCGGGGTGGCCGGGGTCTTGGAGAAGGACAGGGACCTGATGGCGCTGAGCTTGAAGTGGCTCTGCCAGCTGACGAGGGACAGGGTGTGGTCGTAGAACTTGATGTTCCCCTTGACGTCCCCCGTGACGATGTAGCTGCGGCGGGAGAGCACCACCAGCTCATTAGTGGTTAGTGAACAGGCAGGAGGACCACCCGCCGAGCGCTCGGTTGTGCGTGTCGGGCTGGGGACTCCGGGGGCTGTCAGCAGGCCACTTCACGCTCGGCCCTCCGAGGCTGGCGCTGCTGGCGCCCCCTTGCCTTCCAGGAGACGAAGACTCGGAAGAGCGGAGGAATTGGCGCGAGGCCAGGGGGTCGCGGGACTTCGCAAATACGGACGCAGGGTGCCCAGTTAAATCTGAGTTGCAGATCAACAATGAGCAGTCGTTTAGTACAAGCATGTCCCCAATATTGCATGGGACATACTTACGCCGGGAACGCCCCCTCCCCGCCCCCCAGGGCCCCGCGGCGGCGAGACCGCGCAGGGACCCGCTGAGTCTCATGCCAAGTCCCTGCCCCCCGAGACCAGCCCAGTGATGCGCGATCTCCGCGGTGAGACCCCATAGGGCCGCAGAGTCGACCTGCCGGCCCTCCGAAATCGCACAGCTGCCAAGGGGGCGCCCGTCCCTGGCCGGGCCCGCGCCGCCGCTGGAGCGGTCATAAAGCCCTGCCCGGCTGTCTCGGCCGGAGGCAGAGCCGCCCGACAAAACGGCTTTTATTTCCCGTTTTTTTATGGATCCTCAGATTCATTCCAAACGGGCTGGCTTATTTTAAGCCTCTGACACAATTCTAATCACGGGGAAGCAGCGGCAGGAGGGTGAATTTCCTCTTATATACACGCAAAGCGATTGCACGAGATTTCTGATTAATAAGCGAGGCAGGTGGGCCGAGACATTGGCTAAACCATCTTCCACTGCCCTCTGCTGGACAGAGAGGGCAAGCACAGGCCCCGTGTTCTCCGAGCCCTTTCCGCTAGGGGCTCCCGGTCCAGGCTGGGTTTGGCAGAGCGTGGAAAGGAGTAGCCGAGGCCTGGATCTCGCAGGGCCCTAACCCCCGCTAATTCCCGGTTGACTGCGTCGTCCACTGCGGTTCTACTACTGTCTTTCCACGCTGCTGAGTGAGGGTGCCAGGCCCTCACTGCCCCCGGACTGAGAAGGAAGGAGAAAGAAAGCAAAGGGGCTTTGGGGAAGCAGGGGCGCAGGGACTCCAGCTGTACGGGCAGGGTCTCAGTCATCAGGGAATTCTCCCCATCGTCTGCGGGGACTTCCCTAGCACACTGACGACGGCTCACGGACCCGGAGGTCCGCTGTGCCAGGCGGGGCGCCTGCCTTGTCTCCCCGGACCCTCGCTCACGCACTCTGACTCGGACACTGTGGCTGTGCCCATTTCACAGACAGGAAAATGGAGGCTCGACGAAGCTCGGGGCCTCGCCCACTCGGCAAGACAGGGGTGTGACAGGGACGTGAACCCCTTCTCTCGGAGGTGAGGCCTTTAAGGGTCACCTTTGAACCCCCACAGAGCCTCTCAAAATCAAAGAGGCCGTGAGCTTTGTAAAGCTCTGCTGTATTTCACCTTCTTATAACAGGTAATTTTGTAAGCGGAATAAACACTATAGCTATTCATGTTATTTTCTTAAAGTATGTAAAATTTAGGGTACAGAATAAGTCTGTTTAGTGCAGGAGTAAAAAAACAGTTACTTTTTGTTTCAGCAAACACAAAGGGATTTTTAAAAAAGAACGCATGTGTATGATGATAAAGAAGCAAGCAAACCAATGAGCACAAATGAGACCATAAAAAGCCACTCCCCCGCCCCCACCGCCCCTCCTGACCCTGGTTCTCAGTCCTCTCCCTCAGAGGCCGCCACGTGCCCAGCTAACTTCCCCGGAAACATTCCTTCGTGCAACAAAATACGGATGCACAGTCAAAGGGCTTTCAAATACTTTTGGGGTCGTCCCCAGCTACTACTTTTTAGCTGGGCTAACCACCTGTCGACCGTGGTGAGCACAGTGATCCCCTCCTTCTGCACGTGAACCAGTTTACAAGGCTTGATGTAGGGGAGGCCCAGAGAGGCGGAGGCCGCGGGCGGCGGGCGGCACACGTCCCAGACGACCAGCTTCCCCTCCATGGTGGCCGAGAGCATCTGCGTTGAGTTCAGGTGGAACACGGACTGGCTGAACTTCCCCACCAGCTTGTTGAACGTCTGCATTGCAAAAGGCAGATCATGCGTTACTGTTGGTAGCAAATCTAGAACACAGCGTTCTCTAATACTGCACTGAAATGCAGTAGAAAAGGATGAAAAAGCTACAAAAAAAAAAGCCTGAACTAAAAATGAACACTCCCCATGGATTGCCGGGGGTCCAGGCAACGCTCTGAGCCTCGCTCGCTAAGAACGAGGGGAGGGTTGTGAACTCGGGTCTCGGACCTGTTTGCTTAAAGCAAATGACGCCAGAGCGGCCAGCCCCTGTTTAGACACGTTTACCTCCTCTCACCGAGGGCGCAGGGAACCTGATGCGCAGGGAACCTGATGCGCAGGGAACCTGATGTCCGCTGTACACGGAAGCGTGCCCCGCCGTGAGGTGTCACGAGATCGTTCTCCCTGTGATCATCCAGTGTTTTCCCGACCGTAGGAAGTGAGCACCGTACACAGAAGTGCCCCTCAAGCGCCTTATTGAATCTGTGCTACGTAAAACGAGGCCGTAGGCCGCATTCCTTGGACGATGTCTCAGAGGGGAAGTACAGAAAGAACCCAGGCAGTGAGGGAAGCCCCTCAGGGGGTGTTCAGCAAAGGAGCGGAAGAAAGAAACTCCCAGTTCAAGGTCAGACACAGTGAGTCTGCCAGCCGGCTGTTGCACCAGGCGGAGGAGAGCCCGAGGCCCGCCCCGTTCTGGCTAGAGCGGAGGCCAGTGCAGGACCGGCACCGGCCCAGCGAGGGCGCCCAGATTCCCCCAAGAGCAGCCCCGTTCCAACAGGAGGCATTTCTGTTGTTCCGGACTGTGGAGACTTCATGGGGCATCACTGCCACAGACACCCAGAGGTGACCGCACTTACTGGTTGGAACTTTGATTCAGGAAAAACAGGGTTTGCAGATGGGGTGATGCTTCCCAGGTCTGTCCATCTCATCTCGGTCTTTTCTTTCAGCAGCCCCCCCCCCCCAAACATGGACTTTCTGGAAGTCGGGACCAGAGAGAAGACAGGAGGAGGGAAAATCGTCACGCGGCCCTCGCTGGGAGCAGACCACGGGGGTCTCCAGTGAGGAGACGCCGCCCGAGACGGGGCTCAGCTCCGCGCCACAGGCCCCTGCCCCGGGTGAGCAGGCAAGGAGGGCATTTCTCTGCGTCTCGACGGGCCCTTAGGAATCCGAACACCCAGTTATCATTTTTTATTACTCTGAACACTGAGAAGCTTAAACGGTATCCGCCCACGTTCAACGGCTCCACATACAGGAAGCTGTACTTGCATATAGACTTGTCATGTGCACGTCCACCTTATGGAAGCCATTACTGTTTTTTGTGGGGGTTTTTGATATTTTCTCATGGGAGTACTTCCATTATTTACAACCGACAAATTCAATGTGGCAAAGGACCCACCTAAAATTTTCCAATTATTTCCCCAGAATAAGACTCGAGAGTAGCCAAAAATGACTAAGCTCACACGTGCATGCTTTTTCTCCACGCAATCAGAAAAAGCTACCGGCAAACTCACTTTTTCGGTCAAAAGCGGGGCGCTGTGAATAAGTGTCTCTCTCTCTTCATGCTGGTAAATACAGAAAAAAAAAATCATCATTACTAAAACAAGACCCGGTTTCCAAAGGAAGAACTATATGTGACGACAAGATCGAAACAGCTGCTTCCAAAAAGGATCAGAGCTTTGCAATTTTCACAGGTGAGAAAGAGAACCTGCTGCCTCCAGAAACACCTGAAAACATTCAGAGAGAAAAGCAAATACATTTTTAAAAAGCCACAGATGATTGTGACTTTAAAGAAATTTTACATTTATAAGGCTTTTAAGCTATCATACATGCCTGAAATAATGACTACCCCTCGGAATCAGCCAATCAGTGTGTTTTTGTTATTGACTGGCATCTCTTATTGAGGCAAGATTCATGAAACATAAAATTAACCATTAACCGTTTAAAAGTGTACAAATCAGCCCTGGCTGATGTGGCTCAGTGGGTTGAGCGCTGGCTTGCGAACCGAACAGTGGAGGGTTCGATTCCCAGTCAGGGCACGTGCCTGGGTTGCGGGCCAGGTCCCCAGGGGGCCCGCCCCAGGCCCCCCTGCAGCCCTGACAAGCCACCACTCTGCACGCTGTCTCGCTGGGTCTCCCCACTCCGCACATGTCACATTCCTGGCCCCCCACCACGTGACTTTCTGTCTGGCCTCTTTCACTCGCGCCGTGTTTTTCAAGGTCCGCCCGCGTGGTGGGAGGAGTCGGCACTTCGTTTCTCTTACTGGCTGAACCGCACGGCCGGCCCACCACGCCCCGCCCACCCGCGCATCCGCCGACCGGCACTCGGTCTGGCTCAACCTTCTGCTTACGGCCAACGCGGCTGCCGTGTGCGTGTGTGCGTGTGTGTGTGTGTGTGTGTGTGTGTGTGTGTGTGTGTGTGTGTGTGTGTGTGTGTGTGTGTGTGTGTGTGTGTGTGTGTGTGTGTGTGTGTGTGTGTGTGTGTGTGTGTGTGTGTGTGTGTGTGTGTGTGTGTGTGTGTGTGTGTGTGTGTGTGTGTGTGTGTCTGCCTGGTTCCGGCTCTTCTCAGGCTGCGCCTGGGAACTGCGAGTCTCGTGAGAATCTGACGTTTAGCTTTTGATGCAGTTTTAACCTCACGGTTTTGCCCTGTGTCCGGTGTACACATCGCTGATCTGTTCACTCACTCCTGTCTACAAGGAAATAAGGTCCGTGGTCTCAGGAAAAAAAAAAAAAATACCCTGTATCTTAGAACCGTTAAGTATATTTACATAAATATTTGCCTCGTTACTTTAAAAAACCAAATAATATTTAAATTATCTACTTCTGATTTAATATGGTGATTTTCAGCGTGACTAAAATAAGTACTGTAATTAAATCAAAACATTTTAATACGTATCTATTGCTTCTTAAGTACATGCAATGTTGTTACATTACCAAGACTCAAAGAATGAACACGTACTTCTCTGCACATTTGAAACGAATCAAAATATTTCCACTTACCCACAGATAATATATGACTTGTGTCTTACTGTTGCTCACCAATTCTTTATTGTTTGTTGGATTAAAGGTAAGGTAGTTCTGAAATATAAAGAATGAAGACATATTACAGTACAATACATTTCCCGTTTCTGGCTACGCTCGATGTTAAAATTAAGTGATATTTTTGTTAAAATAAATAACTGGGTAGGAATATAAAACAGGAAAGACATGGCGTTTTATGAGCAATAGGAATATAATTTAAATACCGAGCATTAAAATTAATGGTCTCCATGTATTCCCTTTCTTATTTAGTCTCATTTATTATAATCCTTCATCCAGAACGTGGAACAAGCAAACGTAAACCAGTATTCACCAGTAACCTTGACTCTGTGCCCTTCGGCAGGAAGGCTGCCGCGTACCCATGCTAAATTGGACAGGGCCACCGGGCAGCTAGGAATGAACACAAAATATCGGAAGGGGGTTCCGCTTCCCGCCACGGCGGGGAATGGCAGGGGTGCCTGGCCCCCGTCCCCAGAATCCACCCGCAGAAACTGTGGAAGTGTGGAAAACACAAGATACAGACGCTAAACGGTAACACAACAGCCAGCGAGAAGGCCCTGGGGAGACGGTCAGCATGCCCCTTAGCTTGGCTGGGCCCAGGCGGCGGGTGGCCTTGGCTGGGGACGTGGGGCAGCCGAGGCGGCTTTGGGAAGCAGGGTGGGGACACGCTGCTGAAGCCCCGCTCCTGCCGCTGCTGCCCCATCGCCCACCTCTCCCGGCTCCTGCCTGCTGCTGCCCCATCGCCCACCTCCCCGGGCTCCTGCCTGCTGCTGCCCCATCGCCCACCTCTCCCGGCTCCTGCCTGCTGCTGCCCCATCGCCCACCTCTCCGGGCTCCTGCCGCTGCTGCCCCATTGCCCACCTCTCCGGGCTCCTGCCTACTGCTGCCCCATCGCCCACCTCCCCGGGCTCCTGCCTGCTGCTGCCCCATCGCCCACCTCTCCCGGCTCCTGCCTGCTGCTGCCCCATCGCCCACCTCTCCGGGCTCCTGCCGCTGCTGCCCCATCGCCCACCTCTCCGGGCTCCTGCCTGCTGCTTCACTTCGGGAGCGGAAGCCACGGGCCGGGCTGAGAGTTTGTGTCAGGGCAGCACAAAGGCCTGGGCCGGGTGGCTGAGGAGCCGAGGAGGCCAAGGGCGGGGCGAGCCCTCGCACAGACCAGACCGAATGTTAGCCTCCAGTCCCCTCACTCTCCGGCCAGACCGGGGTGGCCGCTGTCAGAAACGCCCGCCAGGAGCAAAAGTCTTGCACGTCCTCCTCGGAGGAAGCGACTCTGAGCCTCAGATGGTCCCTACAGACTTCAAAGCACAGCACTGGGCGGCCAGCGGAAAGTGGCCAGGCGTGAAGGAGGCACCCCCGGGTGACCGGAAACCGGGGAGGGAAGCCACCTGCAGAGAGAGGCGCGCGGGAGACGCAGGGACCAGCGTCACCACCCCCGGGCTCGGCCGTGACTGCCGTCGGTACGCGTGGGAAACAGAGGGCGAGACGGGTGACCGCAGCACACGGCTGTTCTGAGAAAAAAAAACAACCCAGTGGATCTGGATCAAAAATATTTCTGAAACTCAAAACATGGTTTAATAGAAAATTAAAGCTAGCCAAAAAAAGTGATTATTAGTACAAAAAAAAGTGAGATAAATTATGGGCGGGGGAATATCTGGACAGAAGCGTAAAGACAAAAAGTACAGAAAGTACAGAAAAGAGGATAAAAGACCCAAGGGCAGGACGAACAGGCCCAACTCAGACGTAGCTGGAGCCCCAAAAGGAGAGGAAGGGAAGAACGGGGCAGAAGTAGCGTTTAAAGGGACGATGGCTGGCCGTTTTTCAAAACTGAGGAATGGTCTGGCATCCCAACTTCAAAAAACCCAAAGGGTAAGTTTTATTGTATTTTTTACATGGTCAACAAATCCATAGGCACGTAGACGTGTTACCAAAAAACTGCTGAAAACCAAGAGAAAAATCGTAAAAGCACCCAAGGAGGGGGAAAGATGAAAATTAAAAAAAAAAAAAAAAAGCAGGAGTGACGAGATTGAGGCTGACTTCTCAGCGGGGACGATGTGAGGGAGAGGACGATGGAACGGGACCCTCCAGGACCGGCGCGCACACGATGGAAAACGCCGGCAGTGGGAGTGAGTGAGTGGGTCGCCGCCCACGACCAGGCCGCTCTTCCCAGGCCCGGCTGAACTCACCTGAAAACCGTACTCTTCGGGAAGGTCCAGAGAACACGCCGGCGTTTCTGCCGCCAGAGTCCACCTCCAGATGCAGACTCTCTGTAAGGGGCAGCAGACGGGAGGAGGAGGTTTCTGAGGGCTGCCCCCAACACCACGACACTGCGGCGGCAGCCCCATCACTGCCGTAACTGAGCACGGCACCGTGAGCAAAGCTGTGAGCATGGAGCCCCTGGCAGTGGGCGGGGGTCCAGTCAGCCCCTGAGCGAGGCACAGACGCCGCGAGGCACAGACGCCACGCGGCCCGAGCAGCCTGCTCCCAGGAACACGCTGGACGGGGACGGTCCGGCCAGCCCACAGAGGCCACCCCACAGGTCCCTGTACCTGGATTTCAGCAGCGGAGATGGTGGCCAGATACTTGGCGTCGTGGGTCATGGCGATGGCCCTGATGCCGTGATCTTTGGGGCAGCTGTCGAATATCGTGTGCACGGGGATCCTGCGAGACAGGACGGGGGGCAAGCATTTGCTGGGCGTGCTTTGGTTCCCGGGGTGGGTGGGGGCGGCCCACTACGAAAACATGCCAACTGTGGATAAATAAAGGTGGCCGCCCATCCGGTGGAGTGTGGCTCGGCCGTGAAGAGGGACGGGGCTCTGACGCCGGCTGCAACCTGGGTGAACCGCGAGGACGCGATGCTGCGTGAGGGACGCCGGGCACGGAGGGCCACACGCCGTGTGAGTCCACTGACGGGGAAGGCCCGGCACAGGCTCATCCAGGGGGACGCAGAGCGGGCTGCTGTTTCCCGGGGGCTGGGGGGCGAAGCCAGGAGTGACCCTTTAATGGGAAGGGGGTCTCCTTTTCAGGGGGGGTGAGACTGTTTGGGAACCAGATAGAGGTGGCGGTGGCACAGGCCAGTGAAAGTGCTCAGTGCCACCGACCTGCTCACTGGTCAGTGTTCCGTATCTTGTTACGTGAATGTTACCTCAATAAGAATGCCGTCATGGTGTCCTTAGTTGGAAAATAGATCTTACCCCTGGGGGCTAGTTAGGATTAAATACAGAGAAGACGAAACCAGTCAGACCCGCACTATTAACATAGTTGTGATCAGGGAATTGGTTCTTTTTCTTAGGGATGGGTGGAATTTAAGAGGCTCTAACTATCGGAGTCTCTAACAGATTACATCTGTGATTCTAATTTAAAGTGCATGGCTGATTTAGACTTGTAATTTTAAATGCAAATCATATTAGGCTTATAAACAATACTAGAATGCTTAAGAGAACTTAGGATTTGCCATATTTATGTCTAATTTATCAGATTTACAAGAATTGCTTAAGTGCCGGTGAAGGATTTATTTGTTAATGAGACTACTAAAGAACTTAAAGATGAAACCAAATGTATTCCATTTCTACATGCAGCTTAAAATGTTTAAAAGGAGTTAATAATCAAATTTGTAAGTGGGGCCAAACATTAATCAAAGTCCCCTTAAAGGAGAGCGTAAAAATATGCTAGGCTTATAAATAGAGTGAGATTCATAAGTTCAACAAAGAGCTTAAAGAGCTCTGGTCTTTAATTTGTCACTTTAATAAAGTGAATATTAATTCTACACCCAAATCATCTTTTCTGGGTCACTTGGAACATCACGAAACGCACGTGGACACTGGTTGAACTGTTAGCCACGGACATACTTCACTTAAAAAAAAAGTCACGCCCTCAAGTGGCTCCCGGCCTTAGTGGGGGAAGAGGCAGCTTTACCAACCAGCAGCCAATCGTAGGGTGGACAGGGCCAGGGGCCGGCCCGGCCTGGGGCGGGGGACCATCACCCAGGGGGGCCGCCGGCCCTGCCTGCGGACAACTCCCTGTTGCAGGGGAGCACCTGCCCTCGTGTGGCCGCTGGACGTCCCACAGCTTGCCGCCGGAAGCGGGTGATGGCTGCGGGGCGGTGGGGCGCGCACACGGGGAATAAACACCACGCTCGGGGAGAGTGTCGGTGCCGCTGTGATGCGAGGGGCAAACAGGCTGGTGGGCATGTCTTACGGCCACTGGAGAAAGCTCAAACTAGAGGCGCGGACGGGTGGGGACAGCCGCTGGACTTCTCCGGGTGAGTGTGGGTCGGCTTCCCTCGGCCCAGGCGGCTCTGGGACCCAAACACACCGAGCTTCTGGGCCGCAAGAGCCAAGAACCTCCGGGAGGTTCGCCGAGGTCACGTCACTGCATCAGGCCCCGCGGCGACCGGACCACCAGGCTTCCTGGCAGCTGCGCCCCCCACGCCGAGTCCAGTGCCGGCTGCTTCCGTAGCCCCAGATCGGGGCTGTGCGTTTTTGCCCGTCACGGTGGTGGCCACCCCCCCAAACCCAGGGGGGAAGCGACCCCGCCGCGCTTACCCTGTGAAGGAGTCCCAGATGATGATCAGGCAGTTGGGCCCCTCGTCGGCCGTGGCGATCCACCGCCTGTCCTCGCTGACGCAGAGACAGGAGATCACGTTGGGGTGGCCCTGCAGACACGGGGAGAAGGCGCTTTGAAAGATCAGGGGTGCAGCCCGGCCGTGGTATCAGCAGGACGGGGGGGGGTGGTGCCCACAGGGAGAACCCAGCCCCTCCCGGGCTCATCTGGCTGGACATTCTACCCCCGGCGGCCACCCCTGGGGCTTCCCCACAGCCAGTGGTTTCCAAACGCTCTCTCCCACACGACTCCTGCAGCATAAGCTGTGCTCCCCACAAGAACAGGCTTCCGGGGGGCCTGGGTGTGCACCCGCCTGTGAGCGCAGGTGGAGAATGAGGTTGGCCCCCAGCCCCAGCCCCGGAGACCCCTGCCGGCCTCCCCCACCGCCCCCCCCCCGCCCCCCCGCCCAAACCATGTTCACTTCAGGCCTCTGAGCGGCTCTGGAGAGAAAGCCTCCTCCCTGGCCTCTCCGCTTTCACTCTGATCCTTCCCCTACGTCACAGAGGAATCTTCTAGAAACACAGACAAGATGGCAGCGCTCCTTGCCAGAGGCAGCCTGTTTCCTCTTTCCTCACTCACTCTGCCTGGCGGCCTGCCGTCTGGGCCTCGCGTGCTGCTGGCCTGAGACCCGGCGCCGTCTGCCCGTCTGCCCCTGCCCCCCACGCTGCCCCTGCCCCCCCATGCTGCCCCTGCCCCCCACGCTGCCCCTGCCCCCCCCCACGCTGCCCCTGCCCCCCACGCTGCCCCTGCGTGCCTCCTTCTCCCCTCTTGGTCCGGCACAGCCGGCTCTATTCTGTTCCCCGCCCACCCGACCGAACCAGGTCTCCCCTCGGCCTCGACTTTTCTCTCCCGCAGCAGTTCACGTTTCTCCCGACCACGGGCCACGGTTTACAGTCATCCATCCGTGTGTCCCCTTGTTTAACGTCTGTCTGTCCGCTAGATTGCGAGCCCCGTGAGGGCGACGAGGCCTGTTTGGTTCGTGGCTGTGGACCCGCCGTCTGACACACGGTGGTCGTGGTGTGTGGGGGACAGACGGACGGATGAGTGGCCAAGGCGGCCATCCGCGGCCATCTGGCCTGGGGAGCTGGACCCCTGCCTGTGTCCGCCCCGCTGCCGGCTGCCGGCCCTCCCTGGCCCTCCCCGGCCCTCCCCGCCTGCCACACAGCCTCTCCCTTCTCCCCGGCCGGCTCCGCCCGCTCGCCTCGGCCCCAGGACCGGCCGCCCGCTGGTGTTCCCGTGTGCGCGAGTTTCTGGGCTTCCCCAAGGCCCATGCCTTCGGCTGGACCCACGTGTCTGGGATCCCCGGCCCAACGCCAAGTGCTGACTTGACCCTGGAAAACTCTTTGTGACGCTTTTGTTCTGGGTGTTGACTAAGGAAGCACTTATTGACACGTATGTCAGTCGGAAGGGTAGCAGAAGTGTCTGCCAGGTTAACTGTGAGGCAGACGCGGGGGAGATCGGCCGCCTGGGAGGCCAACGTCGGAAATGAAAGGGGTCGAAGATGCCAGGGGCGGAGGAAGCGGAGCGGCGTGGGCGGGGCGCGCAGGGCGGCTGCCCGGCAGGCGCAGAGGGGCGACCGTGAGCAGGGACGCCGAGGGACGGAGCTCAGGACGACAGATCTACATGACACTTTCCAGTCAGGAGACCTGGGGCTCAGACCCGGCTTCCCCGTGTGCCCGTGCAGTCCTGGGCGAGTCGGCGAAGTCGCTTGGAGCCTCAGTGTCTTCTTCTAAAATGGGGATATCAGCCCTGGCTGGTGTGGCTCAGGGGACTGAGCGCTGGCCCGTGAACCAAAGGGTCGCCGGTTCGATCCCCGGTCAGGGCACAGGCCTGGGTTGTGGGCCAGGTCCCCAGTAGGGGGTGCACCAGAGGCAACTGCACACGGATGTTTCTCTCCCTCTCTTCTTCCCTCCCTTCCCTTCCCTTCTCTAAAAATAAATAAATAAAATCTTTTAAAAAATAAGTAAAATGGGGATACTAACACCCATTTTTTAGCATGACTCAGAATATCAAAGCCCTTTGGAGCCTGGAAAGTAGCCCAGTGTGAGTGAGGCCAGAAGTCCTCTGTGCCTCCCCACAGCTCTGTGGGGACACGGTGCAGCCTGGGCACGGTCTCGGGGAAATGCAGGAAGCACAGATGTTTCAAATTCTTGTTACGATAAGATTAAAATCAACTGCTGTTTTCTAAATTGATTCTAATTAGCATCAGAGAGAACACGAACAATAAAATATGTTTCTAAAGACAGGGTTTGCTACAGTTCAGAAGAGAGGCCACAAAACATGAGAGTGATAGAGTGAAGTCAGGTCTTGGAATGAAAAAACAGAAGTGCACCCTGACTGGTGCGGTTCAGTGGGTTGGGTGTCGTCCCGCAAAGCGAAAGGTCGCTGGCTCGGTTCCCAGTCAGGGCATGTGCCTAGGGTGCAGGTTTGGTCCCCGGTTGGGGCGCGTATGAGAGGCCACTGATTAGTGTTTCTGTCTTGCATCGATCTTTCTCTCTCTCTTTCTCCCTCCCTTCCCCTCTCTCTAAAAATAAATACATACATACATACATACTATATTTTGCTATGTATAATGTGCACTTTTTTTGCCCAAATTTTTGAGGGAAAATAAGGATGAGCATTACACATGGATAATACTAATTCTGTATCTATATAAATGTTTTTAATTCTTCTCTTTATGCTTATGTGTTAAAAGTATAAGTCTAGAAAGCAGTAACGATAGCCATATGCAAAATAACACCCTGGAATACAAGAATCGGTTTTGTTGAACTTACAAAGAAATTGCAACAAGAGCAGTATCTAAATACAAATAAATAATGGAATTTGAAAATTAAAATGAAAGACTTTTTTTGCCCTGAAAGTTCAGGCCAGGAAACGTGGGAGCCCATTATACACGGCCAAACGTGGCAAATAAAACAAAATGCTGGATGCAAGCTAAAGGCGACCCTGCTGATGGACAGTCAGGAAACCCTGCGCACCTGAAGATGATGCTGGTCGTTCTTGGAGACGCTGTAGATGACCGCGGTGTGGGCGCTGGCGTACAGGAGGACCCGCTGGTTCTCGTCTCGGATGTAGAACACGGGAAGAGAACTGTTCCACCCGAATTTCCAGGTCATGGTCTGGAAGACAAAGGTGAGACCAGCAGGACACCACAGAGTGTCCAGCCCAGAGCTGCGACACTGGGCGCTCCGGGTGCGAGTTACCGTGAAGCCACTAAAAGTAACTTTATAAGGCCCTGGCTGGCGTAGCTCAGTGGATTGAGTGCAGGCTGCGAACCAAAGTGTCGCAGGTTTGATTCCCAGTCAGGGCACATGCCTGGGTTGCAGGCCACAACCCCCAACAATTGCACATTGATCTCTCTCTCTCTCTTTCTCCTTCCCTTCCCTCTCCAAAAATAAATAAATAAAATCTTAAAAAAAAAAAAAGAAAAGAAAGGCGATTGTCCAGTCTGTGTATCTGGACCTTATGCACCTAGAAGGATACAGGATAGAGACAAAATTCCCTTGGCAGGATTAAAAACTCCATACTGCCAGGAATAAATGCAAAATAAAAATTTTATGAAATGAAAATTATAGGTACTACATATCTTACCACCTCTTTTAATGCAATGGTAATTAACTTATGTATATTTTTGTGTTCGAAGTCTTTTTTTAATGCTCACCCGAGGATATGTTTATTGCTTTTAGACAGAGAGAGAAAGCGGGGGTCAGCGGGGGCGGAGAGAAACATTGATCAGATGTCTCCTGTACACGCCCAGACCAGGGATCACGCCTGCAACCTAGGTAGGTGCCCTGACCGGGGGTCGGTCCCACAACCTTACTGCGTACAGGAGAACGCTCCAACCAAATGAGCCACTTGGCCAGGACATCAGTTCAAACTCTTTTGCAAAAATTACCGATGAACTGTGGCAGGTGTATACACTGGAATATTACTCAGCAGTAAAAAGAAACGAGCTAGCGAGTACCGAAAAGGCACAGAAAAACCTCCAACGCACACTGCGGAGTGGAAGAAGCTAGCCTAAAAAGGCCACGCCCTGCAGGATTCCGACGACAGGACCTTCCGGAAAAGACAAAACTGGGGACAATGACAAGAGCGGCAGTTGCCAGGGGCTGGGCTGGGGGAGTGACAAAAACAGGGCACCCAGGGGATTTTTAGGCAGTGAAACTACTCTGTGTGATACTGTGATGATGGACACGTGTCATCAATCATCTGTCCAAACCCGTGAAATGCACAACACGAAGAATGAACCCAAGATAAACTATGGGCTTTTTACTTCATGGTGACGTATCAACATGGGCCCGCCAACCACGACAAGTGTGCAGCAGTCATGCAAGATACTAATAATAAAAGGCAATAAGGCGCATAAATGGCCGGTACAATATAGACGGGGGGAAGGCAGGAATAGTATAGGAAATGGGGAAGCCACAGAACTTACCTGTGTGACCCGGGGACATGAACTAAGTAAGGGTGGGGGGATGATGGTGGGAGAGGGGTGCAGGGCGGAGGGGAATAAAGGGAGAAAAAAATTAGACAACTGTAATAGCATAATCAATAACATGTACTTAAAAAAAAAGGAGATTAAGAAAAGGGAAAGTGGGGTGGAGGAGGCACCACGGAGGACTGGGTACTTTTTGCTCAATTTTTCTGTAAACCCAAGCGGCTGAAAACAATGAAGTCTGCTTCAAAAGTGAGCAAGGCCGATTAACCAAAGGTGCTGGCGCTGACAGCAATGGCTAAGGGATCAGTTACTGAAAGCCAGTGAATTCAATGGGAGTACGGAAACGACCTGGTGGCTCCCTCTCCTCTCTGACCAAGGCTGGAGCAACGCAGACAGGACCCGGGAGGAGGGCCGTAGGGGAGAAGCACTGGCCACCCAGGACAGAGTGGGCGTGGCCAGTGCTTCTCCCCTGTGGCCCCCCTCCCGGGTCCTGTCGTCTCCATCTGCCCACGCCCGCGGCCCACACTGAGAGTTAGGTCTCTCACCGCGTGGGTGCGGGTGCGCGTGGTAGAGTGATGCGCTCGCGACTGTCTTAAGCTGCAACTTCCAGGAACAGAGCTATTGAGTATCCGGCTGGTTCTTAAAAGCCAATTTCTTCCAGCGAGATTGTTCTTTTTGGAAGCTCGCTAAAAGGCATTTGACTCATCTCGGAAATGTATTCTGCCGTTTAACCAATTAGTTATAACATCATAACCACGCGGTCATAAAAAGCAGCGCGGCCCCAACCGGACGGCCGTCTCCGGGCAAAGGAGCCCGGCCAGCGTCGGGACGAGGCCGACTTCCCCGGGGCCGCGGCGGAACCTCCTCGCTCAGGCAGCAGTCGCGGGGGCTGGACTCACGCGGCGTGGGTCGCCCCACTTCCTGCGCGAGTTTTAACGCTCGTGGCAAAGGAGCATGGCGCTCTGACGTCAACCGCTTTCTAAAATGGGGTGATTTGGAACACAGAACTTTGTCAAAACCGGATTTCACTGTATTTGATGGTGGTTAAGATTCCCTCTCCTAGATGGGCGATACTTGGTGTCTTCGCTGAAAACAGCGTCCGTGGATATGCCCGTTTACCGCGGGCTCTGTAAGTCACTGCGCACCTTGGGGAGAAGGCAGGGGGCCCCCAAAGGAAAAGGCAGATGCCGCGGATGCAGAGAGAGAGGGAGGGGCACACTTGTTGAATGACGAAGCATCTTTGGTGGAAGTGAGAAGGTACAAGAGACGTAAATGCCCATCCATAGAACAGCTGAATTGGAAACAATGAAGCGGATCAACAGGCAGTGATATAAAAAAAAATTCTCCAGCCCTGGCTGGCATAGCTCAGTGGATTGAGCTCAGGCTGCGAACCAAAGCATCGCAGGTTCGATTCCCAGTCAGGGCACATGCCTGGGTTGCAGGCCACAGCCCCCAGCAACCGCACATTGATGTTTCTCTCTCTCTTCCTCCCTTCCCTCTCTAAAAATAAATAAATGAAAAATCTAAAAAAATTTCTTTAAAAAAATTCTCCAAAGCATATTAAGTGGGGAAGTACTTTTTAAGAAATGTGTAGTATCTCACTGGTTGAAAAATAAATAAATAAAAACCCACAGCCCTGGCCAGGTGGCTGGCTCAGCTGGTTGGAGCATCACCCCGATACCTCAAGGTTGCAGGGTACAATCCCCAGCCAGGGTGCATACGAGAAGAAACTAATGGATGAAAAAGTGGAACAACAAATCGATGTTTCTCTCTCCCCCTCTCAAATCGATAAATTAAAAAAGATGCACAGAAGCTAAATGAGTGGCATGTGCGCACACTCACACACACAAGCACACAGGTAACGCACCTGCATGTGCACAGGAAAAGGCCTGGGGAGACGGTTACACCAACCTGTAACAGAAGTCACTCAGGCAACAAGGACTGAGGTGGGAGGGGCGTGCAAGAAGTGGAATCTTTACCTTTAAGGGTTTTGGGGGTTTTTTTTTCCATAAAAAGCATCTAAACGTTTTAACAGAAAGAAAAGACAATAAAGGCAAAAGGAAAAAGAAGAGAAAGAAGGAAAAAGGAGCTAAACAAATTTGCAGAGGGAAACAGTCTCAGCAGGTCTTGGTTCTGCGGTGAGCCCAGACAAAGCTAACGGCACCCAAACGTGGGCAGTGGCTTTGCCAAGTCCAGATGGCTGGGCCGTGAAACAATGACCCTTGCTCCCGTTAGTGACAGCCCCTGATTTCCTGGTAGCTGGCTAATCGAGGCAAGAAGTCTAGCCCTGGCTGGTGGGGCTCAGTGGACTGAGCACAGGCCTGCAAACCAAAGGGCTGCTGGTTCGATTCCCAGTCAGGGCCCATGCCTGCGTTGTGGGCCAGGTCCCCAGCTGGGGGCTCATGGGGGGCAACCACACATTGATGTTTCTGTCCCTCTCTTTCTCCCTCTCTTCCCCTCTCTCAAAAAAATAAAGAAATAAGATCTTTAAAAAAAAAAGAAGAAAGTCTTCACGGGCTCCAAAACTCAGCTGTTCTCTCTTCCAGGCTGAGCAATGGCCAACTTCAACCTTCAACCCCCACCGCTCGCAGCAGCCAGACGGACAGAAAGGAGGCTGTGAGCCCCCGCATCGCCCACCAGGCACGTTCCCATCATCATCGTCTCCCCATTAGCACTTGCCACACGGGCTCCCTGCGCGCTAGGAACTACATTAAGTACTTCATGTACATTCAATCTCTCACAAATCTCCCAAAGGCATGGATCTACGGGGAAAAGGAGAAAAAAAGGGAGACGAATCCTAGGGAACGATTTTCAGAAAACAGCAGATGGGGGAAGAAGGAGGGAAGAAAAAAAAAAAAACCCTTGTCTTCCTACTCTCGGGAAGCGCTAACGCTTTCACTCCCGGCAGATGGTGCCTCCCGCGGCACCGGGGGCGCGCGGCTGCGCAGGCAGCTCCCCTCGGGCTGCCTGGTGCTCTTCCCGGCGCCTTTCAGTCTCCACCCCTTTTACTGGGCGATCTGTCTGGGAATGGATATTTTTAGGGGCGCGGAACAAGTTTTAGGAGCCTGTGAATGTACTGAACCCGTTCAGTGAAGGCAGGAGAGAGAGGAGGAGAGGAAAGGAAGGAACTGATGGAACGGGAGGAGCTGTTTAATGAGAGTGAGGGAGGGGAGGGGAGGGGAGGGGAGGGGAGGGGAGGGGGGGGAGGGGAGGAGGGGTGAGAGAGAAAAGGAGGAGAAGGATGGGGAGGAGAGAGGAGGGGGAAGAGAGGGGAGACGAGAGGGGGAAAGGGGAGATGCATTTTGAATCTCCCACAAAGAAAACAGTGTCCTGTGCAACAGACTGTCAGCATATCCTGCCTGCTGAGCAACGCCGTTGAACCTAGACTCCGGTCTCATGTCCACATTTGGTCACCCGTGTCCTGTCACCCATGTCCAGCTGGAGCTCTGAATTTTATTTTCTTTTATTGATGAATTTGAGAAAGGGAGGGACGACGGAGAGAGAGGACGAGGGAGAGAAAGAGAGAAAGGAACATTAATTTCTTGTTCCACTTATGTAGGCATTCATTGGTGGAGTCTTTTATGTGCCCTGCCTGGGGATCGAACCTGCAACCTTGGCGTATTGGAGACAATGCTCTAACCAATGGAGCTACCGGCCAAGGCTGAGCTGAACGTTGACAGACGCAAGTCTAGCATGAGTTTTCAAAGGACCTTCCACAACACTCCCAAAGCACCTGGGACAACACAGAACCATGTCACACTTACCAGGGGATACACGTTGGCGGTGTCCCTCTTTTCAAACAGAATGTCCTTGGTGGTGGTGGCCACCAGTGAAACCTTTGGGATGCTGGCCTCAGGCTGGAATTCTTTTTCTTCTTCCTCAATGGAGTAGGATAGTGTTTCTTCCGGCCTCCTTTCCTCCACTTCTGGTTCCAAATCTCTCCTTCCCTGTCCCAGTTCATCTTGGGGGATCCAGTCGCTTTTCTCCCCAAGCTCGCCCGAGGGCTGCCTTTCAAGGGGACCCGTCAGTCGATCCTCAGAACTGGGGACTTCCCAACCCAGAGGCTCTGCTGGAGTTTCTGATGGCAATGAATGCTCCCACTTGCTGTCACTATGGGTTTCCTTTAAAAAATAAATAAATAAACAAAAGGAGATCGTCGTTCCAAATGCGGTACGTTCTTCCTTATTTTCCTTTCTTTTCCAAATCAGCCAGGCTCTGTGTTAGCCTCACACTGGACTGATGTTTTGAAAAGCAGCCCGGACATTTCTGTGCTCAAAACACACGAATCACGGGGGCGTCACGTGCATCCCCGGCCCACCGGCAGACCCACGAGAGCAGAACCGTCCTTCTGCTGGTCCCCCGACGGTGGACGGGGCACAGAGGGTCCGTTCCCCTCGAGTCAGGGCTGAGTTCTCCCTCGGGGAAGGCCTCTGGGAAGCTTCCACAGCCAGCATCACCCTGGCTGTTCCAAGACAAGCGTGCTCCAGCCAGCCCCCACCAGCTGCCCCTGGAGGAGTCAGCCCTTCCTCCAGCAAGCTTCCCCTGACCACCCTCCAAGCTGGGGTGTGTGGTCCTGTTCCGAAAAACAGCTCCACCACGTCTCCCCATCTCTGCACTTAGCGTATCGGTTTACACCGTTTGGTAATGGGTCCGCCTCCCTACTCGCCCTAGAACTCAAGAACACGGACTGTGTCTTACTTGGTTTTGTATCCCCATGGCCTGGGATACAGTAAGCACTCAATTAATGGTTATGAATGAATGAATGGATGAATGAATGGATGAATGGCAATGAGTACTTACTGGGAGAGTTCCTGACGTGATCAACTGGGCATCAGTCAATGTCAGTCCCTCCAAAGTGGTCACGGGCGTGGTGCTTTCTTGGGGCTTCACTGCGGCTTCTTCCGGGACCTCTGCAGCCACCTCCTCCTGTGCTGCTCCAGCCTCTTCCTCTGTTCCTTCTCTGATGGTCTCCTCCTCCTCCCCTTCCTCCTCCTCCTCCTCCTCCTGCTCCTCCTGCGAGTCTCTCCATGCTAATGGGTCATCTTCTTTTGATTCCTCTTGCCTATTTTCTTCCTCTGTATAATAACTTGGATAATATTCTTCTTCTTCTCCTCCTTCTTCTTCTTCATTTTCTGTTTCTCCGTCTTCTGTTTTTTCCAGTGGGTTTGGCTCCGTATCCGCCATTCTTCTCTGTGGGGTTTCCTCTAGAAAAATTTGACCACCACAATCAGCAGCACCCGACTCCCGTTTCGACCCCTTGCTGCACTAACCTACCGATAAAATGTGCAATCCCAACTCTGGCCCCTTTCCAGGGGGGTGAACAGGATGACATACGCCTGGGAAAGCCTGTCCCAAATCTTGAAAATACGGATCCCAGGGCCCCTCAGCTTTCTAGGAGTAACTTTAGAGCTCACTCAGTTTAAATGTATGTATTTAAGTATACACAGGCAACAGGCAGCAACATGCATAACCCAGGCATTAGCGGCAACTCGAGTGCTGTGAGTAGGAAGCATCGTGGCTTTGTGGGGAGAAGCCCGGCTTTGGAGCCAGCCTCTCCCGGCGCCCCGGTCCTGCAGCTCACTTGCTCTGTGACCTCGGGTGAGTCACTTTATGCCTCCGAGTCTAACGTTGCTCACAAGCAAAATAAAAATAACAACCCCAAATTCTGGGGTTATTGTGAGGATTACATGACATACGTGATATGTTCAGCACAGTTGCACCCCATGAGGCTTCAGAAATGATGGTAGCAACTGTTTCAAAAGTGTAAAGGCCTTTCATCTCTCATGTACTCCTCACAATAAACTTAAGACTTCGGGGCTCTGAGAGTTGAAGTGACGTGTTCAAGATCACGCGGCTGGTGAGCCGCGGACCTCTCTGCCGCTCCGTACCTCCGCCTGAAAAGGTGCTGATTTCAGGTGTCAGGCCCTCAGCACAGAGCTTCTCCCGATGCCAAACTCTGCCAGTGAATCTGGATGCGGGGGGCTTGGGGGTGGCGGCAGGTGTGTGGGGCGCACGCGCAGCCCCTGGCCTCTCAGCTCAGGTCTCCCAGGGGCCGCCCAGACCCGGCTCTGCCCGGCTAGGGTGAGCGGCCCCCGGCGAGGCACCAGGTCCCGCTTTGCTGCCGCCCCAGACTCACAGAGCGCGCCCACCAAGGTCCTCAAAAGGCCGGCGTCGTCCCTGGCCTGGACCAGTCTGCCGCTGGCCTCTAACAGTCCCGCTTTCTCCAACACACGCTCCTTAGTTACGGTTGCCACCCAAGCCCTGTCCCCATGGTAACCGCCGCCTTCCTGGCCCCGGAGGCCGTAAGGAGGGCTGGGCGGTGGTCACGTGCCCAGAAAGCCCCGGGAGCGGGCTAGAGCGCCCCCTACTGGGTGCCACAGGAGGTGCGCTTCTGCTGCTGGGACAACGAAATGAACTTGGCTTTCCTGGTCCCACCCTCTTTCCTGGTCCCGCCCTCTTTCCTGGTCCCGCCCTCTTTCCTCCCAACCCTTTTTCCCCCATGGCGCCACTCCCGGGGGAGCTGCAGCGGTTCGCACTAGCAGCTCTGACTTTCCGAAGGCTTAACAAGATTAAGGGTAGAATGAATGGTTGGATAAAATTCTCTTTGCCAAAAGCAAACTAAAGTCCCCAGTCTCGTGGATGCTGCGCCCCTCTGTTCTCCGTACCTCCCCACCGGGGCGAAAAGTGTTGTGTGCAGAGTTTTAGCGAGCTGGGATTCAATATTGAATCAGTCCCATCATCTTGCTGTTTTTATCACAAAACGTTTCTGCAAAGCCAGTTCAGTTAAATCTATTAGGGTCCCTCTACCCCAAAGGGACCGCTGCCTCCAGTCTCACACAAGGGCGCACACGTGGCCATCTGGAGCTTTCTGCAGGGAGACCCGCAGGACACCGGCCAGTGGCCTGGAAGCATAGACTCTTGCTGCTCTCATTTTAGAAGAATGTGAGTGATCCCCCCCATCCCACCCCCACGTCCCAAAGCTGGTTGGTTCATATACATACGTCTCAAAAAGAAAAAAGGGAGAAACTGGATGGAACAAGCTGCGTTTATTACAGTCTGGGGCTTATAAAAAGAGACTGGAACGCACTGGGAATCGAACACACAATATAAACAGCAAAGACTGGTAAACACTGTGGCTACAGGGGACACGTGAGCGTGTACGGCACAAGTAACAGCCTGGGGGAGACACTCCACAGCAAGGCTCCCTGTGGCTGGAAGCACCCCCCATGCTGAGCCCTGTCAGGGCAGGCTGGCACCTGGGTGCACCCCAGGCCCATCCAGGCCCAGGGACCACCAGCCTCGGCCGCGTGCCAGGTCTCGGAGGGTGAGGCTGGTCGGTGGGAACTGGGGAGATCAGCACGGTGACACGGCGATGAGAGAAAGACCAGAGTCACTGGGAATCACTGAAACATGTTTCACCGTATTAGAAAGTAAGAGGAATCGGCATTTTCAAGAGGCCGTGGCCCTGTGCACGCCACGTGGTCCCATCAGATGCGTGAGGCCCACCTGGTCAGGTTATAAAACAGCGCTGATCGGAGGGCGGGACAAAGAGGTTCAATGATAAAAAGTGAAATTAGAAGCCAGTTTGCAGGTGTTTTTATTCCAGGAGGGAAGGGAGCTTGCTGCCCCCTGGTGGCTCATGGGCCAGGACGTGCACACCTCACGGGGCTGCCTGGGAGCCCCTGCTTTCTCTGTTCTTAAAGGGAGCAGCTGCGGCCCTGGAGGCCCAACGCTGAGGACGCGATCTCTGTGTTTGGAGCAGAGGGGTGGCCAAGTGGCTGGGACGCCATCATTTACGATGGGGACGCCGTAAAGCATGTCGGTCCTGAGACGTGGGGACGTCAGACACAATGATGGCCCTGAAACGCTGCAGGTCAGATGTGACTTTGGCACAGCTGCTGCTGTTCTACGCAACTTCCTATGACGATGCTCGAACTCCCGTCTACACTCTGGTCTGGGAGGTTCGTAAGAAACTCAGTTGGGGATGATCACTCGGTCTTATCAGTAGTGTAAAACTGTTTATTTGCGGGGGGGATCCTGAAAGGATAGAGTCATGCCAGCACCAGCCAGAATAACTCCCACCCTCTTGTCCAAAATCAGAGGACTCCCGTTTAGGGCTGTGGCCTAATTTGCAAAAGATACTAAATACAGGTCAAGTTTTTAACAATTCCTTAATCCCCAGAGGTCACGTGTACTTGGAGGCCACAGCATCCCCACCACCTAGAAGTCCGGGCTTCCGGCCTCTTCCAGATCCTTAAACTTCAGGGAGAGAAGAGAACGAAGAAATCCCCCCCGGACCCAAGTCCAGGGCGACCAAAGACGCTTTTCTGTGACTGTTCCCCAGCGACGGTCATCTCTGCAAAGGAATAATGTTGCAGCTGGAAGGCAAAAAGAAAAGAAACAGCGTGAATCTGGCGGCTCCGTTCAGGAAGATCAGGAGGTGAGCCCTCCTGGGCTTTCCGCCCCACGTACCCTCCTTAGTTCTGCCGAGCAGATGCCCCCTTAATGAAAGGACCGGAGGCCGGCGCTCCCTCCGCCTCCGCCGCCTGCAGCCTCATTCCCGCCCGCAGTGCTCCTCCCGTGCTCCTCCCGAGTCCCGCAGGCCACTGGGGGATTCCCGCCGTTTCCCAACACACGCCCCCCACCCCCGCCAGCTTCCCGTCTAACAAACAGCGCGTGAGGGAACGGCAGCAGACACCTCACCCCAGCAGTCCTTTCCCTGCCCAGCGCGTTGGGACAAGCCTGAGCTGGTGTCTCTCCCCTCTGCGGATCACGGTCACGGTCAGGGGCCTCTGAAAGGAAAAGAAGCGCATTTTCAGTTCAGCCTCCTCAGCACTCAGAGGGATTCGGGCTGAAGTGCTGGCACTGGTTTTCGCCCATCACATCAGCAAGGATGCTTATTTTAGGCATCAGCCCGCAGCTGGTGAGTGGGGCGTGCGGCCCTCTTGGGGCAGCCAGTGGGGCTGCAAATCGGCCCCACCCCCTCGCAGAAACATGTCTCCATCCCCCCACCCCCACCCCAAAACGTAGAAGTGCATATAAAATACAGTTTGCCAAAGTACAAGATGATATATGAACAGTGTTCATCCCAGGGCTGTTCATAAATTCAAAAACTGAAAGCACCCAGAATACCCCTTAATAAGGTATTGTTGGAATCTAGTACAGTGCATGAGGCAGTTTTAGAATACAAAACAAAACGAAACCGGTCAGGCGAGAACCCACTGGAATACACACGTATTTCTAAAAGACCATATGCGTTGCTTGCTGCGTGCAGCTTCCTGGAAGATACACCGGAAAGCTGTTAACAGTGCCTACTTCCCGGAGAGAACGGAGCAGAAGACGTTTGCTTCTTTATCTTTCTCTGCCGTTCATTTCTTAAAAGATGGTGTTCGGTTATTTTTAGGGAGAGGCGAAGGGAGCTGCAGGAGGGCCCTCCGCCCCGCCGGTCTCGCCGTCCCGGTCAATGTCTCCACACTTCCGGCCACACCCCGGAGCATTCTCCTCCCACCCCACGCTAGATCGGCGCCCCACTGTTCGCTCTCCTCGCTCCCCGCACCTGCCCACGGTGTGTGATGGGCGCCCGTGATGACGTGGTGGATGCCTGTCCCCCAGCGAAGTGCTCCCGAGACACCGCCCCGCTGACCCGCTGCTCGCCGCGAGAGCCGGCACCTCGCCCCGGACTCAGACCGAGCAGGGGAGGGACTCCGGGAGGGGGAGGGCCAGGACTTGTATTCTTATTTTGGAAGATTTTTTTCATTGTATGATGTTTTTTACACTAAGCATACATTATTATTGAGATACAATTCACATACAGTAAAATTCACCACCTAAAAGTATACAATTCAGCCCCGGCTGGTGTGGCTCTGGGGACTGAGCACTGGTCTGTGAACCAAAGGGTCGCTGGTTTGATTCCCAGTCAGGGCACATGCCTGGGATGCAGGCCAGGTGCCCAGCAGGGGGGGTTGCGAGAGGCAACCACACATTGATGTTTCTCTCCTTCTCTTCCTTCCTCCCTTCCTCTCTAAAAAAATTAAATAAAATACTTTTTTAAAAAGTATACAATTCAGGGAGGTTTAATACACTCTGAGATTTGTACAACCATCCCCACTATCTGATTCCAGAACACTTTTGTCCCCCCAAAATAACTCCCTCCCCATCAGCAGCCCCTCCCCACCCCCTCTGCCCCTAGAACACGGCCCCCACCGGTCTGCCTCCGTCTCTGTGGCTTCGCCTGCTCTGAACATCTCACGGGAACGGGTCCCACACTGTGTGGCCCCACGTGTCCGAGTTCTCGCACTCGGCACAAATCCTTTCGAAATTCGTCCACATCGGCTGAATAAAACACGTATTACTCTTAAAATGGACACTTCTGGGGGGGGCAGGGGAGGATAAGGGGACTAAATGGTAGTGCAAAAAAAATACAATACAGACTGAATGAAAAATAAAAATAAAAGACACTTTTTAAAATTTTAAGATTTTTTTTCCTTTGAAAGTATATGCATTTGACCCAGAGACTCACCTTCAGGAAGGTCTCTAAGGAAACAGATCTGTCTACGAGAGCGCTGGTTTGCAGGTTTCTGCAAAACTGGAAACCACCTAAAAGTCTAACAAGGTGGTGCTGTGGGGGTTTTGGTTTTATTCTTCTCCTAATGAACAGAACTGACTGTGAAAACCCAAACGCTTGATTCTCAAGCTGAGCTCTGGCTCCCGGACGCCCCGGGGCCCGGAGGGGGTGAGGCCCCCCCACCCCCCGCAGCCACCCCAGTAACTCAGCGCTTCTCTGTGCGATACACTGGAACTCCCCGGAAATTTCATTTGAGGAAAAGGTTCTGTTGCTAAAAAAAAAATATATATATATATATGTATATGTATATGTATAATACATTTATATATGTTTATATGAATATATATTCAACAACTACTTTCGTGAAGAAGGATTTCTACAGCGGTTTCACCGGTGGTCACCGACCTGCCCATCACCGTCTGTAATGCTGTTTGCCTATTTGAAAGCTGCTGAAAAGTTCTAACCACAAGAAAAAAACTGTAACCACGTCTAGTGATGGGTCAACTGGACTCACTTTGGTGAGCATTTTGAAATACATATAAATACCGAGTCATTTTTGCTGTAGGCCTGAAACTAACATAATGTTGTTATACGTCCATGACAGCTCATTTAAGAAAAGGAGTTAAAACCTGTGAAGAGCCTCAGGCTATTTTTCACCAGAAGGGACAGATCGGAAACCGGGAGGTGTTATCAGTAACCGGCAAAAACTCAGCACGACTTTGGGGTCCCTTGGTGGCAGATGGGTAGACGACCTGGGGTCGCCCACACAGTAGAGTGTCACGCGGCCACGGAGAGGGACAGACCCCGGGGCATGGCGCAGCGGGAGAGCCTGCCGCACGACACGGAGTGACAGGAGCCGGGCTTAAAAGGCTCTGCACGCTGCAAGGTCCTGTGTACACGGCTCTGGAAAAGGCAACACGGTAGGGATAGCATGCAGACCCATGCTGGGCCAGGTGGGGCCAGGCAGGGGGTGCCCACCAAAAGATATGGGGCCATTTGAGGGGATGATGGAGCTGCTCTGTTTTTATTTATTTATTGAGAGGGGAGGGAGAAAGAGGGAGAGAAACATCAGTGTGTGGTTACTTCTCATGCATCCCCAACTGGAGACCTGGCTAGCAACCCAAGCATGTGCCCTGACTGGGAATCGAACCAGTGACCTTTCAGTTCCTAGGCTGGCACTCAGTCCACTGAGCCACACCAGCCAGGGCTGCTCTGTGTCTCATTACGGCGGCAGTTCGTCTAAAGCGCACCGCGCTGCCCACTGAGAAGGGAGCTCCGCTGCGGGTGGTGCGCACCTTACTGAAAACGACCCTGCTCCGTACGGTGGCGCATGCGCAGACCGCCCGCTGGGAGGACACCCAGCTGGGAAGCGGCCACCTCCGGAGGAAAGGACGCGGACTCGGAGGAGAGGGAGACTCTTCACAGGCAGCAGAAACGAACCTACGGCTGCGCCGCCTCGAGGAATCCCACTAAAATGACGCCGGCGCAGTTCAGGGACAGCGGGGCAAGGACACATAAGTCCAGCGAGGAGGAGACGGCAGAGGGGAGCGACGCCGCGGAACGGGAGGCTCACAGAAACCGGACGGGCAGCAGCCGAGCCCGGGCGGCGGCCGAGGGATGGGTGTGCCAGTCAAGTCTGTGTCACCCCTTCCTGGCGTCTCAGTAACTTCAACAAAACGGGTACTTAGTGCATTTTCTAAAAAAACCTCTCGAGTAACCCAAGTCACATAAACAAAGTTGAAAGACAAGGAGACACACACACAATACATAAACAGGCAAGGTCTGATAGCTGGAATACATGAAGAATTCCTACCAGTCAATTGTTTAAAAGGACAAATAACCCCACAGGAAAAAATGGGGAAAAAATACTAACAGACAGTTCATAGAAATAAAAATATGAACATGAATGAACATATACAAAATGTTCAACCTCACGGGTAATCAGGAAAATACAAAATAAGATGTCCTATTATTAAAAATAGTAGAAGATCAGCCCTGGCTGGTGTGGCTCAGTGGACTGTGTGAGGGCCTGCGAACCAAAGGGTCGCTGGTTCAATTCCCAGTCAGGGCACAGGCCTGCATTGTGGGCTAGGTCCCCAGGAGGGGGCACTGGAGACACAACCACACATTAATGTTTCTCTCCCTCTCTCCTTCCCTTACCCTCTCTAAAAAATAAATAAATAAAATATTTTTTAAAATAGTAAAAGGTCAACAGGTAATACAGAGTCTTGATTAGCGATACGATATGCTGAGAGTTTAAATTAGTGAAACCTTTTCCAATGACCTACTAAGCTTTCATGTGCATCTACACTGGTGGCCTCTAGTCTACTTCCTGGCGTCTACTGTGAGAGTGCACCTGTGTGCACAGTCGTGAACAAGTACGCACGGCTGTTCATACCGGCGTAAAACTGGAGAATGCCCGGATGTTCTCTGGGACGGCAGCGAGTGGGCACACCACCTTCCTGCAGTGCAGGACTATGCAGCGGTAAAGCAGGGCGAGGTGGCTCTGGCCAGTGTGGCTCAGTTGGTTGGAGCGTCATCCTGTTCACCAGAAGGCTGGGGGTTCGATTCCAGGTCAGGGCACAGAACCTAGGTTGTAGGTTCACTCCCCAGTCAGGGTGCGTACGGGAGGAACTAATCGATGTTTCTCTCTCACATCGATATTTCTCTCTCCCCCTTCCTCTCTAAAACCAACAGATGTATTTTTTTTTAATTAAAAAAAAAGAAAAAACAAACAAGAGCCAAGTGTGTGCCAAGTGGAAAGTTCTCTAAGGGACACTGTTAAACGGAAACAGGGACAGAAAGCCGCAGAAGGATGCTGCAGACACTGCAGACGGGGTGGCGGGAAAGGCCTCGCTGAGGTGTCACTCGCACAAGAGGAGGGAGGGAAGGGCCTGAGATGCGGGGGTGGGGGGGGCATTCCAGGCAGAGGGAACAGCCCATGCGAGGGCCCCGAGTGGGGCCGTGCCCGAGGAGCAGCCCTGTGAAGGGAAGGCAGCAGGGGCCCGGCAGTGTTTTCCGGCCTCGGTGGGTCCAGGGTCACGGACCGAGGGCCGCGTGACCCCGACTCACCCCCTCGCTGTGCTGCACCACGCCGCTGATGTTTTGCAGCGACTGGAAGTTCTGGGTGTTCACGGAGCCAAACTCCACGATCTCGTCGTCCACTTGCAGGCCCTGGAGAAAGACGAGACATGGGGAGCCAGGCTAGAGGTTAAGCATGCTTCTGGAGCTCTTGACCCCTCCACGCCCAGTTTCATGTCCAGGGCGAGAGCATGTTCCCCCCAGGGGACAATGGCAAGCCCAAAGCACGGCGGTCAGGGACTCAGACAGCTTGTGCAGAAGGTGGGTGACTGGGCCGCCTCCTCCAGGAGGCTCCTTCTAGGGCACATGGAGTAGCAGGCGGCCAGGTCCACCCAACGTCTCATAAAAGCTGGCGGCCGTAGCCCGGTGCTACTCTCTGGGGTCCTGACCCAGGTTCAGGGGCGAAGAGACGCAGGCCGGTCTGGGCCTATCTCATTCCGGGGTCAGAATCCAGGCAAGCTTGCCCCAGATAAGCAGCCACAGGCACTAGGCTGACCCGGGGCCCGTGTGACCCTTTCACTCCGAGCACACTGACGGTGACTCGTTGATGCCTCCGACAAGTACCTGCCACGGGCCAGCTACAGGTCGGGCTGCATGTGGTGAATAGAACAGAGCTTATGTACAACTTGCTGTCTCGTGATCGTCAGAGGACTGGCGGGACCCGGAGCCAGGGCCCCGCGCCATCTCTCGGGAGCTGGGCATCCTGGCACCGGTCCCTGCAGGTCCTGGCATCGGCTCTTCCTCACGGGTGACACGGGGTTATAGAGGTTAGCGCCTGCCTCAGAAGGCGGCTGCGGGCTCAGACGCTACACACAGGCTCACGTGAGGCCTGCGCGTGACCTTCGCAAAGCCCTGTACATGATGTTCATGGTGGCGCCATTCATAATTCACGAAAGACGGAAGCCAGAATGCCAGCGGACTGACGGCCAGCAACACGGGAGCCGCCCGTGCAATGGAATGCCAATGCGCCGTGAAAAGGAATGCGGGACAGACACACGCCCGGACACGGGCGAGCCCGAGGACACGACGCGGAGAGGGAGGGGCCCGTCACAAAGGAGCACACGCTGCGTGACACTGTGTCTGTCATGGGTCCAGAACAGGCAGGTCCACGGGGACAGAAGCGGACCGGTGGCTGCCAGGGGCCGGGGAGGTGGGGGCTGGGGGCATGACTAACGGGTAATTGCTTTTTTAGGATGACGAAAATGCTCTGAAATGGGCGTGCGGCCCTGTGAATACACTGAAAGCCACACCATTGTATGCTTTTTATGGTATGTGAAATATCACAATAAAGCTGTTTCAAACGTTTCCAAACACACCCAGCAAGATGCAGCTCATCTGGCAGGACGCCTGCCGTGCAGCAAGGGCCGGGTGAACGGCAGCCGGCGCCTTCCCGGGCCTGTGAGTCAGTGCCCGGCCTCGAGGAGCCCGGGGAGGGGGGCCTCTGTCCCTTTCTGGGGACATCTGGCACCTTCTACCTCGTGTCCGTCCCAAGCCCCTGCCTGGCCAGTTTAGCGGGCAGCAGGCCCCCAGCTCCGAACCCCCAGCAGGCCTCGGCCGGTGTCTGCTGAACGAGTGTGTGAAGCTGAGCCGCGGCGTGGCGAGAGAGTGGGTCTGTCTTCCCACGGTCCTCCCCACCGCTCCCAGCCCCAAGGCCACCTGACCCACAGCGCCCACTGGGGACAGAGCCGGGTGGCCGGGCCCTGGCTTACTGCGATGCTGGCGGGGGAGCCGGGGCTGATGCTGTTCACTTTGGCAAAGGCCTGAGCGGGGCTGACGCCCTCGCTCTGGCTCAGGCTGCGGCTCATGGCCTCCTGGTGGGCCTCAGCCATGTCCCGGGCCTGCTTCTCCTTGTCCCGAGCGTGCAGCTGGTGCAGCGCCTCCTCCACCTGCTTCATCACCGCCTTGTGGTCGTTCTGCAAGCCTGGGAGGGGAGAGCCGTGTCAGGGGCCGAGGACCACGGCCGAAGACACAAGACTCCCACATTCATTCACTGAGCATTAAACAAGCGCTTCCTACATGCTTGGCTCATCCCAAAACAGGCCCGGATGGGGTCACAACTCATACAGGTAACGGGAGTCAGCGAGCGGAAAACGGAGGTAATAATAATTCCCTCAAACGGGGCCTGGTGGGAGATCCCGGGTTGCCCAGCGGAAGCAGGGTGAATAACGGCCCTGCAAAGAGGTCCGTGCCCTGACCCCGGCACCTGTGACCACGCCACTGTATGTGCAAAAGGGGCTCTGCAGACGCAATAGGTTATCGCCCTGAGTCAGAGCATGTCCCGGATGATGCAGGCGGCGGGCCCAGTGCAATGACGGGGTCTGTGGAAGCGAAAGGGGGCGGCGAGAGTGACTGTGGCGGAACTGGAGGTGGAGAGATGCGGCTCTGGACTCTGAAGACGGGAGGGGCCCCGAAACAAGGAGTGTGGGCGGCCTCGAGATGCCGGAAAAGACAAGGAAATGGGGTCTCCCTGGGGCCCCCGGAAGGGACGCAGCCCTGCCCGACACCGGGATCTTGGCTCACTGAGCTGCACCTGGACCTGGACGCCTAGCCCCCGGGACTGTCCCGTGGCAGGTTGGTCCCGTTTCGGGGCGCGAGGCCTGCGGCGGTTTGTCAGATCGGAAGCAGAAAAGCAACACCCTACGCAGCCTCCGCTCGCCCCGTTCCTCGGTCGCTGTCATCAACTGCTAAACACAATTCCTGGCACAGAAGTGATTCCACTAGCGTTGTGAGCAGTATCTGACTTGGGTTGCTACTGTTATTTCAAGAGCTTCCACAGTGAAATGAAAGTCTTAAAAAATAAAACGAGGCCCTGGCTGGCGTAGCTCAGTGGACTGAGCGTGGGCTGTGAACCAAAGTGTCACAGGTTCGATTCCCAGTCAGGGCACATGCCTGGGTTGCAGGCCACGACCTCCAGCAACCGCACATTGATGTTTCTCTCTCTCTCTTTCTCCCTCCCTTCCCTCTCTAAAAATAAATAAATAAAATCTTAAAAAAACAAAACTACAAATACAGAACCCTGCATTTAACCCATCCGTGAGTTCTTAGGCCCTCCACAGGGACACGGCGACAGTCTTGTCAAGGCAGAAGCAAGAGAAGCAGATAACACGGAATACTGGTGATTTCACGCGTGTGCGTCTACCATCCCCTTCTGCCGGGGTGGGGGGGGCCCCGCCGAGGGTCACTCACAGACGATGTTGTGCCTGGCGGTTCGAACTTGGTATACGTCCACGTCGGAGCGGGGGTAGCCTTCGCAGTCCACCAGCGGCTCGTGCATGCCCACGCCCTTTTGCTGGAAGGAAAACACGTGGATTTAAAAAACGCTGCTGGGGCCTGCAGTTCTGAAAACCTCTTCCCCAACCTCTTCCCCTCCGCAGTCCCGGCAAAGGCGACGCTAACGAAGAAGCTGCCGCCTGCCGACCGCTCGGCGCAGGGCCGGCGTTACACCCACACCCTCTCCCGAGTTCCCCTGACGGGGCGCACTGTCTGTCAAATTTTTGGCAACACAAATAATGCATGAATCATTCTCCTCTTCTGAAGTTAGAACTGAGCAGACGGAACTAATGACTCCTTTCAGCGTGCACTCCAAGGCCAGTCTGCTTCGACTCCTCCAAACCCGCCTTCCTACGGGCAGCTGACACCTGGCCCACGGCCTTGGAAGCCAGAGGGGAGTGACAAGCCCTAAAGGAACCCCGCTGTGGCGGCACTTTGGTTCTGCTAAATATAAAAAAAGATCTAAAAGGGCTTTCAAAGAGGGTTTTCAAAGGGGGCTTCCTCCCTGGAAGGACACACTGATATCACCAGCTGCCTCCGAGGGAGAGGGAGAGGAACCATGGGTGCGGTGGGGAGCTGGGTCGGGGGTCGGGAGGCAGACTTCTCACTGCATACCCTTTAGGGGACTTTGAATTCTGACCTTGATCTTGGAAGTGTGTTCCCTATTTGAAACAAGACCTTTGTTTTAACGCTTTCAAGCCTTTCCCTACATAAGTCAGGGCATGGTGTACAAGGAAAATGAGGTGTGTTCTGCACTGACGGTGGTGTGGGGCAGGGATTTTGCCTTCCATTAGCCTGTGATATGAGCCCAGTTCTGCCCGCTACAATCAGGGTGCCCTTGGCTAAGACCTTCACCTCTTTAAGTCTCAGCTCTGTCCATTACAAAAGGGGAATAATGGTGCCCACTCCCTTCCCACGTACTGCGAAAATTAATGGGTTGGCTTGTGTACAGTGGTTAGCACAGTGCCAAGAACATGCAAAGTGGGGTGAACAGTGGCCCCCAAAAGATACATCCAAATCCTAACCCCCAGAACCTGAGAATGTGAACTTTTTGCGAAAAGGGATCTTTGTAGATGTAATTAAGTTAAGGATCTCTGAGATCATCCTGGATTTAGGGTGGGCCCCAAATCCAATGACGGGTATCCTCATAAGAGAAACGAGAGGGACATTTGGGACACAGAGAGGCAGCCACGTGAAGACAGAGGGCAGCCACCAGAACTAGGAGAGCGGCACGGAATAGATTCCCCTTCGGAGCCAGGAAGGAACTGACCCTGCCTTCCTCTTGACTGCAGACTTAACTTCTTGCCTCCATAGCAGTGAGAGAATAGCTTTCTCTTGTTTTAAGCTGCCCAGCCTGCGGTCATTTGTCATGGCGGCCCTAGGAACTTAATACACATAGTGAGAGCAAGGGCCGTAACCACTAGTTAGCATGGAGACACCGCCCAGTGTACACAGGTGGTTCCACTTATATGCCGGGACTCCATCTGCTTCTCTCCCTTTCTCTCTGGAAGCCTCTGGGTTATACCGGTTGTTTCCTGTGGGAGGAAGGGGGTCCCCTGCGGTCCCTGAAGACGCGACTCTCTGTAGCTACAGCATAAACGCTCCAAGGGCCACATACCTGTGCCAACCTCCTTGCCTTTCCACAACGACCCGGCTGACCGGCATTCCTGACTCAATCCCACATTGAGACACTGATTTCCAAAGTTGGGACCCCCAACACTGGCGGCCCCCACCAGAATCTGAATGTTAACATATGCATTAAAGTTTAAGAAGCTCTGACGTAGAGTGGTTAGCAAAGCACAGAACATTCTATAAACGTTCAACAACGACTGATGATGGTGATTATCAATTACCTGGCCTCTGCAAACTTTTTGGCTCTGTGAGCCACAGGTGCTCATCCCCAAAATGGGGAGATGATAGAGCTTTTCTCCAAGGGCTGCCGTGAGGCTTAAGTGAGCTCACTAATGCAAAGCACGTGAAACAGCGCCCAGCACACAGTGTGGGCTCCCTGGACGCTTGCTACAATACCAACACTGTTCTTAGTTCTCCACGTTATCTGTCTCACTGACGGCTGCCGGCAGAGGCCGCCGGTGCGGCGCCTTGGGCGCCCAGGGAGACACAGACCCACAGCTGAGACCTCCCGCGGAGGCCGCCCCGGCCTCCCATTCTTCCCACGTCCGGAGGCCTTGGGGCGCCCCTCGCGCTGCCTGGGAGCCCCGGAGCCCACACTCACGCTCTCCAGCACGTCATAGTTGGCTTTGATCTGCGCTTCGATTTCCTCCTTGCGCCTTATCAGCTCCTGGACGTCACTGACAGTCACCGAGCTGGCCTGGGGGGAGCCCCCACTCGACCCAGCTCCTTTCTCCGACATCGTGGACCTCAGCAGGGTATTCTGGACGCTCGATTTCCGGGATACGGACCCCGCAGGACACTGTAGCTACGGCTCCGCCCGCGGGCCAAAACACCTCGGCGGTCCGCGAGCGCGGGCAGAAATGAGGGGCGTGGTTTCGTTGGGTGGGCGGGGTCGCCGGAAGCCACACCCTACTGAAAGACCTGGTTTTGTGGTGACCCCACTTGGAGCGGAATGATTCCCCAGTACAGCGGACCAGGGCAAGTCGATCTCTCCCTAGCTGGCTCATCTTCTGCCCTCGCTCATTCAACTAACATTTATTGAGCGCCTACTGTGCGTATGTGCGAGAGCTCGGTGCATGGCGCTCCAATCCAGCTCTTCCCATCTACACAGCGCTGGAGGGTTTACAAAATACAACCCTATTCCTATCCCTAGTTTTTACAGACCGTATCAGCTTGGGTTCAAATCCAGGGCCCTTGCCACTTACTGCAATGTAGTGACCGTGGGTAAATTACTTTGCTTCTCTGAGCCTCAGTTGCTCATCTGTGTATTGGGTCAATATCCACAGAAATACGCAGAGAGCTGACATTTCACCAACAAATGTGTATCAAATGCCTCCTTTGTGCCTTATCCTGTCCTGGGTGCTGGAGCGGTAAAGAACTGAGGGGGTGGCTCAGTTCCTGTCGCCTATTAAGGTCTCTATAAATTTTGGTCAAAATAGTACGGGCAACCACAGTAAAAGTAATACTAATAATTTATCTAATCGTGACAATGGGTCAGACACTGTTGTTAAGTGCCTTATATGTAAACAACCTCTGAAAGCCAGGATTATTATTTCCCTCATCGGCAGCGGGGAAAACCATCTCAACAATGGACTTGCCCAACTAGCAAAACGAGCAGCCCAAATCTCAACCCAGCTAAAAGCCAAAGGAGGAAACTTAGGCTCTCCACAGGTGCCCCCTAATACCGTGCACTGAACAAGGACACGCCATCACTCACGGAGTATTCAAACATGTTTTCCCTGAACCCAGTCATGGCAAACAAACAGGCGGGTCCTAACTGCGGGACATTCGTCAAAACAGCTGGCCCGGACTCTTCCAGAAGGTCAGCATTGTGAAATGTGCCCCAGAGCCAGGCAAGCACCTACGTTAGAGAAGACTGAAGAGACACAACAATGAAATGCAATGTGTGCTCCTCTGAAAATAAATAAATAAATAAGCAAAAGCTATAAAGGACGTCCTTGAGATAATTGGAGGAAATGAATAGGGACGTCATATTAGACTATAGTGTATCGACGTGCAATTCCCTAAGTAAGACAATGGTGTTATGGTCACAGAAGAGAATCTCCTTACTCCCAGGAGATGAATGCTGAAGTGTTTAGAGGTATGATGCCATGATTTCTGCAATGAATTTGCAAGAGATTCAGGAAAAACAGCTATACACACACATGCAATGAGAAATAGAGATGGGGAAGAGAGGGGGGAGGGAGAGAGGTGGGGGGCAATGTATAACAGCAGGTAATTCTTAGGGGAAGGGTATATGGGTATTCACGGAAACTATCTTGCAACTCTTCTGAGGTTTGGAATTTTCCCCAATAAACAGGGCGGGGAGAAGGGTCTCCCCACTGCAGTCTGAAACCAAAGCTATTGTTTAAGTCCCCATGTCAGGCTGTTACTGTCAATATTGTTGTTGTTATAATAAACCTAGACCCTGCCCCTTGTCCAGCCTTTATAGCTCTCAAAGCCACGCATCACCTGCCTCCGCCTCTGCTGTCATCCACCCCCATGCTTCTTCAGACTGCGGCGACCTCGGCTTCTAGGCTGCCCCTTTCACCCGCCCGCCACACAGCAGCCGGGAGGACCCACCCGAAGAGTGACACGGTCACTCTTCGGGTTAGAAGGGTCCAAGGCCTTTCCAGCGCCCTCCTTCCGTCTTTCCAGACCCTTCGGATCCCTGCTCGCCTTCTGGACCCACCCACACACAGCCCTCAACACACACACACACACACACACACACACACACACAACCTAGGTTCCAGCCACACTGAGCTTCCAGCAGTTCCTGGCACGTGTTTGGCTTGGTCTGTCTTAGACGGGGTCTTGGCGCCTGCTCGAGCCTTCTCTAGGATGCCGCCCCAGGACTGGCTGATTTCAGCTCCTCCGTGGAGATCCAGCCCGAACATTACCCACCCCCCGCAATGATTTCTCCAACCCGCCCCCCAGACTGGGCTCCTTGCTGCACTCTTCACCGGGTATTCTAAGCGACCAACTGTGTGTTCCCGGCTGGCTGAGGCTGAGTCGATGTTGAACCGGATCCTAAGGAAAGGAGCTAAGAGAAGAGTCCTTGCTCGCTCCCCATTCCAGTTGTTCTGGTTCATCTCACCTTCCGGGGGCCACGGAGAGCCAGCAAAGCCTTTGTTTTAGAAAGCTGCCAAGATTTGGAGATTGCTTTTGCCCCTTCCATGCGCCCGTGTCCTGCTCATTTCCACTCGAGGGCATGAGGTTGTCGGGGATTCGGGGACAGAACCAGGAAGCCAGCGCTCCCCCAAGTCGGTCAGAGTTCACGCCGCCCGTTCCCAGGGCTCAGCCGACTCCCCTCTCCCCGCCGGCCGGGCAGCCGCAGCCGGGAGCACTGGCGAGGCGAGTGCCCGCGCCTGCAAACCAAGGGGCTGGACTTCGAAGCCCAAGCTGGTGGCAGGCTTGCGGGCGCTGGCTCACTAACAACATTTTAGAAGTTTGAACCAGTGACTGAATCAGTCCAGTGCCCCATCACCAAACAGCGGGATATTTGAGGGGCACCCAACCAAAGGGTCACATACAGAGTCATGGGCAAGCTTAAGGGGGCAAATAAGGGATGATTAAACCGCCTGACGCTGGCAACGGTGGGGGTCAGAGCCCACCCCCAGACCTACAGGGCCAAGGGGCAGGAGTAGTTTCAGAACCGAGGGAGGTTCCGCAACCCAGCGGGCGTGTGGCCTTCGGCAGAGGGACACAGCGGGCCAAGTGTCACCTCGCAGAGAGGGAGCTGGGCGGGGGCTCCCTCTTCTCCCTCCTCCCTCCTGCTGCCTGAGCTCTGGCTCTGGAGGGCGAGGGTGCCTGGGGCACAGAGCGGGGCGGCGGGAGAACTGCGAGGGGCAGGCAGAACCGCAGCAGTTACCAAAAGGCAGACACTTGGGAAAGTACCATGCGAGACCCACACGACGTAGGTCCTGTTTTTAAACAAGTTGGCTCTTCCGCGTGTGTGTCTATCCAAGCAGGGACTCCAAAGTACACCGGAATTTATTTATAAAAAAGTGTGTGTCTAAGCCCTGACTGGCATAGCTCAGTGGATTGAGCGTGGGCTGCGAACCAAAGCATCGCAGGTTCGATTCCCAGTCAGGGCACATGCCTGGGTTGCAGGCCACGGCCCCCAGCAACCGCACATTGATGTTTCCCTCTCTCTCTCTTTCTCCCTCCCTTCCCTCTCTAAAAATAAATAAATAAAATCTTTTAAAAAATTGTGTGTCTGTTCTTATGTGTTTAAGCTTCAGTCACCTCCAAAGCACTCTTCTTTTGATGCCATACACCTGTCAGGACAGTTTTTCCACTGCTCGGAACAGTTCTTGAACTCATCGATGTTGATGCCTTTTAGTGCTTCTGCCATTTTTGTTTCACTTCCTCTACATCGGCAAAATGTTTCCCTTTGAGGACTTTTTTTTTTTAATCTGGGGAAACAAAAAATAAAGCTGTTCAGGGCTAGGTCGGGTAAGTAGGGAGGGTGGGGCCCAGGGGTCATGATGCTTTTGCTCAGAAACTGCTGAACACTCAGCGGGGTGTGGGCAGGTGCGCTCAGAAATCACCCATGACGAAATGGAAAAAAAATGTGCTGAAAGTGTCTTCAAAAAAATTCACTGAAGCCAAATGCAGCCTCTCACAACAACGCCAGCTGGTGCACTGATACAGATGGGCTCCTAGAATACTCACCTAGCAGGGGAAGCCTGGACTACAAGAGGCTTGCCCTCCAGAAGATAATTCTGGAGTTTTTAGGTCCCCCTTTGTATGTGCCTGTATATGATCTCCTGAGAATGGAGAAAGTTGGGGTTGTATGTGTGAGATTGTTAATATTTTGTGCCTGGGCAGAGGAGAAAGCAATTGAAAATATAGAACATTTATTAATACTAATTCAGAGTAATTAACAAAGAAAATCTATGTCAAAGAGCGTGAAGCTGTACATTCGAGTGAGACAGATCATCACAGATGCTGCTTCTAATTGTTCGGCTACAGTAATTATGATGCAACCTTTCATGAAACGCACGCACAAAAACAATGAACACAGGTGTTTCTTACCACGACAAGTGTTTACAAAGCATACATAAAAAACATTACTGTATCATGCCTGCACATGTTTATATGTTTTTAGAACGTAGTCTGGGTGGGTATGAACAAAACATCCATGGTGGTGCCTGTCGAGGAAGAATTACAGATGGGTTTGTTTTCTGTATTTTCGCCCTCTCCCTTTTATTTATTTATTTTTTAAGATTTAGCAAGACAGAGAGGGAGAGAAACATCGTTGTGCCAGAGAAACATCAGTCGGTCACCTCTCACACGCCCCACGCTGGGACCTGGCCCACAACCCGGCGTGCGCCCTGACCGGGAATTGAACCGGCACCCTTTCGGTTCGCAGGCTGGCGCTCAATCCACTGACCCACACCAGCCAGGGCTTTTTATTTATTTTTATTTTTTACTTTTAATGACGTGTATGTTCCCTTTTTTCCCCCCTAACTTAACTTCTACTAATTCTGTTACAAAGAATAAAATAAAACACCTATCTGAGCTGGTTAAACAGGAGTCCTCCGTGTGTGGGAACTCAGAGCTGTATCCATTTTGCGCTTTCTCTCACACACCCATCGTCGGTAGATACACTATTTCTCCATTTCCAAAAAACACACTCAATCATAAAGAACATTTTAGACCCAATGCAGCTTTCCAAACGGAGAGATTTAGGCAACATAAAATTACCCATTGTGAAGTGTGCAAGCAGTGGCATTTAGCGTGTTTACAGAGTTGCGCAACCACCGCCCCATCCAGCCCCAGGACACTTTCATCACCCAAAAGGAAGCCCTGG